ACTAAATATCGAAAGGGAAAGCTTAACAAAAATCCTAGTCAACAGTAGCTAGGCACCAGCCGGATTTCCTATGTTTGCCCTGATGGATTCATTGACCTGGTAACCAAAATAATAATCAGTCGTTCATTGTCTTAGTTGGCTTCTGGGTCATCAACGGATGCCGCAACCCCTCAGTCTCTCGTTCTCTCTCCCTCTCTGATGACCATTAACTATCAAAATATTATTTTGTGCCATTAAGATTGGTGATTACACGCGAATTCCAGTTCCGTTTCCCTTGCTCCGCACTCAAATATCCTCTATTTGGCAAGCTTCATTTGGCCTGATGATGATTACCCGCACAGCTTGGATCTGCTTTGCTCTACTCCAGAGAGACAGATCCGCCACCTGCTTCTCCTTCTACCTCTCCTCCTCCTCCTCCTCCTCCTCCTCCTACTTCTCCTCATGGCTAATGTCTTCTGCTGTACCGTTAGGCATCGTTAGGCGCTAAAATCATAATAAGTAAACGGGGATTTGCCAAAAGCCAGAAGCCAGATGAGTGGCGGTGTGAGTGAGAATTTGCCAAGATTTTTTTAGGAAAACTGTAAAGATCAGGTATTATATACCTTAGAAACTATATCTAATGATATCAAGGTTTGACCTTGACATTTTCTTAGATTATTGAAGTGAAAATTAATATATGTTTGCAATTTTAAAAAATCAAATAAATAAATAAATTAATTAAAATAAATGACACTACGTTCATTCTTAAATTTTACTAAAAATAAATAATAAAATATATATTTTTGCAAATATTAATATTTAAATTTAAGCAAATATTTATATATAATTCCCAGCTACAAATAAATAAAAAAAAAAACAATAAACAATCTAAGGTTATTCTTTAATTTTACTAAAAAAAAATATAACAAATTGAATTTTATCGTAAATTATTAATTAAGCAAATATTTATTTATAATCCCAATTACAAATCATAAATAAATAAATAAATAATTAAAAGCCCCCATCAAGCCCCCTAAGTATGCTTTAATTGAAAGCCACAAAGAAGCCTAAAAATATGCCTTAATTTGTAGTAGCTAATATGTGAAGTTCAAATGCTGATTTTAAGAGGTTTTATTATAAATAAAAAAAAAAACAAACATATACCTGTTACTCTTATTTAAGTATCTAATTTTTTTGTTAAGAAATATAATTAACTAGAGGCAGAGACATTTGCTATATTTTTGGTTACGTTTTTAATAAATATTAACCTAAAGTCAGTAATAAATAAAATAAAAATATTAAAAATATATCTAATACATATTAAAAACAAATATTAAACATTATTATTATATATATATATATGTATGTATATATAAATATTTATATATAATAATGTATATTATTTATTTATATATCAATGAATTAATTAATAAATAAATCAACAATGAAAAAAATATATAAAATAAATAAATAATTAACAAAAGAAATAATTCTAAAAATTCATTTTCTAGTTTTTTTTTTTCAAATTTATTTTTATATTTTATATAAAATATAATGTTTAATATATAATAATAAGTACATATATACCACCACTTCTAGTAACACTTTTTGCTCCCATTTATTTCCCACAAAAACTTCTTAGGAAATCAAAGAAATATTCTTGATTACTAAATTAAACATAATTTTTATACTCAATTGAAGTTATTTATGTGTGCCAAGGTGCTTAAGAAATCATACATATTTTAAGCGAATAATACATGGTTCCGGTTATAGCCTTATAGTTTAGTGTGTTTCAGGCCTCGCTCCGTCGCAGCTAGCCTTCCTTTCGGTTTCTTCTACCTGTTGTTGTTGTTGCTACAGTTTTTCTTGACTTTTCTTTTTGGTAGCGCGTGGGCCTCCTCTACAGCCTGTGCTTTTATATATATATATATATATTTTTTTTTGTATTTTATTATTGTTCCACTGGCAGCGGCTAGCGTAACCATGGAGTTTCTGGCAAATTGCATCACAAATACGACGGTGGCTACAGGCGTTTACCAATCCCCCAATACTCACACAATCAGACTCGCACTCACACACTCACATTAACACTCACTCTGCTGGCACACACTCACTTAGCGTCAGTCATTGAAGCATTTGTTCCACGGGAGCAGAGAGTTCCTTCTCCATGAGGGGCACCTCTGCTGATTATCTCCTAATGAGTTGCTCTTTCTTGGCCAGAAAGTTGGTGGAAATTACTTAACAACAGCCCAGAGTTGATTGAGCCAAGAGATCAGGTGTTGGACCTCCGTTCGAATCAAGTATTTCATGTTCATGTCAGGCCTCGGTCGGCTTTCAAGTCTCAAGTCCCAAGTCCAATTACGCATTAGACGCAATGCGAAAAAAAAAAAACAAGGAGGCGGAGGAGGCGGAGGAGGAGGAGGAAAGACGAAATAGTTTGTCAACCTTTTGAGTTGCATTTTGGAATTGGACTTGCTGGACACTCTATGCGGCAAGCGAAATGATAATACCCGATTTTCATGCATTTTTATTCATTCATTTTATTAAATTAGTAGATTCACCTAGGGCTTTCCACGTGTTCAATATAAAAATAGTTTACTTTGTTTTTCGAATACTCGAGATTTTTCATAAAATTTCGATAAAACGATTCTACATCGATATTTAAGGCTAAGCTCGATATATAAATCGATATTTAAACATTATCGTTAGCATTTAAGACTTCAAACCTCCATTTTCTGCTTCCTTAAAAGGCCAAGCCTTTTTATTATCCCAAAAATTACCGTATAATAATATAGATAAATATCGATTAAAAAAGGAAAATATTTCCAAACTTCTTGAAGGGTATTTATTATTTTATTAAGTGAAGCAGTTATTTCCGACCCCACAAATCATATATATTCTTGATCAGCATAAACAGACGAATTTTTCTAGACGTGTACGGACAAAAATAAATTTTAGTCAATTTTTTCAAAAAATTTTATAAGGGGTTACATCGTTAAAAAGTTTAAAAATTGAAAAAAAAAATTTAATTTTTTAAAATTTAAAATAAAGTATGCAGTTTTTTTAAACCCAGAAAAACTAACACAGAGCCATTTTCCGTATAGAAATTAAAGCTTTTTTGGCTTAGTTATGATACATAAAAATGTAACCTTCCAAGGGTATACAAACTTTGGCTTGCTGAAGTTAGCTTTTTTTTCTTGTTTCCCTTTGAAATTCTAAAAATTAATTTCCTTTTTTGTGTTCCTTTGAAATTCTCAAGGAAAATTCTAAACTTTTCAGCCAAGATTTTCCATATAAATCCATCAAAGTTCCTTATGCAATCGAAAGTGTACCGAGGGGCGGCACTTGCCACTTGCCACATTTTCGCTTTCGATTGAAGGCTTTCAACTGTCCAAGTCCGAGAGTCCAAGCCTGGAGTGACCAGTGTGCGTGTGTGTTTGTATGTGTGTGAATGGATTTTTGGATCATTGCGACATTTCGATGTGCTGGCCAGGTGCTGTCGTCGTATTGCTGTTATTGTTTTGGGCCAGGCCATTGGAGTTGGTAGCTAGTTCTTCGAGTTGCATGCGCGCTGGACTGGTCAGTATAACCAGCGATCAGGTCACTCCACTCCGCAAACAGTCTCTTTGGACCACCTCGAACTACCTCTCTCTCTCTCCAGCTCCAGCTCCAGCCCCAGAGCCCAGCCTACCTAGTGTGCCGCCTTAGCTTAGCTTTTAGCGAAAATTGATCATAAAAAGCATTCGTTTGGTTTCATTTAGGCAAACGGCTTGCCGATGGTTGGTTGCATTTTGCAGTTTGCAGTTTTGTATCTTACAGTTTGCAGTTGCATTTGCAGTTGTCAGGTTGCCTTCTGCTTGTTTGCTTTATTGCGCCTTTCCACACAGACACACACACACACACACATACTAGCTGGCACACACATCATGCCACACACCACACACCACACACCTTCTCCAAGCCCACGAATCCGAATCCGAATCTGAATCCGAGACCGAGAGCTCCCAAAGAGCTCCCAGCTCCCAACGTTTGGCGGCGCTTGATCAGTTGCGGTTTTTACTTTCATCGGTACGGTTCGTGGTGGACTTGGCTAGTAGTAGTAGTATCCCCTTCAAACCAAAAATCAAACAAATCTACGGAATACAAAATAAAATAAAGAAGAAACCCTACTACTACTCCCCCTAAAAAAAGAAACGTGCCAGAAAACAATATTCGGGTTTGCTTTTCTTTACATTGGCTTGGCTAGGCTTGGCTTGACTTGGACTTAACTCCATGTTTGCCCATTCAATTGCCACCCCAAAATGTATCTTTAGTGTTATTTTTGTTATTTGTTTGCGGGGGTTTCCCCCACACGAAACTCAGCATAGAAATTCACCCTTCACTTCAAGCTTCAGTGGTCTATGGTTTCGGTTTCGGGTTCTCTCTCTCTCCCCTGGAAGATCTCTTTTAAAAATCTGCATTGCATAATGTTTTTTAGGCGAAACCAAAGATCATAGTCACACCATCAACGAATTAATACGCGACGCGGAAGTTATATAAGCAATGATACCAATAACCCCCCCCCCTAGACTTCAGCATTTTCCAGCCTTGCTTCGGCCACGACCACGACTGGTCACAACACGTTTAACAAGTTTTTCTCTTTCGGTTTTCAGGAAATTTTTTCGCAATTTTTTTTTCTGCCTTTTTTTTGCAGACACCCCACAGGCTGCCTAGCTTGCCTAGAAACAAATCATCAAAGAAAATCGAATCATAAACAAGTGAAAATTATGCGAGGCCAAAAGTCTAAAGTCCAAGACAAGACAGACAGACAAGCTTTGAATGGGGATCCAAGATTCATCTTCCACTTCTTTCCTTCATTTCAGAGACTTGAAATAACCATATGAAGCTCTAAGGATTAAGCCAGAGATTGCGACAATGACCACGAGGCACTACAAAGTAGGGAACTGTGCGGGAAAACCAACAACAACAATACTCCAAAAACTTGAGACCATGCTGAGCAGAGTTTAACCCAAACAAAAAGCCAAAAAGATTCAATTGGAAAGCAGGAAACCATTCACAAAACCCCCACAAAAATAGAGAACCCCTAAAACCCAGGAGAGAGAGCTAGCTAGGAGCGAGTGTCAAAGAAGAAGCTCGGGGAATATGCAATCCCCAAGGATTGCCGTAGTGGCTGTACTCCTGCTCACCGCCTGCCTTTCACCCACAAGCTCCAGCGAGGAATTAACCAATAGAACAACAATAACAAATCAAACAGAAACATTACACAAAACAGGAGAAGCGAAAGCGGGCGCCTTGACAGGTGGTCTACATAGGTTTACCACACGGGAAAACAACATCACCATTCTGCATGAAGTCCACGAAGATGTGGTTGAAGATCAAGAAACAGAGGAACCACCTTTATCCCTAAATACACACGAGATTTTGCCACTTAAACCTTTGAAAAAGAAACCGTATCTTCCACTGGAAAAGATTCTACCCAACATAGAGTATGTCAAGCCGCATCCCCTCAAGGAATACGAACTGCATCCCGTTACCTTTGACTTTAATCTGGGTGATCTCGAGGATCTGGAGCATGAGGTGATCAAAAAGGGTGACCTGAGCAGCCAGGAACAGCATGGCAGTAGCAGTGACAATCTCAGTTATAGTCCCTCAGCAAGTCCCGATGAAAACGAAACGGTGGATGTGGACATAGCTGAGCTCTCAGTGCCGCATTCCACTGAACCCACCACAGCCACATCGCCGGGAACAACAACCACATCGACGACGACGACAACGTCTAGTACACACATCTTGAAAATCCTGCGGAGTAAACCACAATTGGCACCCAAACTGGGCAGAGATTTGCTCAAGCAAAGCGATGATGATATGCAGCTCAAGACTCTGGGCAGTACCATTAATAGCATCAATCGTTACTTAGCGGCCAATGCCACGGGTAGTGGCAATGGCAGTAGCATGGCCGAGAGCCTCTATGGCCAGGCCAACTATTTCCAGATTGTGGCAAATCTATATGATCATTTTTATTGGCAAATCTCCGAGATACGCACCAGTGTACGAACAGGATGTGGCTTGGAGATGCAGGCGTATTTAACGGCTTTGCATTCGAGCTATGAGTGGGCCCAGAAGGGTGAGTGTTTCTCCTCTTTCTTAGCCTTTTCCTGCTCCTCCGACTCATTCTCCTGATTCTTCTCCTCATTATTATCCTGATTCTTCTCCTCATTCTTCTCCTGATTTTTCTCCTCATTCTTCTCCTGATTCTTCTCATTCTCCTCCTCGTCCTCCTCCTCCTCCTACTCCAAATCCTCTTCATTCTCCTCTTTTTGCTCCTCTTTTTGCGCCTCTTTTTGCTCCTTTTTTTGCTCCTCTTTCTTCTTCTCTTCCTCCTCCTCCTCCTCTTATTCTTTCTTTAAATCTCCCTTTTTGTAGCCTACGATTCCTCGGGTCGCTATCGGGGTCAACTCCTCTTTGGCAACGACAAGTGGCTGGGTCAGCTGTCCTTCTGCCTGGAGCTTAACCGTCAAAGTTCCAGTGAGGAGCGCAAGCACTTTGATCTGGAGTTCTTTGTGGCAGATGTGGCCCTACATTTACCCAGGCTCAATAGATCGGTGAGTGCTTAAACAATAAGCTTAAGAGAAAAAAACAAAATAACCAAGAACCAGAAGATACTTTTTCGATGGTTTGTGATTAGAAAAATCTCACAAAATTTCCTATACTTAAAGTTTTTTTAATATTCAAAATTGTGTAGAGTATCAAAGAAGAAGAAATTTATTTAATATTTCCCAGCCGAAAGCCACAGCAGCTATGGCTGATATCCATCCTGTAGCTTAATTTAGAATTAAGCATACAGCGTACAAATAAATAAATTTAATATTTCCCTCTTAGATGCTCCTTAGTCTAGGCGAATGCCTGCCCAAATCCTGCTCCGCTCATGATGTTCAGTCTATTTTGTCTTTGGATCCCTATGCTCGCATGCTCACCGTTTTGGGGGCGCACAATACCTCGGTGCAGCAACCGCCGCTACAGGTGCTGCACGTACGCACTGTGCCCGGCCTCTACAGTCACTGGCGGCAGCTCAAGTTCCAGGTGTTCATGTGAGCCTTGTTTACAAATATCTCCTATAAATTCTAGATTTTTTATATATATTTTTTTTTAATTCCTGCAGTAGCTTTATGCTCACTTTGTTGCTAGTAGTACTTGTGGCCTCATATTACCAGCTCAAGATCGATGAGCGGCGCCTGGTGGTGGCTCCTATAGCCGCCATCAGCGGCAAGTGCGATGGCATCACGGCCAAAAATGGTGGTGGAGGAGGAGCAGGTGGCGTGGGCTTTTATGGCAAACCATTTGAGCTTTTTCAGATGCGTCCATTGGGCAGCCCAAGTCCCAGCTCCACTGAGTCAGCCGTGGAAATGGATGTGAATGGGAATAGACAGCGACTGGGTGGTGATACATCTGGAGATCTGGGAGCAGAGGCGGTGACTGGTGGTGATGCCAACACCTCTGCCACAATGAAAACCGAACTCACAGATTACCAAGTGGAGACGGGCAGTTGTGCTGGGGTGACGGGAACCTATGAGGCAGAGCAGCCAATTGGTGGGTGGTGATTACCATGACTAACCTCACTTCTCCTTGATCCTCGTCTTTGAAACCCTTTTTTTTTTTGTACTAGCTCTGCATCAACAAATACTTTTGTGCTTTGCCTTGCAAACGAATGCAAAGGCCATTCTGAATATTGACAAGACCAAGGAGGTAAGTATAGAGGTAATGTATCCATAAGGATCTGTTTATCTGCTACTGCCCCATTACCCATTGCAGACGCACACCTCCTGCCTGCACGGCCTAAGGGTCTTCTCAGTGCTCTGGACCATGATGGTGCACACGTACCTCCAAATGTTTGCCATTGGCGAGAATAAGGTAATACATTTTCCTAAAATTTCTCTCTTAAATTTATGTACATTTTCCGCTTTAATTTTCTTAAATTTCTTCCTCAATTAATTTAATTTTCCAAAATTCTTTCTTTAATTTTCTTCAATTTTTCTCAAATTTTCTAAATATCTTTCTCGAATTTTCTTTCTTTAATTTTCTTAAATTTCTTTCTTTAATTTTCTTAAATTTCTTTCTTTAATTTTTTTAAATTTCTTTATTAATTAATTTAATTTTCTTGAATTTCTTTCTTTAATTTTTTTTTAATTCCTTTCTTTAATTTTATAATTTTTTTTTTATTTTCTTAAATTTTTTTTTAAATTAATTTAATTTTCATAAATTTCTGTCTTTAATTTTCTAAAATTTCTTTCTCTAATTTTCTTAAATTTCTTTCTCTAATTTTCTTAAATTTTCTTTAATTTTCTTTTTAATCCCTACATTTCTGTCTTTAATTTTTTTAATTTCTCTCTTTAATTTTGTGAAATTTTTTTCTTTTATTTTACCAGTTCGAACGCGTCATCACAGAACGTTCGGTGTGGTATCAGGTGATTGGCAATGCCACCTTCTCGGTGGACTCGTTCTTCTTCATCAGCGGCCTCCTGGTCACTCTGCTCTACCTCAAGCAGGAGCGCAAGCATCCCACAGAGCCCTGCCTTTTTGTCCAGCGCAGCTGCTCGGAGACCTTGATGATGCTTTTCTATCGCTATCTACGGCTCACGCCCGTCTACCTTTTCGTGGTAATTTTCAATGATTTTGCCGTAAGGTAGGTGACCCTTTTATGCCTCTAAAAATCCATGATCTTTATGTTTATATTTCTTTTTTATTTTTAGACAAGGCCTAGACTCTTCGGTATTTCAGCCCGCTAAAATCGAGCACAACACTTGCCGCATCTACTGGTGGCGCAATATTCTGTACATCAACAACTTCTTTCCACAACGAGAGATGTGCATGATGTGGAGCTGGTACATGGCCAATGAAATGCAGTTCTATGTGATGGCCGCTCTGCTCTTGGCCTTTGCCAGAAAGTGGGTTTAATTCTTGTACCTTTTCTAACCTCCTGCTGACCTTATATATATATATTTTGGTTTGTTATTTTTCTATAGGTATTTCAAGGCTGTGGCCTTGACGTTGATCGTCTTCTTACTCAGCTCTTGGAGCCTTTCGGGTATTATCTCCCTGCAGCATCAGTATACACACAAAGTGGCGCTGCCCTTTGAGTCCTTTGACTTTTTGTATGACAAGCCCTGGCAGCGCGTGGGATCTTATATAGTAGGTGAGTACTAAAGATAAGCATATATTGATTTTTATCGATAAAAAAAAAGTAAAAAAAATATATAGATAACAAGATCGTTTGCTATTAAATATAGAAAATAGTTTTTGATAAAGAAAATATTGCTTTTAACGTTGTAAAATTTATAAATTCAACAGAATAACGAATAATCTCTTATTTATCGCATCGATAAAATGTCCCATAGGCAGGCAAGTGGTAAAATTGATAACTATCAAAATATTTCATTTAGAAATCCCACAAGGTATGCATAAACTTTAAATGTTTTATAGAAGATAATCTCTGATCTTGGTTTAAAAAAATATAGGGTTCTTCCTGTGCTAAACGATTTATCATAAATTTATCGCAAAGGTAAAATAATTATATTTATATTTACAAATATTTATACATCTATCGAAATATTCCAACTAAATGTCAACATTATATATAAATATATCAGATATATATTTCTTTTAAAACTCTGCCCCCTAAGACTTTGAAATAAAGTAAAATCTCAGACTTACCCCAATAATTTCCAACAGTTTTCAACAATTTCCATTAGTTTCCAAACATTTCCAATAGTTTTTTATAATTTCCATGGCATCCTTAATTGTTCACTGATTGTTTATAATGTTCTTTTCCTTTTTTTCCAATGAGTTCCAATAGTTTATAATAATTTCCATGACATCATTAATTTATCACAGATTTTACCAATATCCTTTCCTATAATTTTCAATATTTTGGATTAGTTTTCAATTATTTACAATAGTTTATAATAATTTGTATGATTTTTTCAATAATTTTCGTTAGTTTCACATAATTACCTTAATTATCCACTGATTTTTCCAGTCCTTTTCCTTTTTTTCCATTATGTTATCAATTTTCCACAACATTTTCCAATATCCTTTTCCTTTCATTCCAGGCATGTGCGCCGGCTATGTCCTGTACAAGGTGAAGACTCCGCCGGCTGTCTCCAGGCGCCTCAATCTAACCCTTTGGACGGCCAGCCTGTCCGTGCTCCTCATCGTGGTCTTTGGCGTTTGGGAGGGTCAACTGAGCACTGTTTATACCGCCTTCTATGTGGGCGTGGCCCACACAGCTTTCGGCTGCGGCCTAGTATGGATTGTTCTGTCCTGCTGCTGGGGTCTAGCGCCCACGGTGAATGCCATACTATCGTATCGAGTGCTGTGGCCACTGTCGCGTCTTACATACTGCGCCTACTTGATCCATCCCATCATCATGTTCATCTGCTCCTCGCACATGAGCGGCACTGTCCATCTGAGCAATCCCCTCATCCTGACCCTGTTCCTGGGCAATGCCGTGGTCTCCTTTGGCTCGGCCTTTGTCATATCCGCCTTGTTTGAGGCGCCCGTCATCAGAATACTCAAGATCTGCTTTAAAAAGTGAAGGAGCAGTGAAGGGTATCTGTGTGTGTGTGAGTCTCTGTAATGGGAACTTTTTTCCCGTTTCTGTGGAATATCTAGCCGCCGGGGAAGCCCGATTTTGTTGTTAATTTTTGGCTGCAAAACATCTAGTTGGTTCTCCATCGCCTTTTTAATGTTTTTTTTTGTTTGTTTATGAATTATATATCCTAGGCATATGTTGCATAATCTGTATATATCTCGTATCGTATATATACGGTAGTCGTAAGAGGGTTTCTTGAGTGCAAAGTGGAGTGTGTTTGAAATAAAATATAACTGAAAATAAAAAAAGGAGTGTATATTTATTGTAAAAATGGGGGATAAAATGGAGGTGGAAAATATATAAAATATTGCTTTTTTTTTAGATAATATATCTTTTTATTTCGGTTAATTATAAAATTGCAGATGGATTTTCCTAAAAAAAAAACATTCTATACATGTCCAACCCTATGCCGGCAGTGGATCCACCAATTCTACAGGATTTCTTTCAACAATCCCGAGTCCCAGTGCTCGGCTCATGTCGCAAGATGCCATCCCAGGGAAGGGACACATGGACCCTGCCATGTCAGAGGATCACTCCATTGGTGCTAAAACTTGCACCCGCTCCGGGTATAGCAGCTGCATTAAGAACTCATCACTAACCTCAACCTTGACGTCCGCACTGCTGTAGCCGGCCGCGGCCATCTCCTGCTCCTCCCCGTCGGCCACAAAGTACAATTCGCCGGGCGATGACGTCAGAAGATCCTGCGACGGATATAGTACCTTACAGGCATCGCGCCTAAACAGCCGAATGGCCAGATCCGCCCGTTTTCTGGCTTCCAGATAGCCCTCCAGCAGTAGCTGCTGCTGCTGCTCATCGTGTTCGTTCACGTTCATTCTTGTTACCTCGGCGAACGCCTCGTCCACATGACGCAGTAAACGGCGGAATATGAAGCTGGCATAGCGACGACGCTGGCGCACGTACCATAGGAGACGGAGCTGCGAACAGGGCTGGAAGACGGCAAAGGCCATGAAGGCCAGCAACAGGAACAGTTGCGTGAAGACGAAAATGGTGTGGACTTTGAGCACCACCAGCCAGTCCTCGCGAGGCGCCTGCGGTGGCACTTGGCTGAGGAGCCCCAGACCCAGCGGGTCGCGCTCGTCCGGGCAGTAGGTGAATAACATCATTTTCGAGAGCCGGACGAAAAGAAAACAAAGGCGAATTTGGAAATTTAATGTAGTCGACGAATGGGTTTTACAGTTACTGACAAATACCCGGAACACGAAACGAACACGAAAGGACAGGCAGTTCCCGGCGCACTCTGCTCTGCCATTAACCCGATACGGATACGGATCCGGTCACTATATTGCGTTTAAAACGCAATAAACGCTTCCTTATTAGCCAATTTCTTCTTCTCGCCAGTTTTTCGCGACCGCTTGGGTCCTAGTGAAGCGTTCTAAAAACAACATGGCGGCACTAGCGATGTTATCGAAGTAACGGAACAATTTTAAGCTGAAAAATAGCCAGATTTGCTAGCGCAATCGATAACATGGCGCGCAAGAACGCTCAGCTATCGATAATTGTTTTGAAAATAAAAACAGGAAAATTGAAGCATTTAATGCACGAATATTAAAATAATCTAATACAAAATCTATTAATCTAATTGAATCCTTCAGCAGGCCTATTGGGTATCGAGTAGGGCTGCGCAGCCCTGGCCATTCTCTTGCTCCTCAAGTTGTGCATTTTAAAGTTGTTGTCTTGTGCTGGACTCAAGGCATTTGGACCTGGCGGTGCCCCGGCAACTGGGTTCCTATCATCCTCAGACTTATCTACCTCCAGGAACCAATTAGGGTCTTCAGAGTCGGGCGAATTTCCGGCGTTTTCCTTATCACCAGGGAGCGCCTTCGAAGAAGATGCCTCTTTGTAAAGCTGGGTAGCTGGCGATGTCATACCCAGAGCGAGGATTCTATTTCAAATGCGAGATTGTGAAAAAATAAAAGGTATTTGAGGAAAACTTACGTCTTTGCTGCATCGAGTTCCTCCTGGCTGACAACTTTCTGCTTATACGGATTCGATGCCCTGCAAAACATGCTTTAGAATTAAATATTTCAATCTTGTTTAACCCTTTAAATTACATTTTCTTTGCAAAAACCGATTTCGAATGATGTTCTCCAAAATTTAACACAAAATGGCAAGTGACATGCAAAAGTGCCAGCAGATTTTTCTACAGTTGTATAGCACTCCAAAACAGTGTTGAACAAAGTGTTGTACCAGATACTTGATGTTTATGATGGGAATTTATTTATTTAAAAACAAAAAACAAACGAAGTGATTTTTTTTAAATAAAACATAAATAAAACAAAAGTTCTATTTAATTCAAAATATCGGTTGCGCGCTTTGTTTTCGATTGTGTGTGCTATCGAATGTTAGCAGAAACAGCTATTAATAGCTATTTCTAGCTAATTTCGATAGCCGATAGTTTAAAACACTGATTTATCATATGGCACCGACTGAGACGTTTACCAATACTATCGCTTGCACGTGCGATTCGTAAACAAAATGCGTTTTTGTTAATTTTACCCACAAAACCCTATAATTTAGCAACACAATGTCACGAATTATAGTTAAGCAGCTGCCCAAGCATGTATGTAATACTCGATTATTATTATGGAATTAATAACAGCCACCACAACCCTCGCCCGCAGATCACGGAGGACAAGCTGCGTCAGATTTTTGGGGCCCAGGGAACCATAACTGATCTGCAGCTTAAATACACGCCCGATGGCAAGTTCCGGCAGTTCTGCTTCGTCGGCTATAGCAGCGAGGATGAGGCACAGGCGGCCATACGGCATTTGAACAACACCTGCATCCAGACAAGCCGGGTGCGCGTGGAATCCTGCGCTGCCTTGGGCAGTGAGTCCAAACCGCAATCGTGGAGCAAGTATGCCAAGGATAGCAAGAAGAATCTGGACAAGCTGAAGGCCGAGGAGGAGGCGGGAAACACCAAAAAGAAAACCGACAAGGAGAAGAAACCAAAGGATGACAAAGTGGATAAGATTCTGGGCAAGCACAAGGATGATCCCGAGTTCCAGGAGTTTCTACAGGCCCACGACAAGTCTCGCACGCTGTGGGGCAATGATTTGGGCATAAATGGCAATCGAGAGGAAGAGGAAAAGGATGAAGAAGAGGATGAGGGGGAGCAGGATGAAGAGGTTAAAACACCAGCTGGCAGAGACGACAGCGGCGTGGATGCTGGTGATGAGGAAGTATCTGAGGACACGGCCAAACTGGCCGAGAAACCCATCAGTGATCTGGAGTACATGAAATCCCTGATGGCTGGCAAGGTGACTCCCTCAAAGAAAGCCGCCGCCGCCAAGGCGGATAAATCCAATCTGGAGCTGTTCACCATCAAAATACACAATGTGCCGTACAATACCAAGCGCCAGGAGGTGCTCAAGTTCTTCAAACCCCTGAAACCCTACTCGGTTCGCCTGCCCAGCAAGGTCCATGGCTTCTGCTATGTGGGCTTCAAAACCGAAAAGGACATGGCCAAGGGTATGCTCAAGAACAAGAGTTTCATCAAGGGCAAACAGGTTTTCTTTTCCGACTTTACCGAGAAGAACAAGGTGACCAAGGCGGGCAAGAGTGCCAGTGCCAGTGCCAGTCCAGCGGTGACTGAAACGTCCAATGCCAAGTGGCAGCAGCAGCAGGATGGTTTATCCAAGGAGGATAACATTTCCGAATCGGGCAGGATATTCTTTAGGAATCTGTCCTACACCACCACCGAGGAGGAGCTACGTCAGCTGTTCGAACAGTATGGTCCCGTGGTGGAGGTCAATCTGCCTGTGGATAAGCTAACGCGTAAGATCAAGGGCTTTGGCACGGTCACCTACATGATGCCAGAGCATGCCCTCAAGGCATTCAATGCTCTGGATGGCACCGACTTCCATGGGCGGCTGCTGCACCTCCTACCCGGCAAAGACATTTCGGAGAAGACAAACCAAGATGATCTCGATGAAAATGATGCCAGTCTTTCGTTCAAGCAAAAGAAGGCTTTGAAGCTGAAGAAGAACGCCCAAAAGCCCATTGGCTGGAATACTTTGTTTCTGGGCGCCAATGCCGTGGCCGAGATCCTGGCCAAACAGTTCAAGACCACCAAAGAGCGCATTTTGGACACCAGCGAGGGAGGCAGCAGTGCCGCCGTGCGCCTGGCCCTCGGCGAGACACAAATTGTTATAGAAATGAAGCGTTTCCTTGAGGCGGAGGGTGTCCGGCTGAATGCCTTTGATGAGCCGCCCAAGCGGCGTTCCAACACTGTGATACTGGCCAAGAATCTGCCAGCTGCCACGGAGACTTCAGAGCTGACGCCTGTCTTCAGTCGTTTTGGTCCCATTGGAAGGATTGTTCTGCCACCCAGTGGGGTGACGGCCCTCATTGAGTATTGTGATCCCTCAGAGGCAAGGCAGGCATTCAAGAAGTTGGCCTACAGCAAGTTTAAGAATGCTCCCTTGTATTTGGAGTGGGCACCGGATGAGGTCTTTACCAGGACACTCAGTGGGGAGGCGATTATACCCAAGTCAGAACCTAAAGCAGAGGTTAAGGTGGAGGAGGAGGAGGAGGAGCAAGAGGTAAAGGTGGAGGAGAAACCCCTGGCGGAAGATGCTGACGATGAACCAGAACCAAATACCACTTTATTCCTGCGCAACCTCAACTTCAAGACTGTCCAGGAGACGGTGGAGCGGCATTTCCGTCATTTGGGCAGCATTCACACGGTGGAAATAGCCAAACGCAAGGATCCGGAGAATCCACGTCAGCTCAATTCCCTGGGCTATGGTTTTATACAATTTAAAAAGTCAGCGGTGGCTGAGCATGCTTTGAAAAATATGCAGCTCACCCATATCGATGGCAATCCTGTGGAACTCAAGCGCAGCGATCGGGTGTTGAAGTGAGTTGAAAGTTATGTTTATCTGGATTTACCTGGATTTATTTTTTTTATATTTTCTGTTTTTTTTAGGAGCCAAGACCAGGCGGGTGCCCAGCGTCGCTTGGCCTCGCAGAAAATGCAAACGGGCACCAAGATTCTGGTGAGGAATATACCTTTCCAGGCGCAATATCGGGAAGTGCGGGATATATTCAAGTAAGTTGCTCATACCCTTGGGAGGAGCTCTCTTTAGAGCCTCTCTTTATCCTTGTTGGAGTTCCCCTTTGAAGCCTCTCTTTGTCCTTGTTGGAGTCCCCTTTTAGAGCCTCTCTTTATCCTTGTTAGAGCCCCCTTTAGAGCCTGTCTTTATCCTTGTTTGAAGCCCCCTTTAGAGCCTCTCTTTATCCTTCTTGAAATCCCTTTTTAAACCCTCTCTTTAACCTTTTCCTTTCCCCTCTTTCTTTCCCCTTTCCAGGGCCTTTGGCGAGCTGCGTTCCCTGCGCATCCCCAAGAAAGCCACCGCCGGCGAGGAGGCTCATCGTGGCTTCGGTTTCGTTGATTACATGAGCAAGGCGGAGGCCAAGCGTGCCTTTGAGGCACTGAGTGCCAGTACGCATCTTTATGGACGCCGTTTGGTGCTCGAGTGGAGTGCCAACGATGATAGCCAGGATGTGGAGCAGCTGCGGAAGCGAACGGCAACGAAATTTGGTGAAAGCCAGGCAGCCACTGCAGCCAAACGGAGTCGCAGGGCCTTCTTTGATGTGGAGGCGGTGGCGGCCCCAGAAGGCGACGAAGACGAAGAAGAATAATAAAATAATTGTTAACAATAAAAAATAATTTTGTAAAAAATATTTAACTCACAATTTCTAAATAGAATATATTTTATTTTATGCTTCTGTTTTTTTTGTTTCTTTTTTTTTTATATAAAACCTAAATTAATATAAAAAAAAAACAAGACGACCATCGACACAAAAAAAAAAACAGAATTTTTATAAGCAATACACATACATCGTACATATACATATACATATCATATCAAGTATCGATCATTGATCAATCAATCGGCCGGCAAAATCGCGCTACTACCTCGCTTTAGTAAATTATATAGTACTAAGTATATAGTAATTAATTGTATATATATAAGTAGGCATATCTGTCGCTAGATATATGCTTGTTAATATTGAAAATATTTTTGCAATTTGTTTTTGCCGGTTCTTTTGCGCTTTCGTGTTTCGTTTTGCAATAAGCTAGAGGCGGGGGAAGGGAGAGCTCTAGGCAGGGATGTATATCGAGTCTGATTTTGATATATCGAAAAAAAAATATATCGAAAGATTTGTAAACTTGAACATATTGAATTTTAAAATATAGAAAAATATTGCATTTAATTTTTAAATTTAAAAAAAAAAGTATACAAAAACATGTTGAATCTTCCTGTTTTCAATTCAATTTCAATTATATTAGTTTCATATATCAAACAGAATATCGATTTATTGCCCTATTGTATATCGCAACGTTGAAATATTGATTTATAAATCGAAAAATTATACAAAAAATTGTAAATAATTAAATCTTTCTTTTTTTTCAATCATATTAGTTTGATATATCAAACTGAATATCGATTTAACGCATAACTTTATATTGCAACGCTAAAATCTCAATTTATGATCGATACATCAATATTTTCCACCATCCCTAGGCTAAAGCTTATGTCTTCTACAGATCTACATAGGAATATATGTATAAAATAGTGGGAGGGGGTAAGCAATTAAGCAGCAGGGGAAGCTTTAGCATAAGGAGCTATTATAGTGTTAGACACTTGATCATCCCAGGTGTGTGTGTGTATGTGTGTGTTGTTTGTCTTGTGTGTGTGTCGCCATTGATTTAGATCAGTGAGTCTACGACTTGCCTTTGGATCACTGATTTAGATCCCTAATAAACTTAGCTTCAATAGCAGTTTCTTTTCCTGATCCTAGTCCTGATCCTGATCCTGGTCCTGGTATATACAATTGGCAGCACATCATCTCTCCGTCTCCCTCTTCTGTGTGTGTGTTTGTGTGGGTGTGCTTGTGCCAGAGAGTCAGAGGTGTAGGCGTAGGCTTTCATATTTATGTTAAAAAAATATATATATATAAATATATATATTCCATATGTGTGTGTGTGTGTTTGCGTGTCCCTCCTAATCCTTTTTGCGCGCCTGCAGAAAGCAATACAGTATGCCCGCCTGGGCCATCACATCCACAGTACTGGCAGCCAGCGGATCCTTTTGCTTCACCTGCGTCTGTCCCGGCCTCAGCAAGGTGGGCCCAAAAACCATGGCCAGATTGTGCAGCGACATCTTGTTGTCCGTCTCTTTTTCATGGACCCTGGAAATATGAAGAAAATAGCGTTCGTTTTGTAGATGAAAAAGAGCGAGAGGAAAGTTCATATAAATATCTAAAAAAAAAAGATATAAACTTACCTAATTAAATGATCTAGAATCAGACTGATGGAGGCCTTGTTGGCCTGCGGCAGCTCCTCAAACACCTTGAGCAGCTCATTGATCCTGGTGGCTTCGTTGTTATTGCTAAACGCACTGAAGGTGTCAAAGAAGCGCGGATATAACTGATCGGTGAACAGGGCCTCGGGCAGTTCGCGTAGGAAGCTCTTCAGTATGCCAGTGACCGAATGGATGTCCACTTCGCGGAGCAGCTGCTCAGCCTCATAGGCGTCTGTGTTGATGGATTTTATAATTATTTTAAATTAATTATTATTACAGAGATGGATTTTAGCATATTTTATTTAATATTATTTATTTTACAAGTTCTCTTACCCGATTCAAAGGCCTTCTTTAGCTTGGCCAGATCGGAGGCCGAGCCGCTGACGCGATAGCATCCCACCTCCAGCATCCCCCGACGCTCCACCTCGCGAATGCAGGCACTGATGATAAAGGGAATGTCGCGTTTTTCGCGTCTAAATAAAGAAATATTCATGTAAATACAAATTAATAAATATTATTTATAAATAAATTGATATATTAAAATAAATAAATGTTATTAAAAATAAAACTTGCATTGAATTGATTATTAAAATATTAATATTACTCACTTTAATACTTGACTCATTTTGGCACCGAAAAGTGCTCCCGGCTTGGTGGTGGCTCGGCACAGCTCCCCAGGCACAAACCGGAAGCTGCAGCCCAGCTCCAAGGTCTCGCTCAGCTTGATGCTACGCGTTTGCGTGGTCTCCGTCAGCCAGCTTAAGCTCAACTAAGGAAAAATATTAAAAAAAATTTTTTTTTAATATTACAAATATATTTAAAAATATTTCAAAAATATATAAAAATATTTTAAAAAATTGTAAAAGACTTTAAAGATTTTTCGTTTCAAAAAAACCCACCTTGAGTATGTGTTTGGCCCGCAGCAGAGGTCGCTCCTTGGCCTCGTACAACAGAATCCGCACATTCTGGCTGCCCTCCAGCTCGAGCATGAAACTCTCGTTCCACAGCGGCGTCTGGCTTCGGCAGACCATCTTGGTAGTGGCCTTGCGGAAATAATGACCATACGAATCCACCTCCACACAGATGTATAGATCAGCCGCCTGCTCGAGACCACTCAGGCCCTGGACACCCATATGCAGGTCGCCCACCAAGAGGCTCTCATCATTGGTGTTGCGCATCAGATACGAACCCATTTCAGTCTTCATGCCCCGCTGCATGGCCACAATGAAGGCGCTCACCTCCAGCGAGTTGATCGTATTGGCTCCAGGCAGATTGCACTTTTGCTAAGGACACAAAGAGGTTAATTTATATAATTCCCATATTCCCCCAAGTGCCACAAAAATACCTTGAGCGATGTTATCGAATCGATCCATTGCGTTCGCTCAAAGTCCGAGCTTAGGAAGAAGGTCATGGTCTTGTTGTTGGCCTTGTTGCTTAGCCGCAGCACCAGATTGGGTGTGGCCAGGACCAGCTGGGACTCCAGATCGGCCAGCTTGCGTTTGTATTTATCACCGGACCGCACTGGGCCATTGCTGGCCACCTCGAGGGCCAATTGATCGCGAACCGAACGCAAATTGCGCTTCACTTGCGAAATATTCGCTGGACTAGATTCCTTGAGCTCGGCAGCGGGATCAGCCTCTTCGATAATGCTGACATCCTTCAGTGGAATAAACCACTTGAGCTCATAGTCAATGCGATCCCTACCCAATGCCTTGTACTTGGCGCAGGCAATCACATCATTGAATAGGAACAGGTGACGCAGCTTCCGATGCCCGTCGACCAGCTCCACGATGAACGAGTTACGTACCATTCGCCGCAAATTTCGATTCGATTCGCTGGGCAACCGCTGATTGACCACATTGAACTGATTGAGGAACATCTGAATGATCTTCTGCGCCTGCCTCAGCGGCTGATGATCCGGATGGGCGTTCGGTGTCTCGCGTAACAGATCGTTGAACACCAACGCATTGATCTGTACCCTGGCCACTGGTTTGTGCAGCAGATCCTCCAGCGTCAGTGATTGCTCTGTCTGAAGATTGACCACAATTGTGGAGACAATCTTCTTGAATTGCGGATTACTGGCACTGCACTTCTTCACCGTATCGATGGCGTTCTTGTAATTGTGCAGAAAGGCGCTGTACAGATCAAACATATCGGCCAGCCGGCGAAAGGGTTCGCCTATGAGCACATCACCGCCCTCGTGGGACACTATGGTCTTCAAATCGTTGAGGAAGCCGGTGTGCAGCTCATACAGTTCGTCGATTTTAAAGAAAATCGTGTTCTCCTCCTCCTCCTTGATCACAGGCTGCGAGGTGTTGAGCGTGGCATGGATTGCTTTCTTGTACTGCAAAAGAAGGGGGGGAACAGGGGGTTTACGTTTTTTAATTGAAGTTAATTTTTTTGTAAGTTTAATTTAATTTAAGTTTTTTTTTTTTTAATTTAGTTTTTGTGGCACTTTTTAATTTAATTTTAAAAATATAATATTTTTGGAATTTGTTTCAACTAAATTTTTACAAAGAATTAAATAATTTAAATTTAAGTTAATTTTTTTCTTTTTTCACCATTTTTAATTTATTCAGAAAATGTTATATTTTTTGCATTATGTTTCAAACTAAATTTTCATTTTTTAATTGAAGTTAATTAAAAAAAAATTATCTTTTAAGCCATTTATAAATCCCAAGAATCAATAAATATATATAAAAAGATCAAGTTTGTATCCCCCGAAATCCCTCTTATACCAACTGATCTTCCATTTTAGTGATAAAAATAATTAATTTTCATTTATTTGTTTTCAAGTTACATAAATGCAATAATATTTTATATAAAGATACAAAACTTTAGTGCTATATATGTTGATATATTTGTGCTATATGTTGAAAAAATGATAAGTACACTTAAGGAACTTTTGCAGGTCAAGAGCCAAGATTAAGAATTTTTAATTTAATATAATTACAATGATCAATGCAATTTATTTATTTCTTTTTAAAAATTCTTGAAAATGTAAATATTATGCCAAAAGTCACATTCGTGATACTGGAAATGTCCAGTTTGGTAAAGAGTCTAGTGTTCAGTGGCAAGATCTCTCCCGAGACAGGTGAAGTTTTCGGAGATCCCTTGCTCTTTCTCTCTCTCTCTCCTAATCCGTGATGGAGATCTGGGCAAAGCCCACCAATAATCGTTCATCCGGGACTTCACCCGGCTGGACGCCGGATATCAATTGAAAAGTGATCTTCTTCATGGTGCTGCTGGCGGCTATCAGTTTCTCCAAATGCTGGGTCATTGGCAGGATGTCCAGGGCATCTACCAGGGCAGCATCGACCAGCTCCTTGGCTATACACTCGGCGGTGTCCTTGCCGGACACAAACTCAAAGCGTATGTCATGGAGTTCACGTTGGACATTGCGCATACGCATGCGCAGGACAAGATTAACGGGTGCCGCAGAAGCTTTGGTTAGCGGTAGCTGGGCGAATCTAGTGTTTGCCTCATGATTAGGAACAGGAGCACCAATAGCAGCTCCCTCATCTTGAGTCTCTGAAGTCATTGTGGCATCCGGTGATGATTCCTCTTTATCACTATCCGAGGAATCAGCTTTGGCCAAGCAATTTATGGGTTTGTCCTCCAAGTCCGAGTCCGAGGAGGGTTGATTTTTACCACCACCGCCACCGGAGTTGGAACTCGAAGCGAAGCCAACCGAGCTACTGCTATCCTCCTCTTCCTCCTCCTCCTCATCGCTGGACCAAACCCATTCGCCGGACATTGAGCGATGCAAGCATCCTGGTTGCTTCTTTGCCGCCTTGTGTACCCTGATCTCAAAACTGGGACCAGATTGGATCAGCGTCTGGACGAGATACTTTCGATCCTTGGCCTTCTTGAAGAAGGCATGTTTGAGGAGCTCACTGGCCATGGGCCGTTTGGCGGGATCCTTTTGCAGACATTCGGCAATCATCTTGCGAAAGGTCTTGCCATATGCCTTGTACTGATCCTGGTTGAGGGCAGCCGTATCCAGGGTGGGCGGTTCGTTTTGGAGGGTCAGCATGAGAACCTTCATCGGGGGATACTTGTGATAGGGTGCCGTTCCAGTGGCCATCTCAATGGCTGTTATACCAATGGACCAAATGTCTGCCTTAAAGTCATAGCCATGATGTTGCTCCATCACCTCCGGTGCCATCCAACAGGGTGTCCCGACGAAAGTATGACGCACCTTCTGGCGCGACAAATCACAACCGGTGGCCAGCCAGGCACTCACCCCGAAATCAGCAATTTGTATGGTTCCATCGTTGCCAATTAGTATATTTGCCGACTTGATGTCCCGATGGATTTGTCCATTGGAATGAAAGTACTCCAGACCGCGTAGCACCTCCTTGAGGGCTGTGGCAATGGTGGCCTCGTCAAAGACACCCTGCTTGCAGTTGGAAAGGCGCATCTTGTGCTTGATAATGTCCAGTAGGGAGCCACCCTCGAGGAGGCGCAGCACCAGCCAGAGTTCTTCATCCACCACAAAGGAGGTGTGATAGGTTACCACATTCTCGTGATTGCAGGAGGCCATGGCCTGGATTTCCTTGAGCAGTTCATCCATTGATGTATTCCATCTCTCCAGATTGATGCGCTTAATGGCACACCTCTCCTTGCGGGGCACACAGAAGGCTCCGTGGACAACGGCCGTGGCTCCAACACCAATTACATCGCCCAGTTCGTAGCCATCTCTGGTGTTGGGCCACATCTGGCGTTTGTTGGGGGATTTAGAGGGTTCTCCAGGTCCAGTTGGTCTAGTGGGTTCTACTCCTACTGCTCCTCGTGCAACAGCAGCTGTTCCTCTTCCACCTCTTCCTCCTTCTCCGTTTCCTCCTCCTGCGGCTCTTCCTTCTGCGGCTCCTCCTCCTGCGGTTCTTCCTCCTCCGAGCCCTTCTCCTCCTCTTTCAGCTCTTCCTCCTCCAGCTCCTCCTCCCCTTCCTCCTCCATTATTGCTGGACATATTGCCTGGCACCATGTAGGCCATATTCCTGTTGCCATTTCTAGCCGCCATGTGGCTGAGGTGGGGAGGAGGTGTGCCAGGTCGATGGCGGATATTCATTATCAGTGGGAAATCTTTTTTTTATATAAGGAAATTATGTTTCTTTTACAGGTTATAAAAAGGATTTTCCTGGTGGTTCAGTCTTTGGTTAATGCTTATCCTTTTTTGGTTTAACTTCTCCTTTTTTTTATACAAATTTCACTGATCTTCGACTGCTTTTTATTAATTTCTCACTGGGTTTATATACTTTTTACATTTTATACCCGGTTTTATAGGTTTTTAAGTTGATTTTATTTTTAGTTATTTTATTTATTTATTTATTTTATTTATATTTAAGTTTTAATAAAGTTTAAGTGCACTTTTAAGATCAATTTTCAGTTCAATTTTAAGTTTAATTTTAAGTTCAATTTTCAGTTCAATTTAAAGTAAAATTAAAAGTTCATTTTTTAGTTAAATTTTAACGTGAATTTTCCAATTTTATTTTTTGATTCACGTCCAATTGGGCCTGGCTGCCAGTTTTGAGTGTCGGAAAATTGTCTTTCAAAGTTTGAAGACACCGGCAAAAAAGCCATTGTTTTGATAACGCTCCCAACTGATTTCGATAAATCAAATTGAAATATGAACTATCTTTACCGATCTTTCTCTCTCTCTGTTGAGCCGAGCTTGCAAATTAAGAGTAAAAAAAAATATAAAAAATAATCCACCCTTTGTCTCTTCATAGAACTCCTCTTCCACATGCAAAGAGCCATAAAAACTCCCAGAAAAGAGAAGGGAGACAGAGAGAGCTTATTAAGAGTCAGCAAATGATCCAAAAAAAGGGGCTGACAAGGCTTTAAAACGCCGATTTTATGGCATAAATCATAAAAAAAAAAACTATCTTTAATATACATCTTGTATTTATTTATTGTTTTGTGGATTTAGGGGGTGAATTTAACAAGGGGGGGGAATTTAACTTTTAAGAAGTTGCAGTTTATAGCCCTAAAAATCTTACTTTTTATTATAAAATCTTTGTAATTATTATTAAATTTATTAAAACTAAATAAACTAATTTCTGAATATTAAGAAGGAAATAACTTTTAAAATTTATAATAGAAATAAGACTCTTGATCTTGGAGAAAATATTTACTTAAAAGTCTTCTTCGAAGTTTATACCCTGTAAAATCTTTATTTTTATTATAAAATCTTTGTAATTATGGCTATATAATATAGTCATCCGATTTATCAAAAATAAATTTTAAAATTAATTTCTATATTCGTAAAAAAAACTTTGGAAAAATATTAATATTAATAAAAAATTTTATTTATCAAAAATGAATTTTAAAATTAATTTCTCGAAGTTTATATTCTTTAAAATCATTATTTTTATTGAAAGATATTTATAATTACGTATATATATTTAGAAATAAATATAGATATATATAAATAAATATATATAACATTTAATATATTTATAAATATTCTGTAAACGAGTGTTTCCCCCTGAAACATCATTCTATAGACTACAGGACTTGAGCAAGTTTAAAATATTTTAAAATTCTCCTACCTTAACCTACTGAAAGATATATCTTATTCTGATTTAATACAAGTCTAGTAAACTCACCTGCATCATTTTATTGAGGCACTCCACATAGATCGTCTCGCTGTGGATAATCGAGCTGAGTATGGAACGTATTTTGGCACCGCGGGCATTTCCACAGACCTAAACAAACATTAAAAGAATAGTATTTTTTTTTTTGTTTTTTTTTTATAAAATGAAAGTTCGTGCAAGTGTATAAAATGTGTGTGTACACAAATAGAAACATTATTATATACATATATGTATAATAAAAGAAAGAAAGATAAGTGTTTTACCAACCAATTCCAGGACTAAATACAAAACTGAAACCAAAATAGACTTGCAAATATTACAAAAAAGATATATACAAATAGATATAGAGATTATAAAAACTTGGACTTTAGATCAAGGTGATGTTGATATAGAAATTTGCAAGACTATAGGGTACACAAAAATCGAAACAAAATCTGAAATTGAAACAACGCCACTCGGACAAATAGGGGAAATAAGGGATTATAGTATATAGTATATATATATGCATATGGACAGTGTCCGATGTACGAGATAAGTGGAAGCAAGAGGAGAACATAGACCATATGGAAATTCGATCGGGGGCGATCGGGTGCACATACATATATACATATGGATTGTAATCATGGTCGTGAGCGAGGAAAACAAAACTCAAATGATAAACAAACACGGCGAGGAAGCGCATTCAAAAAGCTATATCCAAACAGATCAAACACGATTATGTACACAGATAAATGTCTATATATATATATACGTATAAAGACTGCTATATCGTAAGCTGATCCTTTGTACTCACAAGTATCGCTGAAACTAAGTTCTGTTGGGAGGAGAGAGAATAAAGAGAGAGAGAGAGAGAGAGAGAGAGAAAGAAAGAGACACGGAGAGTGAGAGAGAAAGAGTGAAGACACAAGAAACGAAAATTATGGTTAGTAAAAGTTATTAGTAATTACTCAAAGCCCACAAATAACAGTTGAGCTTTACAAAAGGGATTCCATTAGGTATCCTTTTCATAGAGGCTCTCTTGTTACTCAATGTGAGAGCGGAGAGTAATTTCAAGAGAGCTCAACTTAAGCGCTCTCTACAAGCTCAATCCAAATGCTCTCTCAGCTGAGAACACTCAATGAAATAGGAAACCCTTAAGAGAACAGAAAGCCTGCTGGATTTTTCCTTAGGAAAACTGATCAACTTTTGTCGGTGAGCTTTGATTATAAATATTTCTTAAACTTTTAATTTAAACTTAAGATTATGAAAGAGATTTGTAATAAGGATATTCTGGGATATGTCTGAGACTGTTCCTACTCAATATATAAATTTAATTTCTTGGATTTCCAGACTCTGATTAAGCCAAGCTGTCATAAATAATAGTTAAATGTAAGCAATAATTAATAATTAAATATTGCAAGTAACTGAGAAGTTAGAGAATATTTTTCTAAGAAAAATTCTGAAAATAGCTAGACAAATATTTTTCGCACTATAAAGCTTTGTCTATTTCTTTTCTATATATTTTAAAAATCCTCACAAAGCATTTCCAATTTGAGACCGACTTTAGAAATTAGTTTTTGCTATGCAATTTGAAATCAATTAGCGATAACGAAAAATATGTTAAGTGGCAAAGCGTGAGCTTAGTCATCAGTGGGATTGCATCAACCCACCCCCTTTGGGATACTATAGAAACCTATAGCTATTAGCTCAAGCTCAAGCTCAAGCTGAAGCTGAGCTAAGCTTAGCTGCTACAATGATTATGATGATGACAACGTTGAGCTTGGCTGGGAATGTGAAACAAGGTTCGGTTTGGACTATTAAAAAACTAAAAAAAAAACACCTGGGCAATGCATTCATCCATGAACTCGGAAAGTACTCACCTTGCGAAGGGCTCCCGGCGTGGTTTGCGACGATGTGGTGGTCTGCTCGTCGTGCGAAATGGTGCGCAGTATGGGCGGACCCTCGTACTCCCCGTCGCTGTCCAGAGAGCTGGAGCGAGTCTCGTTGCTTTGTCTGTTAAGGAAATGTTTTTAAAACATATATTTAATATATAAATTAATAAATAAATAAATAAATATTACAAAAAAAAATATATATAAAAATTGAACAAAATTTAAATTGCATAAAAATATAAAATTTTATAAATATTAAAAATTAAAAAAATAAAAATATACAAAATATATTTAAAAAAATATAGAAATATGAAAATTTAAATTGTATAAATATAAAAATTAAAAAAAAATATATATATATAAAAATTAAAAAAAAAAATTTTATATATAAAAATTTTTTAAAAATATATATATTAAAATTTTAAAAATTTTATATATATTAAATTGTATAGGTAAATATAAAAATTGTAAAAAATATATAAAAATGGAAATATATGAAAATTTAAAATATATTAAAATATAAAATTAAATTAATTAAAAAATTATTAAAATACAAAAATATAAAAATATACAAAAATACAAAATTAAAAAATATATAAATTTCTTAAAAAAAAAAAGAAAAGAAAATAGAGGAAAAGCTTCTCTCAAACTTACTGTAGGAAGTAGTCAATGTTGACATAGTTGGAGGTCCGGCCTGGAGATTCGGGATCCGTCACATTGGCCAAGGGCAGTGTGCTACTGCTACCGGGCGTGGACAGGTCATCGCGACTGGAGGAGGAGCCGGTGCGGCCGGGTTTAATGAACACATACTCGCCCTCGCCATTGTCCAGCGGTACGCTATCATAATACGGTTCATTGTCGGCCACCGTTGATGCGGCTGCTTGTGCCGCTGCTGCTGCTGCTGCCGCCGCCTTGGCGCTGTCTGAACTCAGCGAGGATACGCTCTCATAGCTCTTGATCTGGGGGAATATCAGATTAAACTACTGATTTTTTATACATTTTTATCTCATAAACTCACCACCTCTGATATGCCCTGGGATGCCAGCGATTCCTTGGAGCCCACACTTCGCTGATTCGCTGATCCGCCCTCCGCATCGCTGGCCTGCAGTGAGGTGCGTGACTTCTTCTCCAGGCTGCTCGTCGAGCTGCTATCCGTTGCTGCCAGTTTCGCTGTCTTGCTCAGACTGCCTGTGGGTGAGGCACCCACTCCTGTGCTACGTCCCGGTGTCAGGGCTCGTCCTGGTGTAGATGCTGTGCGTCCCAAACTACCGCCGCCGCCGCTCGAAGGAGAAGCTTCACTTCGTTTAGCCTGCTCCAAGCTGCTGCTGTTCTCTGTTGTCTTGCCCACCATTTTGCGACCAAGTTCCTCCATCAATTCCGGATTATTCACATTCACGAATTTGCCCAGCTCAGGAGTGGTCTTACGATTTGCAGCATATTTGGAGTCCAGATTCTCCGACGATTTCTGTCGTAGAATGTCCGAGGGCTTGATATTCCGTTCCAGCGAGTTACCGGGACTATCCGAGGAGGCGGAAAGGCTGCCACCAGAGCTGCTTGGCAGCGGCATTGTGCTGCCCGTGAAGGGAGTATCCCGCTTGGGAGAGGATGACAGCTGCTGACCGGGAATGGTGGGGGGTTCCACGCGCCGTATATTCTTGGGCGGAGGTCTGTAGGAAGAGGGGGAAGAGTTGGTTTATTTTTTTAATATTATATAGAAAATATTGTAAACTCTGATTAATTGCAAATTTAAATATGGAAATTATCGCATTTATCGTTTAAAAATCGATAATTGCGAAAGGTCATTAAAAAATGTTAATTATTTTATTTGTGGGTTTTTTTTAAAATAATATTTAGATATATGTAATTGTAAACTCTAATTTATCTTTCTAATCAAGAAGAGTAATTAACTTTCTTTTTTGGAAATTTTAAAAATTTAGTTTTTTAAAATAAATGCTTGATAAATTTTTTTAAAATATTTTGTAAATAATTAATATTATATTTATTGATTAAATTAATTTATTAAGCATTTATTTAAACACCTAAAACTCTTTAAGAAACAAATTCCCAAGAAAATTTCACTTAAAAAATAATTAATTTAAGTCCTTATTGCTGTGGATTTCCTTCTTTTCCAGAGTTTACAACCAGTTTTTCCAGACAGACATACACACTCACCTGGGTGGCATTTTCTTCTTGGCCTCCACGTGGGCAGCGTACGAGGTGAGCGACGGCGACAACGGCGGGGCCGAGGGTTCCGCACCCAGTCCTCCTCCTCCAGTGCCTCCTCCGCTGCCCGCATAACGAGCGAATGTGGAGGGCGGCGTGGGTTGTTGCTGCTGCTGCTGCTGGTCATTGACCGACGACGACGACGACGTGGCTGTATCGTCACCCTCTTTGTCTTTGGCCTCCTTGACCTGGATGACGGTGACGTACTGCGATGTGGACTTGCGCAGCGGCACTTTCGTAGACTCCTTGTCTGCATCTCCACCACCACCTCCTCCGCCTGCGCTTGCTCCACTTTGTGCTGTGCCATTGTCCGGCTGGGCTTTGATGGAGGCCGCCAGCTCTGTGATGCACTGCTGTAGGGCACCATTTGCATCCTTCTCATTGCCGCTATCCTTGTCCCGATCCTCGCGCTCAATTAGCTGCGGTATCCGCTGCTTGCCGCCTCCACCCGTTGGCGGTGCTGATTGTGGCGGAACGTTGCTGCTGCTACTGCTGCTGCTCCCCGTTCCGGCAGCATTTGTGTGTGTGTACTTGTTGTCCGTGTTCAGGGACAGGCGATCCTTGTCCTTGCCCGACGTCGACGAGGACGATTCGCGCAGATTTAAGCTAGATTTCTGCAAGCACAAGAAGAATATATTTATATATATATTATATATAACTGAGTAATTGAGTGATCTCTGAACCAATCAGTAATCAGTAATCAGCAATCAGTGTTAATGTAACTCAATCAAGTTGAGAGCGGCACACAATATACTTCTTAAGGAAATTAAATTAAAAGAAAAGAGTTTCGACATATTTAATAAGAGTTAAGTAAAAATAAATATATATAACTTAAATAATAATCAATTTTATATTAGGAATATTCTTAGTTTAAAAAAAACCTAAATGATAAGTTCTAAGCTTTACTTATCATTTATATTTAACAAAGAATATCTCTAATATAATTATTATTATTATTTAAAGTATATGTTTTATTAATATTGAGGTATTCTTTGAATTTCAAAAAATATTGCTATTTTTAAATTTTAAGAATTTACATTTTTTAGGTTTTCTTGAAGGGAAATTATAATTTTTTTAGTGAACCACTCATTTCCAACCCCATAAATTATATATATTCTTGATCAGCATTAACAGGCGCGTCATTCTAGACATGTCCGGAAGAAAACAATTTTTTTTAAATTTTTTTCCCGATTTTATAAGGGGTTAAATCGTTAAAATTAAAAAAAAAAAATATTTTTTTTAAATTAAAAACTCAGAAAGTAGATTTGTTAATCTATAAAAAACTTGAACAGATCAGCTTTCCGATTTGAATTTAATGCTTTTTTGGCTGAGTTATAATATATTTAGGATTTGATTTTTCCAATAAAAAATTGCGAGAATTCAAATATTTCAGGTTTTCTTGAAGGGAAATTATAATTTTATTTAGTGAAGCAGTCACTTCCGACCCTATAAACAATATATGATCTTGATCAGCATCAACAATGTCCGGACAAATTGTATTTTTTTAAATTTTTTTTTTTTAATTTTATAAAAGGTTAAAATTATATAAAAAAAATGCAAAAATTTTGATTTATTAAAAATTTAAAATATAGTTTGCAGATTTTTGAACCTATTAAAAACTGGCATAGAAATACTTTCAAATTTAAAATTGAAGCTTTTTTGAATAACTTTTAATAATTTTAAATTTAAATTTGTAAAAAAAAATATTTAAATATTTAATATTTAAAAATATTTAATATTTAATAAAATTTAAATATTTAAAAATATTTAATATTTAAAAAAATGTAAATATTTAATATTTACAAATATTTAAATTAAAAATATTTAATTTGATTTGTCAAAGAAAATTACATTTTTTTTAAATATTAATTATTATTTATTTATTTATTTTTTTTATTTTTTTAAATAATTTTTCTCTAAATAAATATATGTATATGTATGTGTATATAGATACAAATAATTTTATAATTTGTATAAAATACATATACAATACATTTCTTTATTTATCTTCTAAAGTTAAAAGTTCAATGGTTTTCAGGTAATCAAACAGAGAAAGAGAGAGAGAGAGTTATTTAAAATTATCATAAATGCACACCAGAATGCTGGGAGAAATCGGTAGCAATTCTCCAATTCTCTTCTCCAAATGGCCAGAACCAAAAACGGGAGTAAGAAATACTCTACTTCTACTTCCCAGTTTCGCCAACCAAGTGTTAATTGGCTCGGGCGAGCGGGCTTTAATCCCCAGGGCAAATATATACACAGACATACCCAGCAAGGCACACCCCCGCGCACTCTTTTAAGCCCAAACCTCAGCTCACCTCAACTGAATAAAACTATTTATATATACAAAGTAAAATGCCAAGCACGTAGAGCATTTCATTTCGTTTAATTTCATTTCGATTCGAGCCGTTTCTCCACTTTAAATGGCTGAAAACCGAACACAAACTTGGCTCGAACTCAAAACGCGTGCGTGCGTTCGTTCGTTGGATCTTTCTTCGCTCTTCGCCACAATATTTATTTGTATTTTGGGGCTTTTGAACAAAAAAAAAAAAAAAAAAAAAAAAAGTGAAAACTACACACGGGTAAGTAGAAACAAACAAATAAATGCGAGCCAAGAAATACAAATAAATAAAGAGAGCAGCTTATTACCAAAATGGAAAATTGCCAAACCAAAAATTGTTTTTTAGAGGGGGGAAAAAGTAAAGAGACTAAGGAGAGGAGAGGAGAGCTGGTGGGTGGTGGAAGTGGCGGTGTCGGCGGTTTTAGATGGATGGATAGACTACTGGTGGATGTGACCAAGCGAAGAAATGAAGAAAGCGTGCCCAAGTGCGACTCAAAGCCATCGAAGGTCGATGGCTACTTGGTCTCTCGTCATGGAAAGAAGAACAGCTTGTGGCTGGGCAGGAATACATTTTAAATAAAATCGGAAGCTATAATGAATATTTCAATAAAAATACGATTTTTAAGATTTGTGCTATATTGTGTGACTATTTTAGATCCTGAATGCTGATTTTGTTCTGTATAAAAAATTAAATTTTAATAGAAAAACAATAAGTTTTATTTATAATTTACTCTTCCATTACTTAAAACCATTAATTTATTTAGTTTAAACATTTTTAAGCCCCTGATTTTAAGCTAGTTAAACATACATAAATTCAAAGCATTTCTTAGCTGTACTCTCTTGCGTTTCTCCCACATTTTATCATCGTTTCACGCTTTTTTTCTGCTCTGCATTGATACAATTACTTAGCATATTGTTCAATTAACGGGCAGCACTTGGGGTCATAGGCAGCTTATCAGAGCCGACTTTTTCTCAGGCTGAGTAACGGGTTCCCCCGCCCCCTCTCAGTTGTCCTCAATAAATGGAAGAGATTTATTAATAGGATTTACAGTCTAAGGTAAAAAAAATAAACAACAAATATTTTAATAATTTATAATTCCAGGAGAAATAAATAAAATAAAATTAAAAAAATTCTATATTTATCGAAAATCTCTTAAAATCTATAATTCTTCAAGAAAATAAATACTTTTGGGGAATAAAATCTACAATTTAATGGTGAAAATATATATTTTTAAAATATAACCTATAATTCTTAAAAAAATATATATATATATATTATCCGGAAAAATCTATATTTCTTAAAGAAAATAAATATTTTCATAGTGAAAAATAAATCTGTTATTCTTAGAGAAAATAAAAATATTTAAACTAAAAGGTCAGAAATAAACAAAAGAATGTCTGCCATACACAAATGAGCGTTAATTGATTCGACTTTATTATGACACAATCATCATTTTCCCAGAACATTTTATGATTCGCAATTACCATTTCGAATTCATATGGTATTTATAAACTTTACATTTTCTATATATATATATATCGTAATATATTTATTCGATGATTCAAACTTCACTCAATGACTCCTTTCTGCAAAGTTTTTTCAAATTTAAAAACAGCTGTTTGGTTGGTTAAATGAAAAACCGCGACAATCTTTTGGCCAAAAGTCACCCGCATGTAACTATAAAACAAATTGAAGTATGTGCGCCCCTCCTTTCGTGGTCATATTGATATGGATTGCAGCTTATCAGCGGACACATTGTGTGTGCGTCTCTTGCGTCTGCACCCAGATTGCCAAAGGGTACACCAATACACCGACAGCGAGGCAGCAAAACAAAAAGCACAGCGCGGTTTCACGCCTTTTTTTTTTTCAACTGCTTTCTTCTTACCGCCCCCCGAGACGCTTGTCTTGTTTTTTTTTTCTTTTTTTCTTATTATTATTATTTTTCTTTTGGCCTTACCACAGGCAAGATCATAATAATAGCAATGAACTCTGGCTGGGAGATGACAGGTGCTTGCTTTGAGATAAGTGTTTTGAAGATCTGTATCTTTATAAGGATTATACACTTGGAATTTAGTGGGTAAATTATAAAAAATTATAAATTAAAAAAAAAGACAGTTTGGTGACATCTTAAAATTTCATCTTAAGGTTTTTTAAATAACAAAACAAAGCATTTTTTAAGTAACCAGAAGTTCAATGATATATAAGATTAAAAAAGACGACGAGGAGTAAAGAAATATAGAAGAAGAATTTGTATGTCTTAAATATTAAATAATAATAAATTAAATAATAAATATTAAATAATAATAAATTAAATAATAAATATTAAATAATAATACATTAAATAATAAATATTAAATAATTATACATTAAATAATATCCCAATAAAACCCCCAAATTTGAATCCCAATTATAAAGGAATTTAAGTTTTAACAAGAAACTAAGAAATCTGGTGAATATAATTTCAAAAAAATCTATTAAAATCAATTTATTTAAGACCTATTTTACACATATTGGAAATTTTCGAAATATTGGGATATAAATTTTTAATAAAAAGCAAGCTTAATGGCATAAAATAATTCAAGATATTGCAAAAAGTCATTTCCGGAATTATATATATTTATGTATTGCATTATTTTCATTCATTATTTATTATTTATTTATTAATTATTTTAAATCAAAAAGTTCTAGATTTTTTCTTTGTATTTGTTTATTTTTAAAACATACACTTTGTAATCCATAAATAACTATATTTTTGGAGTTACAAAAAATATACTTATTTATGGATTACAAATTGGCAACAGTTGACTATTTTTTTCACCTCAATTGTGCCTACTGTCTGTTTGTATTTTGTTTTTTTGTAACGCTTTTTTTTTTAGCCGCTAGCCGTTATTGCTTAATTTCTCGGCTACACAAATACACCTATATAGATATATATATATATATATGTATATATATATATATGGCCCCAAGATAGAGCTATAGCTATTGGGAGGTGTCTCTGTGTGCGCCGTCGTTTTTGCGATAACTTTATTGATTTCGACTTGTGATATTATAGAACCAGTAACAATTGTTTTTTTGTTTTTTATATCTTGGAATTTGAGTTTTTTTTTTAAATTATAATATTTAGACTTAAATTTGTCGAGTTTTTTCTGTAAGATAAAATTCTTAATTGTTTACGCACCCCTCTGGACCATAATTTGAATTTCTCTTTAAAGGAAGCCATGCTGCTTCCCAAATTAGCGCCACTTTGTTGTAATCCTTGTTTGTCTTTTTTTCAAGTTATTGTTATGTGCAAAATGTATATGTTTATATATAAAAATCGAATCAAAATCCACAAATCCCTGGGCGGAAAAAGGGAGAGACTGGCGACGACTTAGTGACGATGACTAGACGACGCCGGCAGCGACGCTGGCGTTGACCACGAAACTTGAGTCAACCGAACGTTACACACACGTTAACACACACACACACACACACACACGCATATACAAACACCTGCACCAACGGAAGACGGAGCTCTACAAATGCCAAAAACAACAAAAACAATAAAAAAAAATATATATATAAAGAGTATATGTATTTTCTTTTCTTAATATTTTTTTACGTAATTCTTTGTTATTGTTTGCTCCGTTTTGCAGGTGTTTAATTGGGCTTTTTTGTTCTTATTATTCAAAGCGACTTTTTTATTGGATTTCCGCTTGACTCTATATAGATATATATCTTGTATTATATTCCATATAGGCCTTAGACTTTTTAGCACTATTTTTTAAGTATATTTCTTTTTTGTGGCCACCCGTATCCGTCCGTTGTTGCTGTTATTCACCCAAAACTACAAACTGGCGACAATATATGCAGCGTTAAACGTCGTCGCTGCTGCCGGCAGAGAAAAGCCTACGGAAAATATACTAAAAAAAAAAGAGAGAAAAAAAAAAAACGCACACACACACACTGATGTAGCTGTAGCTGGAGCTGGAGCTGTGGTGTGGGTAGATAACGGCCCGGGCAACGGTTCCCCAGATATCGGTCCCGCAGTGGTAGAGCCCGTGGACATATAGCTATATATGCACACACTTTGATAGGGTTCAGCGAAGGCGGGCGACAATTGTGACAGAGGAAGCCGCAGAGGCAGAGGCTGAGGCTGAGGCTGAGGCAGAGGCAGCGGCAGAACCAGCTGTTGCATGTTGGCCAATTTGGCTTGAAATAAACCCGAAATCAAATATCTAAGGGTAGTCCCTCTAAAGATACATTTGTATTTGTTGTCTTAAAATCATAAACTATACAAATTTGTTCTTAGTTTATAATTTTTAACTGCCAGTTACAAATGCATCTTCTAGATAGTTTCCTTTTGAAAACAATTGACTCTTCCTAGACTGACTTTTAATAAAATTTAAAGAGATCTTTTAAATCAAGATTGCAATATCCTAGTCTTTACAACTTCTTCGAACTAGTTCCCTTCTATATCTCATAATCTTGTAGTATAGTTTTCCTTTTTGTTTACTTTTTGTTAGCTGGGTTCGACTGCGCTGCTTTGCTTCTTTTCCACTCCTCCCCCTCGCTTTCCCCAACCCAACTGATAAGCAGGCAATGACATTTGCCAAAGAAATCGACGACGACGACAACAACGGCGGAAAAGAAGCAAATGCCAGCGAACAAAGCTGGCCGCCTGGTAGCAATACCCCAGCCCTTTCACGATCCAAATAGTATAGGCTATATAGCAGCATAAACCATAAGCTTAATAGGGGACGGAATCAACAGATGCACTGGGACTTTCGAGTATAAATGCCATAAATGCATATTATATTAGTATCTCCCCCTAAGCAGCAAAGAAAGTGAAAGATCAACAAATATTATTATTATTAAACATTTTTTCTAGGTTAACATTGTGGGCCTTAAGTTTGAAATTGATTTTAACGGTCGATCATTAATCGAAATTACTTATAAAGGCGACATTTAGGGGAACTCCCTAACTGGGCGGTAATTTTAAATTTGGTACGAACTACTAAAAGTTAATTAGGTAAAGTTAAAGGCACAATTTCTAAGCAATATTTGTTTATATTATTTGAAAACAAATGTCTGTTGATAGATCTTGTTATTGTTAGGAGAATATCAAAGATATAATAGTACTAATACGGTTTTTTATGACTGTTTCTGGTGTGGAATAAGGATTCAAACAACAAATATTTATATCTCAAAGATGTAACCATTTTTATACCATAACAGGGTATTATAATCTTAGTCAGAAGTTTGCAAGCTTAAAATTTAAAAAAAATTTTTTTTTTTTTTTTTTAACGATGTAACATCGTTAAAATTTACAAAAAAAAAAGTTAAAAATGTTGATTTCTTTAAAAATTACATTTAGTATACAAATTTATTAATCTTGAAAAAATTAGCTTAGAAAAACTTTCCGAATTGAATTTGCTGCATTTTTGCCTTAGTTATGCAAATTTCAGCTTTCCAAAGTTGGTTTCCTTTTTTGTTTTTAATAAAAAGATATTTATAAAGATACAAGATATTTGCAGATAGCATTATATATTATTCACACCCTAATATTTAATATATAATCATTATATCTCATTTAAACCCTAATATTATCTCTAAAAAATAATCCTTTTAAACCCTCGTAAAGCCTTAACAAATAATCCCCTGTACTTACAAACTCTTTATCCACGCCTGCTGTTGATCCCGCACCATTTGTGGTGGTGGTGCTGCTGCCATTGTTGCTGCCATTTCCATTCCCACTCCCGCTGGCTGCCTCAAAGAGAGCCGTGGGATCTCCACCGGAGGCACGATACTTCTCCACGTCGGATAAGAGCCGCTCCAGATACTCCACATAGAGGGTCTCCTGCTCCAGCTCCTTGCTTAGCTCGCAGATCTTGAGCTTGTGCCGCTCTAGGCTTGCCCGCACATCCTGCTCCCAGGCGTCGGACAGGGAGCTCTGCGGGAATCGCTGCATCCACAAACGTTGAAAGTCGTCGAAGACGCTCATGTTGTGTGGCTGGAGATGGTTGCTGCAGCTGCCCCCCCCCTGTCGGCCGCTCCTCCTAGCAGCTAGCTGTCTGTTTTAGTTGATTTTCAGTTGATTTTTCTTTTGCTTCCGTCGATATATACGTATAGATTTTTTACTCGGCTTCTGCTGCTGCTGCTCACGATGATGCTGATGATGATGATGTTGATGATGTTATTAATGGTGACTTCTCGAGACGATGACGAAGAGAGGGCGAGGTTGGCTTTTATGTAACAACAAGCACCAGTTGTGCGTTGTCGCCTTCAACTGCCTGCAAGAGTGAGTGCAAGGTTGGTTGTGTGAGACTCTGTGTATCTGTATCTGTGCGGAGTCTGCGTCTGTGTATCTGTATCTGTGCCTGTGTCGGTGAGTGCGTCGTGCGTCACAGTTCCTTAACTCATAAGACTGGGAATATCCTTGCGTGTGGGCAGTAAAAGCAACAACAACAACAAAATCTTATAGGAGAAATCAAGTATATCTTAGGGATTTCCAAAACAAAACAAAGAGCTGGATTTGGATCAAGATACAAATGCATATCTTTCAAAAAAAAGTGCAAATTTTAAATCAAGTAAAGATTACTTTTAGGTTTTCTTATAGAAAAGGACATAAAAATGCAAATGAAACTCCAAATAACCAAGTTTTAAGTGTTTTTGAAGGATGTTTATAGCTTTTGAAAGATCTTTTAATATAAATACTTTAATTTAAAGCTCAGAAGAACATTTTAATGTCATAAGAAAGCGTTTAAGAATGTATTTACCACTCAAAGTCTTGTTTTTGATTAAAATCTTTAAATAAAACATTAACATATCATATAAAAAGAAAACAATAATAAACAGAATTTCCAATTTATACGCTTTCTAGTTGGAATAAAGTTGGGTTTTAGAAAATAGCGGTTAAAAAACCGGTTTAGTAGCCCTGGTTTTCGGAAGACTGCACTTGCACTTGTAGTTGCTGTTGTTGCCCTTTCGAATGCCGTCTGTGTGTGCGTGTGTGTGTGTGTCTGTGTTTTGATGCTGCTGCTGCTGCTCCTTCTTCTTCGTCTTCTTGCAACTTTGTTGTTTTCTCAAGTTGATTTTTTTTGTCACCTTTTCAGCCAAGGCCAACAGTGCTGGCTGGCGAATGTTGTTTTTTTGTTTTTGTTTCGCAAAACCTTTGGAGGCGCAGACGCAATGAATTTCCATCAAGTTTTTCTCCGTTTTTTTGTTGGTTTATCAAAACAACAACAAAAGCAGAGCAGCGACACCCACACAGACATGACAAACACACAAACAAAAACACATATAGAGAGCTCCTCCAAACACTGTTGTTGTTGTTAGTTGCTGTCTTCCACCTTCCACGTCTTTCTCCTCCTCATCCGCAACAGAGGAGACAATCAGTGGGCGTTGCAGCTGGGCGCAGCTTCAAAAAAGAAAAACAACTAAAAAAAAAAGAAACACTCAAAAAAACAACAAGCCGTTGCCGCCAGCGATGCTCCTCTGGCAGTTGTTGTTGTAGTCCCTGCCCAACCAAACACGCACACACACGCACAGGTATTTGGACGCACACGTCGCAACACTTCACAGGTTTTTTATCCTGGTGTTATGAATTCTCACACGAATCTGTTAGTGTTTGCCATTTCAATTAGATTTCGCTTAGAAAAAAAAAATTATATTCACTCTTTGGCAAACACACACACACGCACACCACCAACACTCGCACCGCAGAGAAGCGCACACAGACAACACATTTGCATATGTGCAGCGTCGATGGCGCATTTCTCTGTGTGTGTGTGCGTGAAACTCGGCTTTGGGTTTGGAACTGTCCCCTCGGTTTATTTGATTTTTCTCGGCCGCCACTCACGTTTCATTTTCCGCCACGATTTTCATTCAATGCGAGGATGCACTAATTCAATCGCTCTTATTTTTCGGCACACACGCATTTAGCAGGTTCACTTTCACATCGAATATCGACGTATATATATAAATATTCCGATTGAACAGCAAGCGATTTCGATTGGCAACACAACTGGTGTGACCGTTACCGGCTTGGAGGAATATAGGCAAATATACTGGTATTTTTTTTAGTATTTTAGGCCTAGCCAGATTTGCAGGCGGGGGGTTTTTTATTTTTTGTTTGCTTTAAATAGATAAAACCCTGGAAAGGGTTTTTCTTAATATATTTTTTTAAATTATTAATTTATTTACTAATTACCTTTTTAAACTCTAGCTGCAGTTATATTTGCAATATCCGTATCCCTTTCCTGCTCCTCCATCAAAACAGTGCTGCCAGATGTCATTTTTGACGGTTACTTTTCAAATAAACCTTTAGAATTATTTGAAATTCATATTAAATCGTATTATAAGCATTATTTCAACTACTAATAATATAAAGGGTACAAAGTCCAGCTATAATGACTCGTTATCGAGCACTGTTAAGCGCTCAATCAATGATATTAATTAATTTTTTCTGTTTCGCCGCCGACTAAACCTATTTTTAGTGAAGAAAAAACATTGACATTCCTGCAGATCGACCTTAAATCGTCGGCTTATCCGCCACCTGTCCATTATCTCTCCAGATATATAAACATATAGTATATAATTAAGACTACGGATTCGGTTTCTTTGGTCTCCGCCGGCTCTTAGTCAGCCTTCCGTTGGCTTGACAGCTCAGGAAACTTTCTATTTTTGCCCGCACACCGATAGCTATATGACGTAGCAATGGATTTGGTTACGGATATCGGGGATATGGCTATGGATATGGGGCTCGTGTGTATTTCGTTGTCTTATCTTTTTAATAGGTAGATAACACGGAAGGGATATATAAGGTGGTCGGTTTGGTCCGATGGCCATTGATAGGCGGTGGCTATTGCCGCAACATATATATATATATATATATTTTAATTATTTTAATTCCTCAACTTGAATTTATATATAAGTTGGTAGCCCTAAGGATATTTATAAAACAACAAACTCTTCACAAAATGCTGTAAGTAGAAAGGATATCAGCAATAAAAGGCTTCAAGTTGAAAGTTATCAAGATTTTATATGGTAAAAAGTGAGATTTTAAGTGATATTAAAAGGTGTTTAAAGTCCTGAAAGATTTTCGTTGAGTGTAAAAAGCGAAATCTCAAGTGAAAAAGTAGTAATCTTCCTTATTCAAACCTTTAAAAAAGGAAACAAAAAGCCAACAGTTTTCATAAATAATTAAAATATTTTTTAATACAAGTATTTTTTTTTTTAATTTTCATTATAAAATATACATATTATATTTTAAAAAATTTTTCATTATAAAATATAGATATTTTTTTATTATAAATTATTTTATTTTTAATTTAAAAGCAAGAAAAATGTAATTCGTATCAAGGAGTTTTTTTTTTAATATAATAAAAATATAAAAAATAAAATAAAATTAATAGAAAATAAAATAATAGTTTTTTAAATATAAAAAAATATATTAAGAAAAAATAAATATATATAAACAAAAAAACATAATTAAGTAAGATTTTCAGAGACCTTTTTCAATTTTTTTTCAATTTATTAAAATTTATTTATTAAAATTCAAATAAAAGTCTCTAGAAAATCCAAGCAGCCTTTGAAATCTCTGTCCAAAAATCAAGGATATATCCCTTAAAGCAAACCTGTACTAACTAGATTCCAATACCATGCTCTATGTGGAGATCTTTGATGCCTTTGGTGACCTTTTAATCGGGTACGAGGCCGAGATGGCAAGTGTCCCGCCGTCTGTACTCATCCATCCTGCGGCACTAATCCCAGACTCTCTCTCTCTCTCTTTCTCATACCCTCCAGCTGCTGCAAGAAGTACGCCGTGTGCTGGATCATCCTGGCGGTGGCCGTTGTGGGCGTTACCCTGGGCCTGGTCTTCGGTCTTCGTGGCAAGACGGAGGAGCCCCGCAGAATGGGTGCCGTGGCCTCCAATGGCATGGGCTGTGCCGAGGTGGGTGGCAACATTCTCGACATTGGTGGCTCTGCTGCAGATGCCGCCATTGCCACCATGCTGTGTGAGGGTGTTATGCTGCCGCATAGCTTGGGTGTGGGCGGTGGCTTTGTGGCCACCATATACTCCAAGGAGACGGGCTTCATTGAGACGCTAATAGCCAGGGAAACGGCGCCGGCAGCATCCTCGCAGGATATGTTTGTGGGTCGTGAGATAACGGGTGCCATTTCCAGTGCCATTCCCAGTGAGATTTATGGTTATTCCAAGCTTCATGACAAATACGGCAGGTTGCCCTGGAAGATGCTCTTCCAGCCGACAATAGATCTTTGTAGGCGTGGCATTGAGGTGTCCCGTTATTTGGCCGGTGTCCTGGAACGCGAAGAGGAGCGTATTAGGAGTGAACCCTCCATGGCGGAGATTTTTATCAATCCCAAGACAGATGAAGTGTACAAGCAGGGAGAGATTATGTACCGTCACCGGTTGGCCGAGACTTTGGAGATTGTGGCCGAAGAGGGTGCCCAGGTGATATATGGTGGCGGCAGGGTGGGCCGTAAGCTGGTGGAGGATATCCAAGAGATGGGCGGTATCATTACCGAGGAGGATCTCCAAAATTATGAGTAAGTTGGTGAGGAGATCTCTCATTTGGTAATCTTTAATTTCATCCTCCTCGCCTTCAGTGTTCGCTGGGAACTGCCATTGCATTCCCGCTTTAATGGTGGCTACGAACTGTTTACCTCTCCACTGCCCACCAGCGGAGCTGTCCTCACCTTCATCCTGAATGTGATGGAACCCTTGTTTACCAGCAACACGGACAAGTACTGGCAACGTCTCATCGAGACCTTCAAGCATGCCTATGGGCATAGGACCAACCTGGGTGACATACACTTCGAACCGGATGTCCAGGAGGTGTACGAGAACCTCATCGATCCGGCCTTTGCCGCCGAGATCCGTAAACTGATCCGGGATAATACCACCTTCAATGACATGGCCTATTATGGTGCCAACTTTACCAATGTCGAGGATCATGGCACAGCGCATATTTCGGTGCTGGCACCCAATGGCGATGCCATTTCGGTCACAAGTACCATAAATAGCCACCTGGGTGCCAAGGTAAGATCCCGCCAGACGGGCATAATACTCAACGACGAGATGGATGACTTTAGTACGCCGGGCAAGGTGAATACCTATGGTATACCCGCCAGTCCGGCCAACTACATTAAGCCGGGCAAGAGGCCCATTTCCTCCACCTGCCCCAGCATCGTTCTGGACACGCACGGCAATGTCAAATTGATTGTGGGCGGTGCCGGTGGCTCAAAGATCACCACCTCAGTGGCCCAAACTATTCTACGTTACTTTGTGCTCAATGAGCCCATTGAAAGGGCAGTGAATGCGGGCCGTTTGCATCATCAGCTGGCACCGATGACTATCGATGTGGAGCCGGATGTGCCCAGGCATACGGTGGCCTATCTGCGTGCCATCGGTCATGAGATCAATTTCCTGGAGAACGACAAAGCCTATTCGGCACAAACGGCCATTGGGATAATGAGCAGTGAGCCGCATCCTGTCTGTGATCGAAGAAGAGTGGGCAGTAGTGCCGTTGTCGTGGAGCCGGAGCGTTTGGATTGAGTCCGGAGTTTTGGACTCGGAAGGAAGGAGCCTAAGTAGGTCACTCATCAACAGAAGTTTTTTAAGATAAATCTATTGTATATATTATTAATTCACTTTACTAAAACTTGTTTTTATGTTTTAAGTTTTTTTTTTTTGTTTGTAAATTCTTTTTGTTTTTTTTTTAACCATTAAAATTATAAATTGTTCTTAGGAAAATTAAAAAAATTAAAAAATACTATTTTAAAAATCCATGCGGAAATATGAGCTAAAAAATATCGAAAATTATCGATTAAATATCTATTTTTGCAGGTAAAAAAAAACTCTGAAAACCTGAAAAAACGTGAAACTTCACTTTAATTTAATTAAATTATTTAAATAAATAAAAAAAAAAAAAAATAATAAATATTAATATAAAATATAAAAAATAAGTATTTATCCATTTCCTAAAATCAATTTAATGAAATTTCTTGAATAAATATTTTATACATTTTTTAAAAATTAAATTTCGTGAAAAATCAAAGTTTTAAAAATCCATAACTAAGTCCAAAAATTAGCCAATTCAATTTGGAAAGCATTTCTAGGCTAGTTTTTTTTTACGTTAATAAATTTGCATACTAAATGTAGTTTTTTTAGAAAATCGGCATTTTTGGTCAATTTTTCAGAATTTTAACGATGTAACCCCTTACAAAAATTTGAAAAAAAATTAAAAAAATTATTTTTTTCTCAGACATTTCTAGAAAGACTCTCCTGTTGATGCTGATCAAGAATATATATGGTTTATGGGGTCGGAAATAACTCCTTCACTGCATTTCACTAAAATTATAAAACCCATGGCTATAAAAACTTAAATTTCAACAATTTGATATGAAAAACGATTGCTTTTTTTGACATAAATTTGATTTTGGCACATAAAATATTAAACATTTTAATTTAAGGATTTAGTATCAATATTTTGTTGACTAAAATGTTAATACCTAAAATAAATGCATTTTTTTTAATTAAAAAAAGACAAAAATAAATATTTTTTTGATTACAAAAAAAATGTTCAATTTCTTAAAATTAAACCTAGAAATAATAAAATATTTTCCAAATTAATAATAAAAAAATAATTTAAAAAATCAATTATTTATTATATTATATTAATACCTGAAAACATGAATTTTAAAAATGTAATTAAAAATTAAATCTAGAAAAAAATCAATATTTTTTGGTTTAAAAATTGAAATTTTAATTTTTTAAATTAAAGCTACAAAATATATTTATATTTTCTTGATTAAAAATCTACATTTTAATTTTTTTTAATAAAGCTAAAAAAAAGATTAATATTTTCTCAATTAAACATAGACCCTTGCAATTATTATTTAAATTAAAGCTGAAAAAATCAACATTTACTCCATTAAAAGGCTTGAATTTTTTTTCCTGCTTTTTTAGCAAGGCCTTGAATTTATTGTATAAATTTTTAATTTTTAGGTCTAACTAAAAAGGCTATGTGTGTGTGTGTGTGTATTGGAATAAGTGATGTCCGGTATTCTGGTATAAGGAATTACAAGGTATTATTATATATATATATATATATGCATGTATATGATATGAATAAACCTAGGGACATAAACAGGTTTCCGGGGAAATGCAAATCACAAATGCACGCGCTTCAAGTCCGCAAATCGAATTCTTTTGAGAGTTCGTAGACCCAAGGGTCATTTGCCCCGCCTTAGTTTGGAATTGTTTGGCGTTTCATTGATTTCCCAATGGATTAAGGTATTTTAAGGTTTTTAAAGGTTTTTAAAGGTTTTTTAAGGTTTTTTTTAGATCGTGCTCTAGGATCGTGTGCTCTAGGTGTGCTCTTATACCAGAATGCGGCCTCAATAACACTTATTGCACAATGTAATGAATATCATTCAGGGGTGAAAATAATGTCAACAGGCACAAGGCACAGCTCCTGCTGATTCAGCGTCTCGACCAGGTGAGATAACCTCTATATACAGGTCGCAATGGGTTAAGGTTTTTTTTTTTTAGCTTTGTTTGAGATTTACTTGTGAAAAGAGTTGATCACCTCAATCCTCATCGTCGTCATCATCGAGACGTTTGCTTCGCTTTTTGGCCATTTTAAGCTTTTTATGCATCGCCTCCTTGCGCATGTCCTCCAGATCTTCTTGCAGGCCTTTAAATTACAAAATTTTAAATTTCAAATTTTTTTTAATTTGTAAATTTTGTAAATTTGTAAATTTTAAATAATAGAAAATGTTGAAAAATTTAAATTTATTTAAATATTTACCCAGCTTTTTGCTTATAAACTCCTCTCGCTGCATTTGTGCAAAACTAGACTCCATGCCGCGATCATCATCATCTTGATCCCTATAACGACGCCTATCATAGCCAAAGATACTTCGGATATGCGAGGATATATCCTCCTCGCAGTCGCCGTCGTCAATAAAGTCGTCCAGCTCGGAATCGTACTCCGACTCATCGTCGTCACAAATGCGTCCTTTGAAAGAGAAAAATATGTTAATTTAGGGGGTAAGGTTAATTCAATGCAAAACTGGTTACTTTTCAAAAAAATTTTGCGGCTAAAGCTAAAGCTAACTTGAGCTGTTTTGCCTCAATAAGTTTATGAAAAGTGACCCGTTTTTTAACAAAAACCCTTTAAAAAAATATAACAAAAATATAAAGCTTCTTGAAACCCCATTACTTACTTTTATAACCACTTGGCGGTGGCTTGCTCGTCTTGTTTTTGACATCTGCTGGCGCTAGTTTCTGTTTTTTGGCCAAAGACCCCGAGCCCGCTGGACGATCAATGGGCGGAAATGCGCGTACTGTCCCGTTTTTATGGGCCAAGGCATAGGGATTGCGTGAGGCCTGAGGTGGCGGCGGCGGAGCTACCTTGGAGCTGCTCCCACTGGATCTGGAGCTGGGCTTCTCAGCAGGCTTGGTTGCCACGGTAGCCACTGTCTTATTATTATTGCTACTCATGGAGAGCTTTGTACTTGCTGCAGGATTACGATGGCTTGAAGAGGAATGGGAACTACTTTGGGAGGAGCTGAGGCTGGAACTGGAGGCCTTTACAGGTTGAGTTGCGGCGGTAACGGCAGGCCGCTTGAAGGTATCAATCGGCGGCTTGGCTTTGGCATTACTACTGGAGGCTGGTGGTGGAGGCTTCGCGGGCGACGATAGCTTCGGTATGCGTCCATTGGGCTCCATACGGCTGGGTCCTTGACTGGCGGTCGCCTTGGGCTTGTTCTCGCCACCGCTCTCCCTTAGCTTGTCTCGCTGCGCCCGCTCCTCTCTATAACGCTGTCGCTCCTCCGCTTCACGCTTCTCCTTGGCCGAGAGCAGCCTCTCGGGCTCCTTCTTCTTCTCGGGCTGGGCAAAGACCACTGGTTCGTGCTGCTTTTGCTCGGCCAGACGGAGCAAAGCCTGAAAGTCCATGGGCGGAGGCTGAGCAGCACGCTTCAGCTTGGCTCGGTTCTGCTGCTCAGCCAGGCGTTTTTTGTTCTCCTCTTCACGCTTTTCCGCCTCGGGATCGTACAGGGTCTTCGAGGAGGAGGAACGCGAAACATGAGACTTGGTGGAGGCGGTGGTGGTGGTGCTGCTGCTACTGCTACTACTACTACTGGTGCCTGTGCCCCGCTTTTGACGCGTATGGGATTCAGCCTCCTGGCGCTCCCTATCGATGGCCGCCTTGACGCGCTGCTTGGTGCCGGAAAGGTCGCGCAGCGACTGCGGTCGGCTGGGCGCAAAGCTCTTATTATCCTGCACATGTTGCACCTTCTCCAGATATTTCTCATACAAGGCATTCGCCTCGTTGGACGTATACCCATAGTCATCGCCCTGACCCTCGCCAATCTCATGGTCCGTTGCTCCAGTGCCATCCTTGGCATCATCCAGCACCGACTTATTGGCCGATTTGGTTACCTTGAGCATTTTGCGTATCTTATTTTTGGATTTTTCATCGCGTTTGGCCATCAGTTCGGCCACCTTTTGGTTCTTTTCGCGTCGCTTTTCCGCCTCCTCGGCCTCCTTCTTTTTGAGGAACTTCTGGATGTTGTTCGACAGCTGTTTGCTCTCCTTGCTCACCTTCTTGGGCGGCGAGTATTTGGTGTTGTAGAACTTGCCATCCTGCTGCTGCTGCTGAAAGAAACCACACAAAAAAGGAGGAGGAGGAGGAGAAGGTGGTGGTGAGTGGAAAGCTAGGAAAAGCCAGAGCGGATTGGGGTCATCAGCGATCGTGTGAATCAACAGGGCGACCGACCGACCGACGACCCTCCTCCAGCTGGCAGGAGTTTCTGTACCCTGGCTACTCACCTGTTCCTTGGTCTGGTCAACCTTTTTCTTGGCAAAGTGCAGCAGCGCCCCAAAATCCATGCTGGGATCGTCTCGTTTCTCTCTAAAAATTAAAAATATTACAAGAATTGTTTTGCTGAAACAGCAAGGGAAAGAGTGATGGTACGCAGTCGATACAAATTGCTGGCGATTAACCGATAACTAATGTTGCACGTAGCAGGGAACAGCTGTTCAGTGTTGTCGGTCAGTGTGGCCAGCTTTTTGAGATTTTTTAGGAACAAAGCCCAATTCACATCTGGCAACACCGTCGTGAGTGGCCGAACGCTGCGTCCTGAAGTTTGTTTCTTGGCAATTAAGTCGAGAAAACTGTATAAAACACTTGCCGATTGGCGTCCAATTAGCCATGTCCACTGATCCCCAGCCAGTGGCCAGCGAGTGCTCGAAGTGCGGCAAGCCCAGCGTCCAGGAGAGGCCCAATCCCGATACGGAATCGGCTGGCCAAGCTGCGGCGTCTTCTACACCTCCGCTGCCATCGTGCCGCTGCGGCTGCTCCCAGGAGGACAGTATAGGTATAGCAACGGCATTAGAGCGCGACTCCACGGACGAGGTGCCCATGGACATAGACAACGATCTGACCACCAATGAGCGGATGCCAACTGTGGACGAGCTAGAGCAACCGAAACCCAAGCCCAAGTTGAAGCCCCTGGAGGTTGTGAAAAAGGAAAAGGAGGAGAAGCTGCTGGTGGAGCCAGCAGAACAGAAGCCTCTACCCGAGGTGGAGGAGGAGGAGAAGCACTCAACGAAGGCTCCGCGCAGTCCGACGCCCATCAAAATCGAAGAGGAGGAAGAGGATAAGCCCAAGGAAAAGCAACAACAGGAACAGCAATTGCAGTCCCAGGAGGATATGCCGCCCAGCTCACCGGAGGCGCAGCCTCCAAATCCCAGCCATCGGGTTGGCAAAATCACGCGCAGCAGCCTAAATGGCAACCAGGCTTCTTCGTCTTCCACCCGAACTCCGGCCATAATGAAGCGCCTGCGAAAAAGCACACGCTTCAAGGCCAAGCCAACGGGCGGGCGTGGTAATTCCGCCGCCGCCGGCAACAGCAGCAGCCAGTCGAATGGCCACAACAATGGTGCCAATAATGGTGCCTCCGGCAGCTCTATACATCTCGCTGGCGCCGGTGCCCATCCGAGTAATACCAACAAGCATGGAAAGTCGGGAACAGGTGGATCTGGCGGCGGCGGTGGTGGCTCTCCGGCTGCCCGCAGTCGACGTACACTGTTCAAAAGACCATCAACACAGAAGACGCCCAAGGTGCAGGCCTCCACAAGGTTCGTGAAAAGCGTCTTCTACAAGGGCAGCTACATGCAGATCGGTGACATTGTGAGCATCGTGGATGGGGAGCAGAATCTGTACTATGCCCAGATCCGGGGTCTGCTGGTGGATGCCTACTGCGAGAAATCGGCCTTCCTTACCTGGCTCATACCCACCCAGGACAGTCCGGATCCCCAAGAGGGCTTCGATCCGGCCACCTACCTAATAGGTATGTCTGAGAGAGTAATCTGATCCTGGCTAATCCTGGCTAATCCCTTTGCTTGTTTTCTCTTTCCCAGGGCCCGATGAGGAGCTCTCGCGCAAATTGTGTTACCTGGAGTTCGTGATGCATGCCCCGAGCAACTACTATTTCGATCGGAGCACACCCTTCCCCCTGCCAGATGTGGACGAGTATACAGCCCAGAGATCGGGTGGATTTATTTGGACCCGGCTGCCGGTGGTGAAGCGGGAGAAGGGAGAGCGGGAGCGAGAGCGAGAGATGCGGGGTCGGGACTCGGCGCACAAGGCGAGTGGAGGTGCCTCCTAGCAGGAAGGGGAAGTGGGAATGGGTCCCAATGGGAAGAAGAAGAAAAAGTCCAGAGCCAGAGTGCTGAATTTGAATAATTTAATTTATTGAGTAGAGCAAAAAGTAAAAAACAAGAAAATATAAAAAAAAAATATATATATAGTGTGAAGAGAAAATAAATGTTTTATTTTAAAATTTATATTGTAAACCTGATCTTTGAAGATCCTCTCCAAATTGGTTAAGGAAACAATGATTTCCAGAAGGAAAAAGCAATAGTATTTTATATGGTATCAAAATAAAAAAAAACACACTTTTTAGGGGCAATAAATTAAGTTTTATTAGAATATACATAAGTGTAGTGTAAACATATCAATAAAAAATTATTTTCAAATTTATTTAATTATAAAAAAAAAATTTTAATAAACATAAATATGACAGGAGAAATATTTTTATTTTTCTTTTTTTATATTTTTAATTATTTTTAAAAACAAATTAATTACATTTTTAAATAAAAATTTTTCCAAGTGTACGAAATCTATTATAAATGAAAGTTCAACAGTCTGGCTACGCTTGCTTCCACCTAAGGCAAGGGGAGAGAGCGAGAGGCAAATATAAAATAACGGAAGATACGAAGATGAGAAAACAAAATACCAGAAAACTGTCCTCTCACGACTGTTTGCCTCTCGCTCTTTCTTACAGAAGAAGCTTAAAAGCAAATAATTAAATTATAATTCACATGCAACTAAATTGTTGCTTTTCAAAAATTCAAAATTACTTCCAATTAATTAAAAATCATATATAGAATATATGAATTTATAAAAATAAAGCTCGATAAAATCACGAAAATTGAGAAAAAAAAGCTGTATGCTGGGTGTGACCAGACTAGCAAGCCCGTTTGGTGCCGGATGGCAGGTGGTCACACGGTCACACTGGTTGCATTTCGTCCAAACTTTGCACTTTTATGTCTTTTGTTTGTGCACGTGCAAATAACATATAGATGCTCCGCAACTGAGGCGAGCGCACCTGCCGGACGACAGTGGACAGCGGTAGCGGCTTAGCGGTTGATAGAGCCCGGCCATGGATCAATTCTCGCACGACCTGACGGTGGCCCTCGAGGAGACCTCGCTGATGGACAGGGCGAGTGGCGTCGGTAGGTGGGGCTCACGTCGCAGGACACGTTCCACAGGCAATTTGCGTAAGTAGCCGGAGGAGGAGGAGATGTGCCCATACCCAAGAGTAAGAGAGAGAGAGAGAGAGACCCCACTAACACACCCAAAAAAATCTTGCTCAGCCTGCGCCCCCCAGCCCACGGAGGACTCCTCGAGCAGTCCCACGGACACGCTGAATGCTTTGGGTCACCACCACCAACAGCCGCAGCAGCAGCAACACCATCACCACCATCACCATCACCACCATCATCAACACCACCACCACCAAAACCACCCAAGTGCTAATGTGGACGGCCTGGACACGCACAACCTCAAGTTGCCGGCCAGTGACTCGGACGAGAAGGCAGAGGCAATGTTGCCTCTGCGTTTGCTGTTACGCCCCGGAGCCCTCGAGTCGGATTCCCTCAACGAGACCACCTTTAGTCCGGCCAGGTTAGCATTTCAGCTCTTTGAAATCGTAGAACTTTTCTTAAAATTCAATTTATCAATAGATTTTATAAACCCAATTCGCGACGAAAACGAAAAATCAAACGCATGTCCATGGAGTTTGAGTTCAGCAAGGACACCACGCCGCACAGCTTCACAGAGTCGCCGCTGCAGCCGGGCATGCTGAGTGCCACGGGTGCCACGGCCACCGGTACCATACGAAAGCGTCTGCTCAAGGCGGATGGCCATCGGTCGCATTTGTTTTTCTGTGGCAAACGCAAGCGTTCCAATCGTGATCGATATCATGAGCAGGAGCCAGGCAAGCTGTATACCATGCCACCACAGGATGTGGAGCAGCAGCATCAGCACCACCAGCAGCAGCAGCAAAGGATGCGCCCGAGAAGTTACTCCTCCACATCGAAACCCCTTAGCGATCGCCTGCTGCCGCTGAACAAGGGACTGCTCTCAAAGATCAATCGCATGGCTGCCCAGGGACAGCAGGCCAAGGCCATGCCCAACCAAAAGACTGACAAGGAGCTGAAGGACAGGCCATTAGATGAGGCAGGCCAAGAAATCCAAATGGATGATGATTTGGAGCTGCTGTCCCGGGTCAAGGATGATGTCAAGGAGATGCCTTCGCTGCCACCGCCGCCGTCAAGTGCCGAAGTCCCGTCCAAAAACAATTTGGATTTTTTTAGCATGGACACCATTGTCCCGGTGACCGATATTGATGCTTTGCTGCTTAGTTCGCCGCCCTCCGCTCCGCCGCTTCTGCGCAAGAAGACGCCAGCTGCTGCCTCCTCCTCCACCACCACCACCAAAACCCACCGCCGTCGTCGGTTTCAAGCGCTGCCCCACCAGCAGCAACCCCAACCCCAGCCCCAGTCCATGGACTGCAGTGAATTGTATGACTTTCTTAGCTCCAGCTCGCTGAGCTCCTCCTCTGACAGTGAACCGGATGTGGGCGGCCATGGTGGTCATAGGCGGCGGCATGACACGGATCGCGAGGGTGATGACGAGCTCACCGACTGGCCGGGCAATGAATTTGGCCCTGGGGCCAGGTACGATCCAAAACGGAAACTGACCAAGAAATCACTGCTGCCGCAAATTCGCTCCGATGATACCATTGGCGAGGATGACACTTTAATGTCGGGCACCGAGGCGGCGGGTGCTATGGAACCGCCACCAAAATCCCCTGAATCTCTCCAGGATTTGCCACGTTTCCAGCTACCAAATGCCGTTTCCGCCTCCTCGGAGCCCATTGAGATTCTAAACGCTGGCTGTGAGATGGAAACGAATGCCATTATGCCGGCGCCGCGTCAAATCGAAAGTGAAATGTCTGGCGAGACTTCTAATCCGTTTCTATCCTCATCGCCGCCTGGTTTGGGCCAGGGACAGGAGGAGGTGCGTGAAATTCGTGCTGGGTGCCGGCGTATAAACGGCGAACGAGCTGGATTTAGCATCAAGCTGAGCGTCAACGAGCGTCTGGCCAGATTTCTACAGGATCCGCGACAAACACAAATCCGGCTGCCGGACATTGAGCTGTACGAGCCCGATGGCAATCTCAGTAACCTGGCCACTCTCTACTCCCTCACCATGCTGGTGGAGCAGGGCTGCACGGTGCTGACCAAGACCAGGTGAGTGGCTGGGTGGGGTAACCTTTATTCGTTTTTATAGCTTTAGCTTCCTTTTTTATATTTCTTTTAGAAACACCACGCAGTCGGTTAGCATGGATCACCTACAGCATGGCCTGCAGCCGCCGCCGCCTGATCTCTTTGGCGACTTCAAGCGACGCTGCTATGGCGAGGAGGAGCCACAGGAGCCGCAAGAACCTGGCCACAAATGAGATCCATCAGGAGATACCCCCGAACTAGACCAATCCCTAGCTAACGAGCCAGTGCGTTGTCCCCCGGCGACCTGGAGCCCTCTTTTGCTTCGGTGGAGAAACAAAAGCCTTAGTTTAAGCAAAAGAATTTTTAGCTCGTCTTTTGTTTTTGTGTCCATTGTATATATTGAATGAGAATGTCTTGGTCTCTGCTTTCCCGGATCACAGATCTGGGGAGTGAGAGTTAATCAGGCCACTTGGAAACGAGCGAGAGGTACGATCGAAAGCCTTTTTCGCTGTACAAAAAATATATTAATGTTTAAGATGTTTAAATCTAAAGTGAATATGAATATGTGTATAATATGAATATATATATGCATATATATATGTGAATTATCTTTTTTTATTGGTTTATTAACGTGACTTTACAGAGCTACCGATTGTGAGGATTTTCTTTAATTTGCAAGATTTAAAATCGAATTAGAAGAATATGTATCTTGTAAATATATGTAACTATCATTAGTTGTCACATTAAAACTTGTTATTTTCTGTGGATGAATCTCTTGCCTACCATAAAATATTATATATAAATTTGAAATTATTTCAAAATATTCCCAAAATTCCTCATCATTTACATGATTTCCTTTTGAATAAGGCGCTGAATTTTTGAATACTCCCCCATGGGAAATTCCATAAGTTTCCCGCTACGCCTAGTTGACGCATGCCCAGTGGCCTCCAAGTGGTGGCCCAGCTCCGGCATGCTCGGCAACCCTTTTGGACACACACTCTCGGCGGGCACTCGGCAAACACACATCTCGCTTGGCACTTGGCAACCCTCGTCGTCGTCGTTGCCTGCCTCGCTGGGGGTCGGTCGGGAAAGCGGACGAAGAGCGGGGGTGGCTGCGAATAGCAGGCAGGCAGCGCGTCGAGCGTCAAGCTTGCGGACGCCAGTTGGACGCAGCTCGGGACTGGAGGCAGCCACGTTTCCCCAGCAGCAGCAGCAGCAGCAGGCCATCCATCCATCCCATCTGTGTGTCGCATTGCCGCGAGTCGAGTGAGTGTGTGTGCCGTGCCGTGCCGTGCTGTGCTGTGCCGCATGTGTCCGCGAGATCCGCAAACGGGATGTGGATGTGGATGTGTCTGTGCATGTGGTCACCGTCTACTCCGTCTTGGTTGTCGTCGTTCATCCTCATAGGCATACGATCCGGATTTGTGAATTGTTTTTGTTAAACCGCCGGCTCTCCTCTGTTTTTTTTTTTCTCTACGCTCCCCACACGACTAACGGTAATTTTTGTGTAATTGTGTGAATGGGGGGGCTAACATTCCTTGGACTAACTCCTGGCTGCTACTGCTGCTCCTCTGATGCAGTGCATCCTGCGACTAAGAACTGGCTGCAATGTGGTGGCTTTGAGAGCGCCTGGCCAAGGCGAGAGATTTCCGCGATGCAATGCCCCCGCTCTGCTTATTGATTTTTCACCAACCAACCAACCAACACACACGTAGGCAGACACCCACACACACACACACATACGAGCGAGCACCCACTCTCGCAGAGAACAGTGCTGCCAACTCAGCCATTTTGCGCGTGGGAAAAATAGCCATTTTGAAAGAGAAAAAATGGAAGACGGAAGCAGCCATTTTTTATATTTGCAAAGTTTATTTCCTGTTTATTATTTAGAGTTTTTCATTATATAAGGGAATTTATAATTAATTTTTTAGTCCAAAATTATATTTTAAGGCAACTAACAATAAAAAAAACCTTTAATTTATTGTTATTTGTATAATTTCCCTTGAATTCCTCGTCATTTTTCTGCAGCACTGACAGAGCAAGACCAACATAGAGAGGGAGAGAGAGAGCAAGAAGAGAGCGCATACCCATACGCAAGCACAGTGGCTTTGTAATGGCCGAAAGCCACACACACATACACATGCATTCATGCAAGCACAGATAGCTGAGCTAATCTCTTATCAAGCGCCGACTTTCCCACCCCCGCCCCCTCTAAGCCACCCCTCCTCCCCACACACTCATTTACAACGAAGGAAAAAAAAAATCAAAATTAGTCATAAACTTGCGATTTGTTTTTAGGACCTTTAAAAAAAGGATATATGGTTTTTTTGTTTGTTAACTGGAAAATCTAAAAAAAATCGAAATATTTAGCTTAGAAATTTAAATTAAATAAATAAAGATTTAAATAGGGATTTTATTTTTTTATTTTATTAATTATTATTAATTAATTCTAAATAAATTAAACTAATTAAATATAAATAAATACATTTTTTTTATTAAATTTTTTAATTTAAATTAAATTTAAAGGATTTTAAATGATTTTTATAAATTTTTTATTAATTTTATATAAATTAAACTAAATTATAATTAAATTAAATACATAATAAATTCATTAATTTAAATTAAATTAAATGAATTCTAAAATTCTTTTATTAAAAATTATTTCCTTGTAATTAACCATTCCCTTTTGTTTTTTTTTTACCCATTTTTCTCTTTGTGTAGGAGCACTGCCATGGGCCAGGAGGTGCTGGCGTTCCGGGCATTCCCTGCATGCTCTGCGAGCATGTGCCTCATCATCATCCTCTCGCGCGTGTCGCTACCGATCTCAGTCTCGGTCTCTCATCTCCGGCACTGCCTCCTCTCTGTGTGAAGAACACTAGCTCGCACGCCCGTAGTGGCGCAGTTGGAAAATGAGCGCGTGCGAGGCGGCGGCGGCGGCTGCATCGGCTGGCGAGGAGTCCGCCACCAAGTCCGAGGAGGGCCAGCCGCCGGAGGAACAGAAGCATGAGAAGCTAGAAAAGTTGGTGGTCAAACAGGCAAGCGGGAAACAGGAGAAGCAACAGCAGCCGGAGAAGAAGCCGCAGGAGAAGCAGCCTCAAAATGGCAAACCCGAGTCAGAGACCTTGGACAAAATGCCACATCCCCAACTGGAGTCCATACGTAGCTCTGTCCTGCTGGACAACAGTGCTGCTGCCCCTTCTATCGATGCTTTGGTGGCCTGCAAGGATGCTTTGCTGGCCCAGAAGCTATTTGCCAGCGGCGGCGCCACTCCAGGCCCCAGTCCCACAGGTACTTCTGGAGGAGGAGCAGGAGGAGGTGCTAGCGGCGGCGGCTCTATGGGCGGTGTGAGTGGCAAGGATCTGCTCAAGCTGAAGGAACCCATGCGTGTGGGCTTCTATGATATCGAACGCACCATTGGCAAGGGCAATTTTGCCGTGGTAAAGCTGGCCCGGCATCGCATCACCAAGAACGAGGTGGCCATCAAGATCATAGACAAGTCGCAGCTGGACCAGACCAACCTACAGAAGGTCTATCGCGAGGTGGAGATTATGAAGCGACTGAAGCATCCGCACATCATCAAGCTTTACCAGGTGAGAGGGGAGAGAGGGAGGGGGGGGATCAATATATGATGACTATATGTTTCCTTTACCCCTTAGGTTATGGAGACCAAAAACATGATCTACATAGTCTCCGAGTATGCCAGCCAGGGCGAGATCTTTGGTAAGTGACTCCCATATACCCCTGCCCAGATCATATCCTTTTGTAATATCCGATTCCTGCCCAGATTACATTGCCAAATATGGCAGAATGTCAGAGTCGGCGGCCCGCTTCAAGTTCTGGCAAATCATCTCGGCGGTGGAGTATTGCCACAAGAAGGGCATTGTTCATCGTGATCTCAAGGCTGAGAATCTGCTCCTGGATCTCAATATGAACATCAAGATAGCTGATTTTGGTTTCTCGAATCATTTCAAGCCTGGCGAGCTCCTAGCCACCTGGTGCGGCTCACCGCCATATGCAGCACCCGAGGTGTTTGAGGGGAAACAGTACACGGGACCGGAGATTGATATTTGGGTGAGTTTCCCAGAAATATATTTATGTATATATCCTTTCTAAGGATCCTCTTCTTGCAGTCCTTGGGCGTGGTTCTGTATGTCCTCGTCTGTGGCGCCTTGCCCTTTGATGGCTCTACGCTGCAGAGCCTGCGGGACCGTGTCCTTTCTGGTCGCTTTCGCATCCCCTTCTTCATGAGCTCCGAGTGCGAGCATCTCATCCGTCGCATGCTTGTCCTGGAGCCCACACGTCGCTATACCATCGATCAGATTAAGCGGCATCGTTGGATGTGTCCCGAGCTGCTGGAGCATGTCCTTATAGCCAAGTATAATTTGAGTGCCGAGCGACAGTCGGGACTGGAGCCCAGCGAGGATATCCTTAGGATAATGGCGGAATATGTGGGCATTGGGCCGGACAAGACGCGGGCGAGTCTCAAGAAGAACACCTATGACCATGTGGCGGCCATTTATTTGCTACTCCAAGATCGCGTCAGTCACAAGAAGGAGCAGAGCAATGGCTCATCGGTTGCCGCCGCCCAGCAGCGGTTGCTCTACAAGAGCACCAAAATCGACCAGCAGCAGCAGCAGCAGCAACAATCCAAGACAATATCCACCAGCTCGATCCTGGCCAAGGATCAGGCCCACAAAAGACTTAGCCGTCATCAGACGGTGCTTATGAGTGACCGCCCGGAACCCAGTCACTATTATGCCAAGTACTCGCCTCTCCAGCTGCCACTCCAAGCCCATTTGGCGGGGTATCTAAATGGAGCAGGAGGAGGAGGAGGTGGAGTGCCAGAGGTGGAGCCACCGCCTGGCATACCCTTACCCATGCGTTATACCCCATTGCCTGCAGCTGTTTCGCCGGCGCCCTCCAACAGCTCTACGAACTCCTCGCGAATGGGAAGGCACAGCCTGAGCTCCAATTCACCGCATGGCCATCGTCCGGTGGCCATATCCCTAAGCATTGACAACAATCCCTCGCTGGTTAATCTACGCTGCCGGGAGATGATGGAGGGAGGAGGAGGACCAGGACCCGGACCCGGACCCGGTGTACCCTTGGCCTCGAAGCAACTGCATCAGACCATCAGCGAGTACATCATCAAGCAGAGCACCGAAGACTGCCGGCAGCTGCTGCAGCAGGTGAGTGAGGAGGAGGAGGAGGAAGAGCATCTGCGCCAGAGATTCCAACTCAAAACCTTTTCCTTAACAGTCCACAGCTGTGGCGGAGGGCAAGGAGGAGCCGCCCAAGCTGCCGGAAACAGCAGCCTCTCCTTCAGTGGGCGGCGGAGGAGGAGGAGGAGGATCAGGTTCAGCTTCAGGCATGGCTTCCGTTTCGGGCTCCTGTTCTGGCGAGAGCAATACCAAGACCATGAAGGCCATGTCCGGCTCCAGCAGCTTTGACTCTCAGGCCAATCTTGGCCAGAGCTTTCGCTACAAGATGTCCGCCGAGGCCACCAAGCTGTTCCAGACCCTCCAGGAGAGTCCTTTGCCCGTAGAGGTGAGTTTTAGTCTTTAATCTTGTCAAGAATTCAAACTTAACCCCTCTCCTAATCCCCGCCAGCAACGAAGCAAGCGACGTGGCCAACTGGGCGGCAGCAGCACCACCACCAATGGCAGTGGCGGTGATTCCGGCCAGGAGATGAACGAGTCCAAATCGAATGGTGACAGCAGATCAGAGAAAAAGGTCCTGGCCCAGGGCAGCTCCAGCACGGATGAGGGCTGCGAAACGGATCAGGGCAATGATCCCTCCGGCTCGGCCTCACAAGAGTCCAAGGACAGCAATGGTCATGGTCATGGCCAGGCCAATGGTGGACCCACCTCGCACTCGAGCAGCGATCTAACCCACCTGGCCGGCGGTGCTGGTGGAGGCGGCAGCCGGGGTGGCAATGGAGGCCAAACCCATCGGATGCGTTCGTATGCCAGCAGTAGCTCCTCCAGCGGTGTCTTAGCTGGCAGCGCCGGCAGCTATTCCAAGAGTCTCAGCCAGAATTTAAGTCGCGGCTCCTCGAAGAGCAACTGCAGCGGCCCCTACGATAGCCTGGACTTTGCTTTGCCCTCGGGCAAGGGTAGTCTGCCCTCCTGTATGGGTTCCAGCTCCATGCTGGCCACACCCACGCCGGCTTCGGGTTCGCCGGCGGCCGTCTCCTCGGAGCATTCGTCGGAGCGTTCGTTGTATGGCAGCCACAGCTCCTGCATCCATATGCCAGGGGCCTTGGCCTTGGGCCTGGGCTTGGGTCTGGGTTTGCCGCCTCCTAGTTCGGCCTCCACGCCCACACCGAATCCCACACCGCCGCCAAACGGAGGAGGAGGAGGAGGAGGTGCACCCTTTCTGGACAAGCGTTCGCCCATACATTTCCGCGAGGGACGTCGGGCCAGCGATGGCTTGGTGGCCCAGGGACTGCTCAGCTCGGGCAGCCTGCTGGGCACTAGCCGGGTGTATGGAAGCTATCGCTATGAGCAGGCCAAGCGACACAACTGGCTCGAGATCCAGCAGCTGCAGCAGGAGGCGGCACACCACCAGCATCATCAGCAGCAGCAGCATCATGGACATGGACATGGCCAGGTGTATGGCCTGGAGGAGCTTTGTCAATTTCCCAATGGTCAATTTTATGTCCTGCCCGCCGGCAAACATCATCCGCTAATGACGCTGCCGCATCATCATGGACATGCTCATGGTCATGGTCATGGCCATGGTCATGGACATGTTCAGCATCCTCTGTTCCATCCTGGTCAGGCGGCTGCTCCACCACCGCTGCTCCTGGAAGCCGGCGCTGGCGGGGATCTGTATGGTCATGCTGCTGCGGCCGCCGCCGCCGCTGCGGCTGCCGCTGCTGCTGCTGCTGCCTGCTATGCTCCGCCACCGCCGCCACCGGGTCTCTATCCACATCCACATCATCCTTTAGCAGTGCCCATGTCGCCCATGCAGAAGCCACCGCTGCAGCAGCAACTGCTTCAGCATCGTCTGCTCCAACAGAAGCGTCAGCTCTTCCAGAAGCAGTACGCTTTGGAGGCTCAGCTGGCCGGGCGACATCATCAGCAGCAGCATCCACATCCACATCCGCATCAGCAGCAGCAGCAGCATCAGCTTCATCAGCACCATCAGCACTTTGGCCACCCGCAGCCGCCGCCACCACCACCGCCTGCTCCCAATCCCGAACAGCACCTGGCCGAGGAGCTGTATGAGTTGGCTTTGCTGGAGCGACCCAGGAGCGGCACACCGCGGTTGCAGCACTCGATGACCATGCCGGGAGCACATGCCTTCAGCCAGATGAACCTAAAGACCTCCTACATCAGCCAATCGGATCAGCAGGGCTCTGGCCAGGGAGCAGGAGGAGCAGCAAATGGTGGGGCAACGGGTGTGGTTGGAGGAGGAGCAGCAGCAGCCGGATCAGTGCCGCCGTCCACAGCACCGGGCACGCCCACGGCATTCAAGTGCAAGCCGGCCACGCCTCACGGGCACAGCCTGGAGGCCGAATATCATGTGAGTATCTCAGGGATTCTTGGGATTTCCCGTTGAAATAATATATGTCCTTTACAGACATCGACGCCCGTGCTCAGTTTATTCACGCCCAACTGGCAGTCGCTGGTGAAGCCGCTCAGCGAGAGTCCCATCCTGGAGATATCCGAGCACCTGGAGTCTGTCTGAGCGGGATGAAGGCGGGAATATGGGGAAGAGGGTGCAAAAGGGGGATGCTCTCCCCGGGGGAAGGGAGGCATCGGACTAATGGGGGCCTTCGTTGGTCACCTTTTTTTATTAAGCTCGCAATCGCAATTATGAATTATTTGATCCCATATACGATATACAAACCAGGCATACATATATAGATATATATATATATATACAATACACGGATCCATCTGGAACTGGAACTGGGAGCTATACGATGGAATCAACGTAATATTGGAAGATTTAGTTGTGTTACTAGCCTTAAGTAGTCCAAGTTTCGTACGCATACACGCAGACATATACAATATGTATATTGATAATAATAGCGTTAAGCTATAGCTCTACTTATGATTACACTATATAGTAAACCCCCGGAGAGGAGGAGGAGGAGGATGAGAAGGAAAAACCGAAGAACAACGTAACTACATATATCAATTATTCGAAGCATTTATTGGGGGCATAGATAGGGTATATCCATATATGGATATATCTATTATGTATTGGTACAATAATTAGCAACAAGCAAGAAAAAAAAAAGAAACAAAAACAAAAAAAAAACATCGATTGTTCTTAAACATGGAATTCAAATGTAAACCAGATATTAAAGTCATTTGGTATAAAATGCAATACACTTCTGGAGTTCCTACATTACATATATGGTATATAAATAGATATAGATACAGATATTTAGATACAGTTATATCAAAGACATTCGAATTGCTAAGATGAGTAAAGCCAAACGATTGGCTTTTCAACTGGCTTCAGGCTCTCTCTTAAATTGAGTTCAAAAGCTCTAGAGCGCTCTCTTTCAGGCTTTTGAACTAGATTTAAGAGAGCCTAAAGCCAGTAAGAGAGCTTAAGATGAGTAACGATTGCTCATTCAAGCAAGCGCTTTCTATAATTCAATTTTAAGAATAAAGAGAGCTCGATTGTATGGCCGTTACTCATCTTAATAATTCGAATGCCTTTTGCTATATAGATACAGATATCGGTATGGTTTTTGGAAGGGCTTTGATCCTGTGACTAGACACAACAAATGATCGAATCATTAGCATTATCCTGCTGGGGACGGAGGACATACAAAGGCAATGATGATGGAGTAAGGTAACGCAGGTAATGTTAGCAAGTCACGCCGCAGACTTTATGTGCTTCCGTTTCCGCTGCTGCTGCTGATGCCGCTGCTCCTGCTGATGAGCATCCCCAGAGCCATGGCAACGCAAAAGATTCCAATAAGCCCGCCTATACTCTGAGCTCATCAACACATAAATCAAGGGATTAATGCAGGTGGTCAGGTAGATGAGCAGATAGCCAGCGATATTAAACCAATGCACCTCCGTGGCTGACTTCCAGATCTTGGTTACCGTTATGGGCAAATAACAAATCACAAACCACACAAAGATCACCAGAATCATCTTGAGTAAACGCCGATCCTTGGCACTCATTCGGCCCGGATAAATGGAGGAGGCATTAGAGGTATTACCCATGGAGGCATACAGCGATTTCCTGGGACTAAAGCGGGTGAAGGAGGTGCGCAGGGAGGTGGTAATGGGATGGGGATTCTTTCTGGAAATATCGAAAATAAAAATTGTATATAATTTAATAAGAGTTTGTAGCTCCACTTACCCGGAGTTCTTGGCCAGCTCCAGTTGGGTTAGACTGCGTCCCAGGCTGATCTTCTCCTGGTCACGCTCCCGTTCCTTTTCCTTCTCCTTGAGCACCACATTGGCATCCACTGGGGAATGCTGTTGCTCCTCTTGCTCCCGTCGCCGTATGCTGTAGGAGATGGGCAGGCTGTCTGCAGAGGCATTGTCATCTATGTAGGCCAAATGCTCTGCCACCACAAAGGGTCGTCCTGGCTCCTGCTGCTGCTGCTGTTGTCCCTCGCCACTGGATGTGCTGGCCTTTTCCGGCTTGGCTCGTGGCATAGGCTGGCTGGGCACCGCTGAGCTGGGCGTCACCTCGCTGAGATTTGCCTTGCCGGCAGTTCCAGCCCGTATGGCCGCCTTGCGCACCAGCAGAAAAATCCGTGCATAGCAGATCACAATGCAGATGCAGGGCACCATGAAGGCGGCTATAAAGAGGAACTCCTTGGGCGATCTTCCGTAGCGATCATGCAGAATGGAACAGGAACCGATGCTGACGTCCAGGCCAAAGCAGCCCCAGACTCCGCGCCAGGTGGGTATCATGATCGAAAATGTGGTCACCCAGGTGCCGGCCACCATCAGGGCCAGATAGCGTCTCTGGTAGATCCTAAGGGAAGGAAAGGGAGGGAAGAAAGTGAGGGATAAGTCTTTGGAGAATATTTTATTTTTATAAATATAAAATAATACTTCATACCCCAACTTTTCAGGTTCATTGACCTCCCCCTTAAAATAGTATTTCAAAATTGATTATGTTTTCTATTTCTATCAGATGCATGTGCTGGTCTATATACCAACTAAACACCAACTAAACACCAACTATATACCCACATATATACCCATAAAACAAAACCCATTTTCCACACACAATATACACTCGAACCCACACACACATTTCTTTTTCCTTTTTTTTTTTTTGTTATAAACACAAGAGGCGAATGCGAATTGAAATCCCGAAATGTTTGTCTAAATTCCGAAACAACAATCGATCCAACCGAGTGTGGGTTTTCTGCTGAAATATGGTCAAGTGGAGGTGGAAACCTACCTGGGATACTGCCTGGGATGGGCTATGATGATATACCGATTGATGGTGATCAGCGACACGGAGAGCAGGGATACCGCCAGCAGGCCATACCGAAGCATGGGGAAAAGGCGGCACAACAGGTCGCTGTGCGTCCAGGCACGCTCCATGAATGTGGAGGCGGCCAGGGGCAGGTTGAAGCAACCGAAAAGCAAATCCGAGCAGGATAAATTTATAATAAAAATGGCCGTAGAATTGCGGGTTTGACGGCCCCGTGAGAGAGCAATGATGGTCAGCAGGTTGCCTGGAACGCCCACAATGATGAAGACAATGCAGGCCATCCAGGCGATGGTCAGCAGCTCATCCGAATAGCCCTCGAAGAGCACCTGACGTCCATCACTGTCCAGTTCCGGTGACATGCGTTCAATATCCATGGGATTTAGATCCAGATTTGGTTGTAGCAATGGCATTATCTCTGGCTGCTGCGTCTGCGGACTACTGCTGATGCTGCTGCTGCTGCTGGGCGGGAACATGGTAGCGGTGGCGTCGGGTCAGGTCGGTCGGTCGGTCGGTGCAGGGAGGAAGCGTGCGCGTTGCTCGTTCCTTTGCTGAATTTGTACTAAAAACTGAATTCTTAGCAGCCACATAGCCACCCAAAAAAAAAAACAACAACAATAACAAAAAGTGAGGAAAAGCGGGAAGCCAGCCGAGCGTACAAAATATTGAAGAAAAAAAAAGAAAGAAATCGAAAAAAACAAAAAAATAAAATCCAGAAAAGAGCCCGAAAAAAACTACACAAGCAGCAGCGAACTAGAAAAACTTTTGGAAAAGGAAAACAATACAGTGGCAGCCACTACAACAACAACAACAATGGCTGAACAAATTTTTATTGTATACAACAATTGACTTCATCATCGGGTAATTTGGTAATTTGGTAATTTGCCCGTGGAATGGGCGCAATGTTTACATTGTTCCTATTCTTCGGTTCGGTTGGGCTCCATTCGTTAACGTTTCGGATTTTGGGATTCGGAATCGGTTTTTGTTTTTTTTTCCTTACCTCCAGCCTCCCCAGGTTTTCCTCTCTCCCAATTTTCTAGAGCGTCCGATATTCTGATGGATCGCATTGTTGCTGTTTTTCTTCTACAAAAAAATTCCAAATACTCGTACCAGGGATGCTTTTCTTTTTTTAAAAACATTTTACAAACCTTTCAAAGCTAAGTTTTTGAAAACTCTATATTTAAACATTTTTTTTTAACGGTCTTAAGAAAAAAATTTAAGAATTTAAAAAACAAGGTTTATCTATTTTATGATATATAAAATATAAAAAAAAATTGTTGTTAGGACTATTAACATATTTAAGTATTTTACAAACAAGTTTTTTCTATTTTATGATATATATATATTTTTTTATTATTATTATTTATTTTAGGACTATACAAAAAATTTAAGAATTTTAAAAACAAGGTTTATCTTTTTTATGATATATAAAATATTTTAAAATATTATTTCAAAACTAATTATAATTTTAAGAATTTTAGAAAAAATGTAACTATATAATTCCCTAATTTTTTTCTTTTCTTTTTATTCAAAGATTATATTTTGATTTTAAAATTAAAACCAGCTCCTAACTATATAGATTCCAAATTTATATTATATCTTTTGTAGCCCTGATTCCGGCATTCCGTTCGTTCGCACACCTCTTTGCGCATTTTCGAAACTGAAAACTTTCTCGATTCCTCGAGTGTGTGTGTGTTGTGTGTGTGTAGTTTCCTCTGGATAATAAATGGGATCTACTCGTAGTAACAACAACAACAACAAAAAATGTATAAAAAATATAAAAGAAAAGAGAAACGCACGCGAGATTATAGTGAATAAATACTATATGCTAACGATTTCGATTCTATGCGTAAAATAAAAGGCATAGTCGTGAGGCATTCGGGTTTTTCCTCCATTTCCTCACCCCCATAACCCCTTTAACAAAATTTAGATGCCCGAGACTCTCTCAATTAATCAACTTTATGTCCATTTTCCATCTAGAGGAGGGTCAAAGTGCGGGTCGTCTGTGCTGGGAAATTAAGACTATAGCATTTGCCTTTTTTTTGTAAAATAGAAAATGAAAGAGTAATTCGAAGAATAAGAATTAAAGGGAAAACTCTTTGGCAATTCAAACTTGCTGTTTGTTTTTCATGCAGGCCACTGGGTCCCGGGTCCCGTCCCGGAATTGCACCAGACTACACAGACCATATACAACAGAGAGTTCCGATCGTGTCCAGTGTTCAGTACGGGGAAAACAAACAACTGAAGTCGGGCTGCTAGCGCCATATCGCATTCGATTTTAGTTTATATCAGGGTTTCTTGCTTGTAATTTAAGATAATGGTTTACTTATAACATCAGAATTATTGAGAAAGATCATCAATCACCACTTGACACACAGGGGTTTTTGTGTAATTTTGTGTTTATTTTAATATTTTATTACAAGGATTCGGGTTAGCTTTTAAATAAACTGGGATTTATACAAGTTAATATAAGTTTCAAATATTTAAGTAATATTTATCATATTAATTAATATTTATCATATTAAATACAATCCTTTAATAAATAGAGATTCTTATGCTGATAGAGTTATCCTAAATAGTTGATTTCTTTTACAATCTAAAAAATATTATAAAATATAATTAAAAATATTAAAGATATATTTATTTATATTTATTTATATTTATACAAAGTTATTAGGTAACAATCTTATTATTTTATATTTTAAATACAATTTGTATACTCCTACTTTTCCATCTGTTATTGTATTATGGAAATTCTTGCGGAATGGCCACTAAAGTGGAAACTAAAACTTCCCCCCATTTGCTTTTGTGAATGTAATTGTGGGATACGAATCGAATGCCAATCGAGGTTCTCGCCGTTCACCCCATCCAGACCCCGGATCCATGATCCCCGATCCCCGATTCCGGGTAATGTAAACTTCTCGGGCGCACTTATACGCACACACTCGGGCATATATTTAGATAGCCATAAACCATAAACTAGCGTGTTCTTAGCACAATCCGCAGCAAACACAAACAAAAGGCGAGTGCACACAAATCGCTACGTCTTCAGTTCGATATCGGCACTGGGGGAAATAGTATATATAATACTATAAGTCTAAATGCTTTAAATTATAAATAATTGCACGAGTCCCATATTCTTTAAATTATAAAATATTTATATATTTATTTATTTATTATTTAAATATGCCCTAAATAGATTGTTATAGATATTTTTTTTATAAATATTTAACTTTATTAAAAAAATTAAATATAAAAAGATCATATTTTAATATATTTTTCAAGCAGTATATTTTTTCGGAGAAAAATTATATTTTCATAATTTTTATTTAGTAAAAAATGTATAAGCTCTATTTGTATTTCATGAAAATGTTATATTTATCTTTTTGGTTTCATAGATTTCTTTGAGTGTACCGGCGTCGAATCGGATTGGAAACGATCGATGTCGAATGTCCAATTGTGTAAACATTAGAATGCAGACATGCTGACACGCGGACATGCCGCCCCTTATCAGTATTTGCCGCTGCCGCTGCCTCTGGCATTGCACATTGTGATAAAGAAGAAAAGTAGCTGTCGCTGCGATGGATATATCGGCAATCATTGAGGGGATCGCGTCGTACGCACTGCTCTAACACACCCACACCCGCACCCATGCTCTCTAAATGATCGCCACCAGATGGCCCTCGGTGTCTCTGTCCCTGTCTGTCGCACTGTCCCCGGCCGGCGTGGAGCTACAATGACCAGGAGAGTGTGTGTGTGTGTGGGGGGAGGGGGGAGTGTGAGAGAGCATGGTTGAGAGCGTCAATTCATGGGGGCCACACAGGGCCGGAGTTTAAGGGGGATGGCTAAGTAAGGGTTAAGTCAATTAACTGAAATAAATTATAATATTAAATAATAATTTTATTAAATTAAAAAAAATATATTAATTTAATTAAATTACGTTTTTTAATATTTATAAAAATTAATAATTACAAATATCCCTCCTATTGCTTATTGGTGCGTAGACCCCCCCTGATCAAGCAATCTGCGCCCGCCCATGTCTGCTAACCTCAGAGCGGCCGGCAGAGCAGAGACAGTTAGGAGACCGAGACGGCGAGTGAGAGTGAGAGTACGAGTGAGAGGTGGAGGTTCCTATTTGTCAACTGGCTATGGCAATATCGTACACTCGCACTCGTGCCCGGACGACGAACTGCACTCGATCCGATCCGTTCCGATCCGCAGTTAGTACGTTACTTTCAAACACTTCGGAGTGTCGCCAAGAATATCAGTAATATTAGTAATAACAATAATAACTCCGATTGGCATCGATTTTCTTTTCCGCTCGAGTGATATTTGAGGCCCGTTAGGCAATACTCTCGCGTGTGTTTGTGTGAGCTTTTCTTTTTTGCATTCCCTTTTTGTTTTTTTTTTTTTGTTTTTGTTTGTGATAATGCCGAGTGCTGCTGAGTGGCAACCTGTAACCCTTTTATTTTCTACCTGATCCCGCTCGTTGCTTTAAAGGCATTAGTCATGAAAGTCAGGGCGGCTTTTGAATCACCAGCAGTTATAATAACAACAACAACAACAACAATAATCACAACAGTGGAACGTCCCCAGCAACAACAAAAAACAGCAAAAACATCAAGAGCCAGCAAATGAATGCCGAATGCCGTAAACTGTTTACATTGCTCACACACCATTACTCACTCACCTCGCTCGACCGCTGCTCTACCTGAGCCTGAGAGCAAACGGAGTTGGAGTAGAGAAAACATAAAAAAAATAATACAACTCGACTCAAGTTAATGCGAAAAAGGGGAGCAAAAGAGATCGCAGCTGCACTAGTTTCGATTACGTGAGCAGCAAATAAATAAACAAGCGATTCCCAATCCCCACTTCTCTCTCTCTAACTAACTCACTAACTGATAACGCGCATACGCACCCATACACACGTGCAAAAGCGACAGGAGAGAGGACGAAGGCAGAGAGAGAGAGAGTGTGAGAGAGCAACGCTACGATCGGTAGGATTACCAAATACAAAAAAAAAAAAAAAAACTAGAAAAACTACAGCGACTAGAGGTAAGCGCAACACACAGCTACTGATAAGATAACCAAATATATATTCGAGCCCAGACAGATTGCGTATACGCCCCGTTGGCCAGCATAAAGAATGCAGCCATGACCTAAGGATGGTAGAAGGGAATAGGAATAGAGGGAAAGGGAAGAGTGAGAGGAAGAGGTAGAGGAAGATTTAGAGGAAGTAGTTGAGGGTGTATAGGAGTACACCGAAAACAAATGAGCCTATGTAACTCAAAAAAGCAGGGAAAAGAAAATTTACAAAAAATAATTTTATGAATTTAATTTTTAGAATAAAATAAAAATGAAATTTAAGAAAACAATATTTTTATGTATATCATTTTTAGACTAAAATGCTTTTGGTCAGTGTTTGTTGCTTTATAAAATATATAAAAAAAAAACCTTGAAATTACATAATTAAAAAAGGTTTCCTTTTTAATATAAATAAAATAATCCTTCAAAATCAAAGCTATCTAACGGGCAATCCTCGCCAGTCAAAAATTCTTATAAATAGAAATATGGAAACTCCTCTTTTTCCTCGCCGTGTAGAACTCATCACTTGCCTCGATTAGCGGCCACTCGAGCGAAGAGCAGATCACAGAGACGCCCCAGAGACGTACGTAAGTCTCTGCAAAATAAGAAAACCGAGTGAAACAGTCACTCAATTAATTAAGGTTCGACGCTGATCTTTGCACCCCAAGTGCTCTGGCTGCAGGAGGTGCTGCCGAAGCTACCCTGAGATACAGATACATCTACAGATACAAATACAGATAGAGCATAAAACTACAGAAGACTGAGACGAGTGTGTGACCTCTTTAAATTATTTAATTGACACTAATTTATCATAGTCCCGAAGTAGCCGCTAGGGTGCCACGCCCCAATTCCGGGTGGGTTACCAACTGGGCAAAAGGGGCAACAACGAGAGTGTCAAGTTGCGGGTTACTTGTATTGTTGCGTCGGCGCAAAATGCAGTCAGCGCCAGTTTTGGAGAAACATGCCTCATCCACTCGAGTGCCACTTCCACCGCCAGTTGGCAATTGTCGGCCCTGGCGATCGGTGTTCAGTGCTTTAGTTTTTGGTGATCGATAATTGGACAGGATCAATATCAATATCAATATCAAGTTCAAGTGAATTAACAAGCAGAAAAAGAACCGCGAAGAATTTGATAAAAATATCAATATAGAGAGCGAGAGAGATCGCCAAAAGCCTAAAGGTAGTGAAGCTCTCAATATGTGGCGATCTTTATGATTTTGTTTTTATGTTTTTGAAGGGAAGAAAACGTGACTCATAGTGAAGCTGGGAAAGCTAAGAAGACAGATCTCAAAGGGTATAGAAACTCCCTTTAGAGATCAGTTTTTGGTGATGGCATAAATCTGGGATCAGTGATCAGTGACTGTGGTCAGGAATAGAAAGATATCAAAAAAAGATCTATGGATATTATTAAAACCTAAACTGCTTTTCCAAAAGTGACTCATTGTTAGACATCTTTAACTATAAAATGTTAATTGGAAAGAGACTAAAGAGCTCTATTAGTTTATTGATCTCAAGCAACGGGAAATGAACCCCCAAACGATTCAACAACTCAACCAAATATTTGCTTACCAAGCTGATAACCTTGATGGTTGTGATTTTGTCAACATTGATAACGTTCTCAAGTGCGTTTGTCCCCTCTCCAGATGAATGTAAACCTCAAACATAATTATGAAAAAAAAAGGGAACTCTTAGGACTTTGTTTTATAAATAGCAACCAGAGTTTTATTTCAGGAAATAAAAAATGAATCATTAATAAACAGCTCATGAAATCTACTCTGGGATTACACTGCCTTATTCTCCTAATCCAGTGCTCCTTTCACCCATTTTCCTTTATTTTCCTTACAGCAGCAGAATGAGTGACGAGTCTACGGTTGACCTAGGCGATGGCTATCCCCCCTTGGAGGCATTGACGACGACAACCACGATGGCTTCGCCAACAGACGAGGGCGGGTGAGTAAGGGGAGAGGCTCTTGGATGGGATTCTGCTCTGGTGTTGACGATGTGCCAAGTGGGTGCCAAGTGAGTCGTGCAATGGTTTGAAGCTATCAGCGGCCGCTGGGTAATTATAGACCCCGGGCCTGGAGAGGTCCGATAAGAGATCGTTAATATTACGCGCTCCATTGCACACCACCACGACTGACAAAGACGGCTGATTCTTGTGGGATTCTTAAGCCAGCGGAAGCCAACTACTGCGAGTACGATATGGTGATAGCCACAGGGCCAAATGGGGTGCCAAGGGTCGCAAGATCTTTAATAAGTAGCAGTACTCACACCCTGAACAGATTTCAGCTCAAGTCGTTAGAATAGCGGCAGAAGAAAGGAGATGTAGTGAAGTTTTTAATATAAATATTGCTGAAAATAAGGCAGAAAGATTATTTTTAAATATATAAAAACAAGATAAGATCCTGGGAAAAATATTTAGAAATTATTTAGCTATTTCTCTTGAACTTAATCATCTTTCATCCCAATTCTTTCCAGCTTCTCGCAGTCCCTGTTGACCTTTGCGGCTGTGATGACCTTCTTGATCATGATCGTGGGCATCTGTGGCAACCTGCTGACCGTTTGGGCCCTGCTCAAGTGTCCCAAGGTGCGCAATGTGGCCGCCGCCTTTATTATTAGGTAAGTAGAGAAAGCCTTTAATCTTGGATCTTCCAGAGTCTAATCCCCGAGTCCAACTCCCGCTTAAGCCTCTGCATAGCCGATTTGCTGTTCTGCGCCTTGGTGCTGCCCTTCCAGGGTCTACGCTTCGTCCAGGGCACCTGGCGTCATGGCCCCGTACTCTGTCGCCTGATACCCTTCATTCAGTACGGGAATATTGGTGTCTCCCTGTTGTGTATTGCCATGATCACGATCAATCGGTACGTGATGATCACCCATCATGGCTGCTATGCGAGGATCTACAAGAGCCACTGGATCGCCGTAATGATCGCCGCCTGCTGGCTCTTCTCCTACGGCATGCAATTGCCCACCTTGCTGGGTGAATGGGGTCGCTTCGGCTACGATGCCCGCCTGCAGACATGCTCCATTATGACCGATGATCATGGCCACAGCAGCAAGACAACGCTTTTTATAACGGCCTTTGTGATACCCTGCCTGGTGATCATTGCCTGTTATGCCAAGATCTTTTGGGTGGTTCACAAGTCGGAACAGCGGCTGAAGCAGCATGCCACCAAGCAGAACTCGATACCGAATAACCTGAGGCCGGCACCCTTGACGGGATCGGGAACTGTAACGGGTTCGGGTACGGGAGCAGGAGCAGGAGCATCTGGAGGCGGTGGCGGCGGCGTTGATAATGGCAATCGCATGTCCACGGACAGCAGCAGCAGCTACTCCACAGATGTCCCAGAGACGGCGCCCTCAGGCAAGCAGCAGCAGACCACCAGGATCAAGGATCAGCGCGAAGTGCGGGCCAAGCGCAACGAGTGGCGCATCACCAAAATGGTTTTGGCCATATTCCTGTCATTTGTCGTGTGTTATCTGCCCATTACCATTGTCAAGGTGGCCGACAAGGATGTGGAGCATCCCAGTCTACACATTTGCAGTTACATTCTGCTGTATCTCTCCGCCTGCATTAATCCCATAATTTATGTGATTATGAATAAGCAATATCGCAAGGCCTACAAGACGGTGGTCTTTTGCCAGCCGGCACGTCTCCTGCTGCCCTTTGGGAAGACCAATGGCGCTAGCAGCGCTGCAGGTACGTGTAATCCACATGGATCTCTTGGAACTACCAGCACTAAGTCACGGTCATTCTTCGTTTCAGAGAAATGGAAAGATACCGGGTTGAGCAACAACCACAGCCGCACCATTGTCTCCCAGATGTCGGGATCAGGAACGGCAACGGCAACGGCAACGGCAACGAACCCACAGCAGCCACAGGCCGTCCAGGCCTTGGAACTAATGTCCCGCGGACCGGACTTGATCAGCAAGTCCAACCTGCCATTGCCGCTGCCGCCGGCATGCGTTACACCACCGCCGCCACCCTCAGTGCTCACAGCAACACCGGCATCCAACAACAATCGATTGCCACTCAAGAAGAACAATCACTCCTACACCAACAGCGGCTTCAACAGCAGCAGCAGCAGCGGGAGTCCGGGGATCAGCAGCTCCATCTATCGACCCGGAGCTGGGACCGTGTCAGCGGGAATACGACGCATCACAATGGTGGGGGACGATATAATACTGGAGGAGGAGGAGATGCCAACGACGCCCACGACACCACCAGTATACTCATCGGCACCGCAGACGCCAGCACCAGCCCCACCGCTGCCGCTACTTACGCTATCCGTCCGAACACATCCTTTGTCCATGAATACAGCAAAAGGTACAGCGGGAACAGCAACAGCAGCAGCGGCGGCAGCGGCGGGATCAGTGAAACAGCAGCCGGTGGTGGCGGTGACACCGCCCATTTACATGAACGTGGACAGTCCGAAGAGAAACCAATCCTATTCCGAACGTAATAAGAGTAATGTTGCACCGGAAGGTGATGCAAGCACATCCGAGGCCGGCTCCAAGCTCATGGCCAAGATGAAATTCCCAAAAGACTAACGAAATGCTTTAAAAAATTCCCAAAAAAGAAAACCAATCTTCGTTATAAACATAAACATTAACATTATATTACATTACATTAACCCATTGGGGTTTCTTCGTAGATATAACTCTTCTATATAGTCCAATATCTTCCATAGAATAGTCACTGAAATTGTGCCATAGTTTAGATAGTTTTTCTTTGTAATGATACACAAATTTTGCAATATTCTTTAACTTACTTTATTTTAGATTTTGTTTTTTTTTTTTTTAATTTTTTTAATATTTTTCCCTCTTGATCCTTTGACTAAACCCAATCAATCTTGAGAACTTCGTAGAACTTATTTTATTTTGTAGATATTTATGATCGCCCACGCTTAGTATTAACCCCAAAAACTTGATATATGCTAAAAACCACCACAATTACACATATTTTGAAAGCAGAGTCTTTGATTTCTTTTAGCATAAAACATTCCATTCCAACGTAGGCCTTTGTAAATGTACCTATTGTTAGTACCAAGTGCACTCCATTCGACACAAGACGACAAACGCAATCGAATATGAATATAAACATCAATGTTTACATATTATATCAAAATAAACACACTGTAATTTATTACCATCCAATCTTCGCTCTCAGTTGTTGTTCTTGAAAAGTCGCCGGATTTCGGGGAACGTTTATGGGGTTGGGGTTTTGTTTAAGATTGGATTGGAACTGGGGTTCGGTTGCTATCTTGCGAATTTACACTTGATATGCTTTATTTAAGTATTTGTTTATAGATTGGGGGGGGGGTAAATCGGATAAGAAATCAGCTTAATGTGTAAGCTGAGCTTGACCTTGAAGGGTCTTTGAGGCAGTTGAAACTTCGTTTATTTTCATCTTAATAAAACCTCTATAATATATATATATATATATATATATATATAATTATTATTATTATGACTAGATCTGTTTGCAGATGAATACTTTTTATATTTTTTTCCAGGAATTAAAAAATCAAAGCTATTTGCCTTGCAATATTTTCTTAGCAGCATGTTCCCAGCAACATTTGCCTAGCAGCATGTTCCCAGCAACATTTGCCTAGCAGCCCGTGCCGAGCAACATTTGCCAATCAACATTTGTCTATCATCATTTTCTTAGCAACATTTGCCCCACAACACTTGCCTATTTTTTAAATAATATTAATTTTTTCAATTTAAAAAGACTTTATTAAACTTAAAAATAGATTGTTAATTTTTTAAAAATTAAAATTATTTTTCTGTAAGCCTAAAATAAAAAAATAAAATTTTTTTAATTTAAAAAAACGCGTATTAAATTTAAAAAATGACTAGAGAATTTTAAAATAATTGAAATATACTAAAAATTATATTTTTTAAGTGCATAAAATTAACCTTTTTCTTTTTTTTTTCTTGTGTATTGATTAAGTTAATATTTTGTTTATCAAATTGAATTTCAATGGAAATATTCCCAATATATATCGGAAAAACTGACGATACTCTGCTGGGCGTAGTCCATCGCTGACCCAATTGCCCGGCTCACGTTCGCCTTCGCCGCTCTCCTCTCCTCTTTGTGGGGGGCGGCATCGCACGAAGGTAGGTGGGTGGGACTTATCGCCAGGGAGCTTATCGCCTCGCCAGCTCGCTGCAGTCAGTGCAACGCCACCGGTCGAGCAGTAACACGGCGCCGGGCAGTTCGAATCGAATTAAATCAAATCAAATCGAATTATAGCCGGAATCCAAGCAAAAAAAATGAGCAACAACAATGTGATCTGCACGATCTGTGCGGAACGGTATCGCAACTCGGACAACATACACGCCGGCAGCTGTGGGCATGCCTTCCACGAGGAGTGCCTTTTCCGCTGGCGGGATCAGTGAGTGTTTCCAAAACAAAAAAAAAAAAAAAAAAACAGCAGTTAAAAAATAAAGTTTGCAAAAAAAAATAACTAGAAAAATAGTGATTAGAAATAAATATATATAAATAAATAAATTTAAATAATGAAGACCATCAAACTGTGTCAAGAAACCCTAAATTATATTTCCTTTATTTAAATCAATATTTATTTATTATTTTTTAAGTTTAAAAATTACATACCTTTGCCAAAAAAGCATCAAATTCAATTCGGAAAGATTTTCTTTGCTTATTTTTTGTCGGTTTACAAATCTGCTTACTTAATTTATTTTTTTAAGAAATCAAAATTTTGGATCATTTTTGAACATTTTAACGATGTAACCCTAAAAAAAATTTGAAAAAAATTGAAAAATATTTTTTTTCCCCAAAAATGTCTTAAAATACTCGCCTGTTGATGCTGATCAAGAATATATATGGTTTATGGGGTCGGAAATGACTACTTTTGACTGAATTACTAAAGCAAAACAAAAACAAAAAATATAAATGTAAAATAAAATATAAATATATAAATATAAATATAGACAAAATCGTGAAAACAAGATCTTTAATACTTCCACAAAGTTCCGCTGAGATTAAAGCCCCTGTGCTTTTGCTTTCCAGATCAAGGACATGTCCCATTTGCCGCTCTGAGGATGCCGCCTACTTCCAGCTTTATCTGAGCTTTGAGCAGGATGGAGCGGCAGGCGGCGGGGGCGGCAGTGGGCGGAATCTGAGCCAAGATAACAGCAGCAGTAACAGTCCCACTAACAGTGCCTCCAGCAGCAGCAGCACTAGAAACAGTAACAGCAGCAGCAGCAGCAACAGCAGCGGCCACAATAGTAGCATCAACAGCAGCAGCAGCAGCAGCAGCAGCAGCACTGGAATCATGCGGGAATTCGAAAATATGTTATACGAAAAAGATCTTTACCAGCAGGAGATCGAGTATCTCAACGAGTGCATTGGTGCGCTAACCCTGCGCAATTCAAAGCTCAAGTGTAGGCTGGCTGAGTCGGAATCCGATTCAGATTCCGACTGAAAACTAAACAAATAGGCTGTAAAATGAATCCCAAGTTAAATAATAAGGTAAAGCTTAACAAGACAAAGAAGGCTGAGAAGGCAAACCTTAGAGGCGAACGAACGATAGCAGAAATAATACATATACCCCACATAAAAACCAAACTAATTACCGATTTAAATAGGATTTAACGTTTTTTTTTCTTTTTGTTTAATTAATTTAAATTCGCATTACATTTTACCATTTACAGCGCATTTGACGCGGGCAATTTTAAATAAATAAACTCAATATGTCTGGCAGCACAAGCACCGCTGCGAATCTCGATTATTTTATTCGATTTTGCAATCGATTAAAAAAGCGAAATAGTATATTTTAGTATATTTTTGAGAGATAAATGGTGAATTTCAATCTGTCCGGGCGGTCACACTGGTGGAATCATAACAAGGATAAAATACGCCAATTACCGCGTCTCTTTGCAAAAATGGACTTAATTACAATTACTAAAAAGATTGCAACGATTTAAAGCCGCCCGTGCGTGTGTCCGTTGTGTGTCTATGACAGTGTGTGAGTGTGTGGCCGCCAGTGATAAACGCAGTAAACACAGCCGTCGGCGTCGAACGCCACTTGCTGCAAGTAAGTGTTATTTTGCATTTACAGTTGCATTTCGCATTATTCGGTTCCGCTGCAGTCTTTGTGTGGGAGCTATAGGCTCAGTTATTGGTTCGATTCAGCCGGGTCTTCTGGCAGACGCCGCTGCATTAGGGTCGAGGTTGGACATTCGCATTTCCATTGTCGCCTCCATTTCGCATTTCCCCTCCCCACCCCACCCTTTCGCTGCAGCGGCGGCGCAAATTTATTTGCAGTGTTTTGCATAGAGGGAGGGGGAGCGGGGGAGGAGCCAGACAGACGCAGGGTTGCATGCGAGTGAGGTGAAAAGTGCAATGGCGCTGCCGGGCTGCCAGGGCTGTCGCCTGCGCTGGTTCTTCGTGTTTTGGCTTGACTTATTGATTGATTGATTGATATCCATCTATAATTGATTTATAATCATTCAAAGATTGATTTGGTTAACATTCTCCCATTGGTTAATGGGCCACAGACTCGGCTCTCTTTGGTTTGAGGTTTGTGTAGGCGGGCAGGATGGCAACTCTGGTGAATAAGAGATGTGCGTTTATCGTGACTCACGAACTGATGGCGCTGGGTATTTATTTAAAGAAAAGTCTTAAAAGAAAGTTTAAAATAGAAAAATAAATATATTAAATAATAATTAAAATTCTGAAAAAAAAAAACTTGTTTCATATAGTCAAAAACAAACTAATTTTTAAGACTGCTTCTAAACCAAAACATAATAATTATTAAAATTAATGTAAAATGCGGGTATTTTTTAAACTTGTTAAAAAAAAATCTAGCATAAGAAATCCCAAAATCCTGTAAATTAATTAAACTAAAGCCCTTCGTGACTCGTGACACAGGTTGCTGTGTCACGCACTTGCGCCAGCCGCCGCCACGCTCACCACCAGCATGGTGATGGTGAGTTCGCCTTTGTTGAGAAAAAATGTCGACGCGAAAAAAAGGTTTAATCAATCCACATTAGTCAGAAAGTCTGGCATTCTTTGTTTCTTTGTTTGTTGCTAAAAAGGCGCAATTGTTTGCCAGCGCGCAGCAAAGTGCGCCCCACCACTGCAGCGTGGGATTATATAAATGCGGCAAGGGCTGCACGGCGAAGGGAAAATCAAGCAAAACTGCAACCAAAGCGGACAGCAGCTCCATTCACTGGGACGCAGCGGGGTCGCAAGAGCGGAGAAGCGGACGGACGGACGGACACGGTGGCGTTGGCGTTGGCAATTGGCAAAGTGAAACCGAGAGAGCGGCGGCGAAAGCAAGCGAACGCGCGACAAGGAGAGAGCTGAGAAGAGCGAGAGGCGTGCAAAAAGAGAAACCAGGAACGAGGAGGAGTAGACTCAAACAACAACGACGACAACGACGCCTGCTCTCGCGAGGATGGACAACTGCGACCAGGACGCCAGCTTCCGGCTGGGGCACATCAAGGAGGAGGTCAAGCCGGATATTTCGCAGCTGAATGACAGCAATAACAGCAGCTTCTCGCCAAAGGCCGAGAGTCCCGTTCCCTTCATGCAGGCCATGTCCATGGTCCATGTACTGCCCACGGGCAATAATTCCGGCAACACGGATTCGCAAATGTCACAGGCACCAAATTCTGCTGCGGCTGCCGCCGCCGCTGCAGCTGCCGCAGCCGCTGCCGCCGTCCAGCAGCAATATCCGCCGAATCATCCGCTGAGCGGCTCCAAACACTTGTGCTCCATCTGCGGAGATCGGGCGAGTGGCAAACACTATGGCGTCTATAGCTGCGAGGGCTGCAAGGGCTTCTTCAAGCGTACGGTGCGCAAGGATCTCACATACGCATGCCGGGAGAATCGCAACTGCATCATTGACAAGCGTCAAAGGAATCGCTGCCAGTATTGTCGCTACCAAAAGTGCCTCACCTGCGGCATGAAGCGCGAGGCAGTGCAGGAGGAGCGTCAACGTGGTGCCCGGAATTCAGCGGGACGGCTTAGTGCCAGCGGCGGTGGAGGCGGCGGCGGAGGTGGCAGCAGTGGACCCGGCTCTGTTGGTGGCTCAAGCACTGGTGGTGGCGGTGGCGGTGGCCTGGGAGGCGGTGGATCCGGCGGCCTGGGCAGCGGCAATGGCTCCGATGACTTTATGCCCAACAGTGTGTCCCGTGACTTCTCCATCGAACGTCTGCTGGATGCCGAACAGCGAGCGGAGGCGATGAGCGGCGATCGTGCGTTGTCCTTTCTACGCGTCGGACCCAATTCCACCGTGCAGCCGGATTACAAGGGCGCCGTGTCCGCCCTATGCCAGGTGGTCAATAAGCAGCTCTATCAGATGGTCGAGTATGCGCGCATGATGCCGCACTTTGCCCAGGTGCCGCTGGACGATCAGGTCATACTGCTAAAAGCCGCCTGGAATGAGCTGCTGATTGCGAACGTTGCCTGGTGCAGCATTGTGTCGCTGGATGACACCATGGGCAGCGGCGGCGGTGGAGGAGGCGGTGGCCTGGGACATGACGGTTCGTTTGAGCGACGATCACCGGTGCAGCAGCCGCAGCAGCTGTTTCTCAACCAGAGCTTCTCGTACCATCGCAATAGCGCAATCAAGGCCGGCGTATCGGCGATCTTTGATCGCATCCTGTCCGAGCTGAGCGTGAAGATGAAGCGTTTGAATCTGGATCGGCGCGAGCTGGCCTGTTTGAAGGCGATCATACTGTACAATCCGGATATACGCGGCATCAAGAACCGGGCGGAGATTGAGATGTGCCGGGAGAAGGTGTATGCCTGCCTGGACGAGCACTGCCGAATGGAGCATCCCGGTGACGATGGACGCTTTGCCCAGCTGCTGTTGCGCCTGCCGGCGCTGCGTTCAATCAGCTTGAAGTGTCTGGATAACCTGTTCTTCTTCCGCATCATCAGCGACCGGCCGCTGGAGGAGCTGTTTCTCGAGCAGCTGGAGGCGTCGCCGCCGCCAGGCCTGGCGATGAAACTGGAGTAAACCAGTAAACCGTCGAATGTTTCATTGTGATTGCGTTTCTTTGCATTTCTCCCTAAACTATCACCCTAAGGTCCCCGCGAATCCCGAATCCTCGAACCCTCGAACCTCTAATATTACGCTACATGTGTATGTAATTGTTTATTTTTTTTTTTATTACCTAATATTATTATTATTGATATAGAAAATGTTTTCCTTAAGATGAAGATTGATGCCTCCTCGACGTTTATGTCCCCAGTAAACGAAAAAACCAGAACACACAAAATCCAAAACTTGAAAAGAACACAAATCGAAAGAGAGAAAAGAAAAACAGAAAAAACACGAAGAAAACTAAACAAAAAAAACACAATAAAGTAAAAGTTCAACTAAAGCTAAATAAAAATTAAAAATATATTATATATAAAGGTTAAACATTAAATCATAGTTACGATGTACAGACGCATGTATACATGCATGTTCAGTATATATATATATATATATATATATATATATATATGTATATTTCGGCAGAGCCCGCTCTAAATCAATTGTAATTACTTTTTAACATAATTGTACCCCAGCGTTATCAGTTACATGTGAGACGAAAAACCAACAAAAAAATATATATAAATATATATCTATGTATAAAATATAAACTGCATAACAAAGAGATCTTGACGTTTTATCTGCACGCTGCGTTTCGGTACTGTAAGGTGACTAATGTGGGTGGGTTTAACTATTAAGAAATATGTTATATATTATTCTCTCTTGTAAGGACACATCCTGACGTATGTGCGTGTGTTTCTTTAAATTAGTTAATTGATTTATACTAGAGGCCTTGCAATTATTGGCCTTCTTCCAAATATATTTGTGATATAATTAGGTGGAGGTAATAAATAAGTTTCACAGTGGAAACATTTCAAAAATAGACGCTCTATTTAAAAAAAAACGGGTTTCTTGAAATTGAACTTGCCACAGAGACTTGATTTTATGATTTAATAATTTATTAGAAAGGTAAACTTTTTTTTAATAAATTTTATTATAGTAAAAGGGTTAGGCAGGAAGTCGAAACTGCGATATAGGGGGTTATCTTTATATTATTATTTTTTTTTTTTAATATATCCTAAAAACTATTATAAATATTTAGTTTGTTATAAATAATTATTAGAAGGGTCAACTTTATTTTATTTTTTATTCTATTTTTTTCTTACTCAGTGAATCGAAATTCTGGGATACAGGGGTTACTTGTCTATTTTATATAATATCATTAAGTTTTTTGGATATCTTTGAAGTTATGATAAATATTTACTTTACTATAAATATTTAATAGAAAGGTTAACTTTATTTTATTTTATTTTATTTTTTATTTAGACAGGAAGTCAAACTTCTGTTTATTAAAAAATAACTGGGGATATCTGGGTTTTCTGTCTATTCTATATAAAGTTTCCAAATATTCCATAAAAAAAAGTACATTTTCAAATTAATGACTTTATATTTTATTAAACTCTTTTATTTATTAAAAAGAAATTTCCCAATGCAGATCCTTGACAATCAGGAAAGACCATTAATTTTCGAACCGCACTGTACCTGTTACATGTGCCTTTGTGTTGAGGAGCGGACGCGCTTACCCAATAATTTGGTTTGTGGGCCATCACCACCTCCTGTCCCCCCCCCCGACTCCACGTCTTACCTTGAGGCCTGTTGACTGTTTTTTTTTTTTCGATGGCATTTGGTCAATTTTTATAAAATTTATGTCTGCCACTTTTCAACATCTGCGGGGGAATGTATGTTAGTATGTATTTACAAAAATATGGTATTAACGCACAAGCAGCGACTAAGAATAGATATTGTTTTCGAAAAAAGAACAAAAATCACCGCTAACGACGCACATTATTATCTAAAAATAAATAAATATATAGCCCTGTCTCTTTCCTGCGCAATATACCCATCTCTTTCGCAGGAAATATATGTATTTATGTATATTGAGCTTTGGAAATGGGAACAACTAATCTTTGGAAGTGATAATCTTTTCTATCAAAACCTTTCTTGAAATCCTTTCTTTAAGGAAAAATGCTAAATCAAAGCTCAAAAAAGCTTCAAGAAATAGAAAGAGACAAAGCTATTGAATAAAAAGAGACGGCACTCTGTACACACTTCTTGTGGGTGGCTTTTATGGTTCTAGTTAATCGCTATCCTTGATTTTGAGATGCCTTTCCTTTGGTCTGCTCAAAAAGCAAGCTGGCGCATATTTAATAAATTTCATAAATATCATAGACGCACACAAACAAAAAATCTATGTGGCGGCGTGTTGAAAAATGTGAAATGAAAAATGAAATGTTTCGCACGGAAAAACCATGAAAGCATGCCAATAAAATCATGTGTTGAACAAACACCGAGACGGAGACTCTGGTGATTTGCTTTTGGGATCTGCGATCTGCGAGATCTGCTATCTTTGCTATCTGTGATCTGCGCTTGTGTGTGTGCATTGGAAAAGAGTTTTCGAAGCGAAATTAACAATTTGCTATTTTCGTAGTTATGCGGGGGCGTCTCTTTTTCCCCACCCCTCCCCCCAAGACAGAAGACCCAGGAACCTCTAGAGGAAGACGACGTGGTGGTCAAGGGGTTGTGGAGGTGGGTGGGCCTGCTGTCTGAACCGCGGAGACTCGCTGACAGACGGAAGACGCAGAGGCGCAGAGACTCTGAGGCCTGACGTGGGGGCCAGGCCAACAAGTTGTTGTGGTCGCACGGCACACAGGGTGCTCTGATCTACCTCCTCCTCCTCCTCATCCACCTCCGTTTCCTCTATTTCCTCTTTTTTCTGCAACTGCATTCTCCCAGACATTTCGCTAAAATGGGACTCTAGACTCGTATAGCTTAGCTCTCTTTGGCACAGAGACAGGCGCAAGAGCATCAGCTGAAATTGTGCAAAAAAAAAAAATCAGAAAAAGAAACTTGTCTTGGAGAGTCAAGAACCCAGGATACCCATTTATTAATTTTTTATCTATTAACATCTTATAATTTTTATAAGACAAATATTTCTTTTCTTTTATGTTATTAATTTTAATATTCTAAATTAATTTTTATAAATTAATAATTTAATTTATATTTTAACTTAATATTTAATGTTTTTTAATCTATTAACATCTTATAATTTTCATATCCAAATATATTTTTTTGTATATTAATAATTTTTAAACCAAGTTTTTAAGTATTACGGGATCAAAAAATTCCGAATCCTACTTTCTTTTTCATAAAAATATATTTTTTATATATAAACTTAAATCTAACATATACTTTTTTAGATATTAGGACCTAAAAGAGTATTGTTTATAAATCAAATAAAACCAAAATACAATTTTCTACTTTAGAAATCAATATTTACTATATTCAAATTAGGTTTAAAAAAAAACCTAAGGTTCCTTGAGTACTTTTCAATCTTTTAAGGTACCTGTACTCCCTGTTGTATCTTTTGGACTCTAGGGTACCGCTATTCGTACGCTTATGCTGGCCGAATTCATACTTTCTTCTGTGCCACCCACTCCCACTCAGCCGCCCGCTCTGCTCTCTCCACCTCCTCCCACCGTCGCCACTCTCTCTTCGCCGTTCGGGATCTTTGGGGGCTTTCGATGGTTCGTGTCGTCTTCGTGACTGAAGATCCGAACCGAAACGATCCGATCCGATGCTCCCGCTGCATGGCAGGCAGACTTTTCCTCCTCCTCCTCTTCTTCTTCTGCTGCTGCTGCTGCTGCTGTTTTGGCTGCTGTGGATGTGAGTTGGCCAAAAGACGCTGGGCGATGGGTGGGGGGTGTGGTGTGTGGGGTGATGTGGGGCGGCTGCTGCTGCTGCGCCGACTGCTGCGCTGGCGGCAGCTGCGACGCGGACAGAGACTGCGGCGGTACATTCAGAGTTGGCAGCTGGCTGGCTGGCGCGACATCAGTTTTGAGTTGGCTTTCAACGCGAGCGGGTCTTTCTCTTCGCAAGCGACACACGTAGATATTGCTCCAAATTTTGTTGTTCACACACAGAAAGAAAAAAAGAAGAATTGTTTTGTTGTTTTTGTTTTTGTTTGGTTCCAAATACACACACACACAGAGAGACGGATATATATATATATATATAGATACGTATATATACACTTAAATCGAAAAAAAAACTCACTTGCTTTCGTTATACTCTAAAAATTATTAATTTTTTTTTCGTTTTTTTTTTTCAAAAATAAAATATAATACAAAATATATAAACGCTGTGCATGTGTGTGTGTGTGTGAGCTGTGCTGGTGTGTGGGTGTGTGTGCGTGTGATGGTTATGTATATGCATTAACCACATATATCTCTATATATATCCGAACAATATATGTGAATATACATATATATATATATATCGAAGAAGAACCCAACAATTGTGATACCAATAACGATAACGATAACAGCTGAAAAGTAAAGAAAAAAAAAAGGGGAAAAAAAACGCGAGTATATCGATCTATATTTACCGGATCAGTTCCGATTTCCGATATCATTTAAATTCGCGCAAAATAAAAAAAATGATTTCAAATATGTACCAGATATCCCCCCCCCCCAAAAAAAAAAAAAACCTTTACCCCCTCTCCTCCGCTTCCCTCCCTGCCCTTCCCTTTTGGCGCTGCCCGCCCGTTGACGTTGACGCCGAAAATAAAACTTTTTCAAAACATACTATTTTTAACCGATACGATACGATATACACGACGACGAAGCGAAACTGAAACGGAACGAGAGCGCGAAAAACACATGAAAAAAGCCAAAAAGAACGGGCAAAGCAAACGCAACAAATAATTAAGCAGCAAATTAACGTGTTATACAACGTTTTCTTTTTTTTTACATTTTTTTTTGTATTTCGAATTCTGATATTTTTGGAAATTTTGGAATCTACCGCATTTTGCATTATTTTTAAACGGTTGGCAGCGCCTTAACGGTAAACAACCACCTGTTTGTCTCTCCGTTTTGTCCGTTTGTCCGCTGTCCATCGCGGGAGCTTTCAGGATCGGCTTTTTGGCAAGCTATCAATCAATTAGTCAATCAATCAATTGGTCAATATCAGAGTACACACGCACACGCATACGCACGCACGCACAGTTATATTTGTGAGACTGCTGTGTGGCGGAATCGAGAAAAGCGAACCGAACCTAACAGTAAACGTGAAACTGCAGCAACAACAATAACAATAACAACAACAACAATAACAATAAATAGCAAGGCAAAGCAAAAACAACAACAAGAACAACAAGAGCTACAACCTCCGTTTTCCTTCGGCAGCAGCAACTGGATCACCCAACAACATCAGCAGCAGCGGCAGGGGCAAAGAGGCAGCATCCGACACTCACACGCACGCACGCACCGAAAGAGAGAGAGAGAGTGAGCGAAGAGAAGAAGTGAAGAGAGCGTGCAGCAGGATCGAAACATATATAGAGAGAGGGACATACGAATAGAGCGCGCCACAAGATGATGATGGAGAACGGACTCTCCATGGAGTATGGAGATGGCTACATGGAGCAGGAGGAGGAATGGGAGCGCGAGGGCCTGCTCGATCCTGCGTGGGAGAAGCAACAGAAGAAGGTGAGTGAGACAATAAAAGATTCATACATTAGATTTCAGAAGAAATACGGTAAGGCTCCTGCATCTCGAAACCCTAGCTCTCAATTTGAATGGATATCCTGCGAAAGAGTTCGCGAGTTTGCAGATGCCTAACTGTTTATATTATAGAGATCCTAAAGTCTAAAAAGATATTTCTTAACTTTAAAATAAAAATGAGTAGTTAGACAAACCCAAATATCAATAGCAGACTAAGTAGATAAAAGACCAAAAATAAGAAGAAATATTTAGAATTATTCGGTAGAAACTGGATTAAGAACAACTACAAAGCAGACTATTGTAAACATTAAAATCAAAGGAAATAGGAATAGTTTTGTTATTGAAAAATAGATACTAAATAATATTATCTATAAATTACAATAGAATGATTGAACCTAAGCTTTAAACACGAAATAGACAGGAAAAAAGTAAGAAAATTATACTTGAAATAATAAAATTAGAAGAAATATAGGACATTTTCGAAAACTTAAACCTACCTTTGAAGACAGAAAGTAGTATGGAACCCCAAACTTCACTGACATTACCCCTTATAAACAACAGTATCTGGAGAAGTTTTATTTGAAAATGCCAGAAGAAATGGGGTTTACCTTACCAATCCAATGCAAAGATCAAGATTCTTACACATCATTTATGAAGACTTGTATCTTGTAGATTAGCCCCGAACATTCTGGCAGATACTCTGGATATATAAATGATATTTGGCCAATTTGAATGTGGCTAACAAGACGAATACCTACTGTATCCGTTGTTTCTTTTATATGTATTGTGAATATATGCTCTCTGGCAGGGTTCTATATTTTTCGATTATGTTTCAATATTTTACCGAGCCAACACCAACCACATAGGATTCACACACAAAAAGAAAAAAAGAAAAGCTAAAACCAACAACTACAACAAATAGAAGGAAAAAAAAGCTCAGCGCGCATTTTAAAAATAGAATTCTTCTTTCTTCTTGATTTTCATGGCTCTTGTTGTACGAGCAATGTTTGAAGATAGTACGAAAATAGTTTGTTGCTGTTCAGGAACCATACAATACATATAGGATAGCATACTACATATTAGATATATAGCGTATATTCAACGCCGTTCGATTGCTTATGATTATGAAAATCGATTGCGGGGCACCGCACAAAAAGGGAATACTGATCTCATCGGATCTCAACTGTTTTTTCATTTCCCCAGTACATAGACACACAGTCACCCACCCAAAAACAACAGCAGGTTGAATAATGTCATGGAAGAGACCCAACCCAATCGAAACCGAAGGTTACCCCAGTCGCATTCTCATTTTCCCCCGATTTTTTCCAATCAATTATGCTGTAGAATCGTAGAATTGTAGAATACCCCCCCTTTTGTGATCTTCTTTATGTATTTTCCATTTCCATTCGATCGTTTAGCTGGTTTGTTTGTTGCCTGTTTGCTTGTTGCTTGCCAGCGGAAGCCCCGTTACCGTTATACCTTGGGCGTCAAGAAGAACCAGAAGTGATAGGCAGAAGAACCAGAAGATAGACTGTGGCAGACAGGCAGAAGAACAGCAACTAATTGCCACTGTTTAGATAAAGCTGGAGAGGCAGAAACATCGATCTATAAGTGGGAGAAGGTGACAAACAAGGAGGGAGGGGGGCGGAATGTGAAGGTCGTTGGCGATAACACTTGTGTGTAGAGAGGTTGAGGTAGAGGCCATCATCCCAAAGATAAGTGATTGACGAGAAAGTGATTGGTTGCCACTTTGCACCTTTCAACATGTTGTTCTTGCTAATGTGCCCCAGAAAAGACCAAAGAGATCAAGAGATTTTTAACCTAGAGATCGTGCAACCAACCAAGTCTCATACAAATCTGCATATATTTATATACATAATTTCTAATTCTATAAATTGCCAGCCAAAATGTAGTGCAAGGCTGTGTTTTTGACACGACGCCTAGGTAGGCGTCGACAAGAAAAACTGGGCGGACATACGGACAGACGGACACGGACAACGGACACACGGACTGTGTGCGCTATTGACAATTATAAATAGCCAGCGGTATGGCATTCCTATGCACCACATTTCCACAAATGATTTGGATACAGATGAGGATTTAGATACCGATTCACGTTCAAAGATTCATCACACTCCCCTCCCACACACACACACACACACACTCGCAGAAGGCAAGACCCGAAAAATGCAATGACAAATCGCGCTCGCTGGCCAAAGATCGCAAGCGGCGCACAAACGAAACTGAAAATGTGTAATTAACAAAAATCGAAAACAACAAAATGAAATGAAAAATAAAATACAAAAAAAAAATGGCAAATACAAATAAAAAGCAAGATGACGACGGCGGGCGGTGGGTGAGCGAGCGAAATACAAAAATATGAAGATTTTTGGCGGTCGCCAGATGACTTGAGCTTGACATGCTCGGACATGAATGCGTGGCATCTCTCTCGATCGCTTGCCCCCACTCTCTCTCTCTCTCTCTCTCTCTCCCGCTATATATAAATTTCGTAACCGTAAATTACCGAACGGAATTCGTCAGCTGCTGAATAATGAGAGCCAAAAACGAAAACAGAAACAACACAACCGAAATTGTTTCTGTTTTGTGTTTACATTGGATCGCAACAAAAGGTGTAAACGGGGAGGGGGTGGTGGAGCGATAGGAGGAGAGGCGTGGGCGATGAGTGGTGCTCGCTCGCTCGCCCTCTGTCTGTCTGTCTCTCTTTCACGTAATGAGTCATGTGTGCAAAAGGTGTGAATGAATGCGGAGGATCATCATCATCATGATCATCATCCGCCAGGGTTGCCACCCTCCGCGGCCCACCGCGGCCATGTGCGAATGAGTCCATGCTATGGGGCCGCTCAAATTACACTCGGCTAAAAATGGGTGTGCAAGAGCGAGTGCGTTGCTGTTGCCGTTCCGCTGCCAAAGGAGAGCTTTTTCTTTTTCTTTTCCCCCCAAAAGAAAAAAGCTCGCAAACTAAAAAAGTATCTGACGGCGTCTGTGTGCGTCGTCGGCTGCTTTTCTTTATTTTTTTTCTTATTTATTTATTTATTATTATTTTTTTTTTTTTTGCTTTGGCGCGTGCGCCTTGACCGGCCAAAAAGATTGCTCAATCATAGATCTGGAGGCTGCAAGCTGCAAGCTGCAAGACCTGGTCCAGACCAGGCCGCTCTCCCGCTCAGTCGGGCCAGTGGCCTCTGCCGGCGTCGCTGCCCGATAACGGTAATTGATCAGAGACGAAGCAGCGGCTGAAAACGAGTTGCCGGAATGCAACAGGCCGCGGAGAGGGGGCAGGCGAGAGAGTGGTGTCAGCGAGATGGAGAGGCTGTGGCTGAGAAGTGTTTGCCGGGTTTATTATTTACAGAAACAAAAAATTACTTTCAAGCTGGTCTTAAAACTAAACAAGAGGAGATCATACTAATAAATTAGGATTTTCTTAGGCCCTCAAGAAGAACTAAAATATTTGCATTTTTTAAATCGATATTTATTGATATTTTTTTGACAAATCAAAGTCTAAAAATTATCATAACTCAGTCAAAAAACCATTAAATTTAATTCGGAAAGCATTTCTATTTTAGTTTTTTCTAGATTAAAAAATCTGCATACTTCATTTTAAATTTAAAGAAATTAAAATTTTAGTCAATTTTTTCATTTTTGACGATGTAACCCCTTATCAAATTTTAAAAAAATAAAAAAAATATTTTTTTCTTCCGGACATATCTAGAAAGGTTCCCCTGTTAATGCTGATCAAGAATATATATGGTTTATAGGGTCGGAAATTACTGATTCACTAAATAACAATCATATTTCATATAGGGAAATTTTCATATAGAAATGGTGAAAATAAGAAAATGTCCTAACCCAGTATTAGAATTATTTAGAATATTTTTTTTAAATTTATTAATAAATAGCTGACCTGACAACACTGGCTGCTGCAAGTATTGGCAGCGACGTTGACTGCGACAGAGGCTTGAGCCTAGCTAGCGGTAAGCGTCAAGCCGGAGCGACTTGTTTTGGCGACGAAATGCAGTTGCAGCACTGCAACTCTCCTGCCGCTCTCTCCCATATCTTTCTTTCCGTCTCTCTTTCTCTCTCCCTCTCTGCGTTGGCCTAGTTCAAGTTGTTATTGTTTGAGTGGGTAATGTGTAATCTGTCCCCAGCCACCGTTTTGATCGTTACGTGAGCGGGCCCGGGGAAGCGATTTGCATTAACAGTTGCATTTCTTGTTCTCGGCTTAGATCAGCTCAGCTCTCCCAGCCCCCCCTCTCTGCCATTGTCCACCATTGTCTCACACGCATCTAACTGTAAGCTAATGGCTAATAAAGTGGAGCCCCCGTCCTCCATTTGAAGCTTGGAGCTGCTGCTTCTTCTGGCCTTGCTTTATTTTCCTCTTTTTCTGCTTCTTCGCACTGATCCCGTTCTAGCGGTGATCCATTGTGATGCATATAGAAAGATACAGATACATAAATGCATCTTAGATATTGTCAACCATTTGTCAACTTTTCACCTCGTCTGTTTTCTTGTTTCCTTTTGCCGTCCCTTCCCCTCCTTTGCTTTCATTTCCCTTTGCTTTCCTTTTCAATTCTTCCGGAATCTCCACTCTCCACAAGCGGAATTCCCAATCAATAAAAAAAGAAGCTTAGTCCCAGTTTCCAAAATTCCAAAAAGTCGTGAGAATCATGAGGCATGAATGGAAGCTGGAAAGGATTTACATCTAAGAGATTCCCATTTACAATGTAAGAGAAGATTTTTCCCAGGGCCATAAAGTGGGCGTCTCAAAAAAATCTCAATAACAATTGCCAGTTGTAAATGGGGTTTTTTAGGGGGCGGGCGGTGGCGTTGGTTAATATGCTGTCTCCAAATTAATGAAGTGTGTGCAGAAAAAGAACTGGTTTATATTCATATACTACACACATGTGTGTGTGTGTGTGTGTTGTGCTGCTGGCTTGTATTGTGTCTGTCTTCTCTTGTTTTCTCTTTGTTCTTTTGCTTAGTCCCCCCATTCGGCGAAAAATAACTGCAACTGTCAGCCGTTGTTGCACTCTCCAAGTCACAGTGGGTCGGCCAAGCACAGATGCCAGTGGTTGAGACTGCAGACTGGAGACTGGAACTGCCCTAAATGGGTGGACAGAGAAACAGGGAACAGCTGCGATCAGCTGTTGCCAGTTGCCCCCAGTAAAAACGACAGCTTTTTGAAACCAAGAAATGGAATATATTTTTACAATAGTTTTGTATGCTTTGAACTCTGAAACGATCTCAAAAAATGTTTAATAAGTCAAGTTTTTCAAATATTTTAACCTAGAAAAGCAGATAAATACGGGTTTTGTGAACTTTTGCACTTCTTTAACTTTAATAAGTTTTTATATTCTTCTAAACAATCGCTATGACAGCTTGAAGAATAGTTTCTTAGCCTTAAAACTAAGTTTTTAAAATTTTTTAAAATTATATTTGGTCTCCGATATATAGTTTTTCGTATTTATTTGATTTTTGATGAATTTATAAATATATCTTTGTATATATAAAAATATAGATATAAATTGAAAAGATTTCCTAAATTTTAAAAGCTGATTTTAAAGTGCAAAAACTGTATTTTATGATAATGTAATTTTTAATAAATAAAAAATAAATATTATTGAATTAACAGCACCTTAAAACTGAGGTATTTGTTGCACTTTTATTATGGGAATATTTTAAAAACCCTGACATCGAGTTTAGCCCATCAAAAGCCTTCGGAAAAGAGTATATTCCTGTTCTAGGTTTTGCGATTTTTCTTCAAATTTTGTGGGCCTGTGTAATATAATCAAAATCACAATTATTATAGTATATTTTTTTAATAGATTTTGCCTAGAGAATTGCAAAAGACCTATTTTATAGCAGATTTTGAAATGATTTTTGTATTTTTAAGAACCTCAACCATAAACGACACACAAAGTTAAGCCATTTTATAAGAAATTATATGTTTAATTTGGATTCATAAAATATAATATATTCCCCCCTTAGACATTTACCGCCTGGTGTAACAGTCATCTGCGCAAAGCCGGCACCGCCATCGATAACATCGAGGAGGACTTCCGCAACGGCCTCAAACTGATGCTGCTGCTGGAGGTGATCTCTGGCGAGACTCTGCCCAAGCCCGATCGCGGCAAGATGCGCTTCCACAAGATTGCCAATGTGAACAAGGCACTCGATTTTATTGCCTCCAAGGGCGTACACTTGGTCTCAATTGGCGCTGAGGAGATTGTTGATGGCAATTTGAAGATGACATTGGGTATGATCTGGACGATTATCCTACGTTTTGCCATACAGGATATCTCTGTGGAGGAGATGACCGCCAAGGAGGGTCTGCTGCTGTGGTGCCAGCGCAAGACGGCGCCCTACAAGAACGTCAACGTACAGAATTTCCATCTGTCGTTCAAGGTTTGTTTTCTTTTTGTTTTTTTCTATTACTTTTTGTTGTTCATGTAATTGTAATTGTTGTATATAGGATGGCCTGGCCTTCTGTGCCCTCATCCATCGCCATCGTCCAGATCTGATCGACTACGCTAAGCTGTCCAAAGACAATCCTCTGGAGAATCTTAACACTGCCTTTGATGTGGCCGAGAAGTATCTTGATATTCCGCGCATGTTGGATCCAGATGGTAAGTGGTTTAAACTTTTAAATTTAAAATTTTTTTTTAATAATAAAAATAATAATGGGAAAGGTACAACAAACCAGCTTAAGGGTCTATTTAGAGGGGTTTTGTTACTGTATTTTATTTAGAAATTATAAAAGAATCTATATTTTGTATGACCTACTTTAAATGACGTAAAAATTGCACAGACTATAAAGGATTTTTATGATATAATTCCTTATATTTCGAGTTTTTTTTTTTTTTTTTTTTAGCAAAAAATACAAATTATTTTGTAGGAAAAAAGCTGGAATTGAGTTGAATTACTCTAGTTTTAATTAATTATTTTTAAGTAACTTTGCTGGCCCTTTGTTGTTTTTTTATTTTCTAATCAATTTGCGATTGGAAAAAATATAAACAGATTTGATCAACACTCCGAAACCGGATGAACGTGCCATCATGACGTACGTCTCCTGCTACTATCACGCCTTCCAGGGAGCCCAACAGGTTGGAAATGTGACGCATGTACCCGAACCCACAAGACAATACACCTACGTCCCGAATAATTACAATGTGACTAAACTTCACCACGAATACACTTAAATATCTAGATATAGCCGGCATATCGATCACTATATATACACTCTATATATACGGGCCTCTGTATATATATAGGAGCGTATATGCCTTCCTCGTTCTAAGTATATTTTTTATGCGATTTTGCGATGTGTTGCCGCTGCTGCTGCTGCCGCTGCTGCTACTGTTGCTGCTTTATTCTCCTCCTCCCTCCCTCCTAGCTAAAGATAAAGCGCCAAGGTCGCGGACTGGGGGGGGCCAAGGTCGAGACAAGGTCAAGCTAAAATCAGAAAGAGACAGACAGACAGAGAGGTAGAGAGAGAGAGATACACAGTAACCAGAAGGGCAGCGGAAATCGCCTACATTATCCTATATATATTATATATAGTTGAAATTAGAATCGCCTGGATTTGTCTTGATTCGATTTGCATTGGCCACCTCTCGCATATATATATTCTTTGTTCCTGCAATCCGCATCTGCATTCGCATCTGCATCTGCATCTGCCTGATGCTAACCCAAAGCCGTACTAACAGCGCCTGAAAAGAGATCAGAGACAAAGGGTTCTGTCCCGAAATAATAATCTTTGACTAGACGAAAAAGTGGTTAAAGTTGAACACTTGATAATAAAGTTTTATTCTTTATAAAAATCGTACAATTGTACAATTTCCCCCCCAATTAAAACCTGTTTTCCAACCACAGGTTATCTCAGGCTTTATCTCAATTTCCAGGCGCATTGCATGCTGCCAAAATAAATAATTTGCAATGCATTAAGCTTGCCTTATATTTGATATTGTATTTACATAACAATAATAATAACAATAACAATAGTGAGGATGCAGAGCTCTTAAGCCCGATCTATGATTGCCCTGTTAAGATCGTACATCGAGTTTACTTACTAACCCCAAAATATGATTGTGATTGATACTACATATATAGTTTTAAGAGAAGAATGTTTTTGTTTGAGACTAACCCCATGTTAAAGATTAACTCATTTTGTATGTTTGTTGCTTTCTTTCTTTTTTCTCTCTTTTTATTATACATCTCTCTCTCTCTATGTGTGTGCGCGCCTACGCCAAAAAAAACAAAAAACATTAACCAAAATCTGCAACTGCAAAACGCTACAACAACAACTACAACAAACAAATTCCAAACACAATCACAGATCTGCAGAATACAGCTCTGCCCGATGAAAGGGCAGTAATGACCTATGTGTCCTCGTACTATCACTGCTTCAGTGGCGCCCAAAAGGTGTGTTAATTCATCACTCATCCCTTTTATTACCCATCTCTTTCTCTATCTCACTCTCTCTTACTTAAAAATTGTTCTTAATAAGACATTTCTTTTTTATTTAAAGATCAAATTTAATTCAAAGACTTGTTATTAATTATTGTTCAGTTGTTAGAATGTGGGTTCTAGGGTTTGTTAACTACATTCTATTCTATATTCAATTCTTTATCCTGTTTTCATGGCGCCCGAACAAGGATTTCCATAGATCTTAAAATAAAATTCAAAATCTTGCTTATTTTTGGGTACATTTCAACTTTTCTTTATTTCTTTTTCAACATATTAAACTGATTATTATTTTCGGGATCTATTCAAGATCCTGGGCATTGGCCTAAATTTAAGTGTTTCTTAAATATTTTCCAAGCTCTTCTTTTTCCCATTATTTTCTCTAAATTCCCTTTCCATCCTTTTCATACAATCTTCAAGTCACAATTGTTACACAGACACGCAGACACACACACAACGCGCTAAATGCTAACTCTGCCAATAATCCAGAGCATTCCTAATCCTAATACCGCTTGACTGTGATGGCATGGAATGCTCCAGCTCTGGATTTCCCCTTTTTATTTTTCCCCATTTCCCCTTTATTTTTATACCCTTGCAGTAGGAATTTATGATTTTATTTAGTGAAGCAGTCATTTCCCACCCTATAAACCATATATATTCTTGATCAGGATTAATAGGAGAATCTTTATATATATATCTGAAAGAAATTAAATTTTTTTGAATTTTTTTTGGATTTTTTTAAAATTTGATAAGGGGTTACATCATTAAAATTTACGAAAATTGGTAAAAATTCGGATTTCTAAAAATTTTAAATTTAGTTTGCAGTTTTGTTAAACTAGAAAAAACAAGCGTAGAAAAGCTTTGCAAATTAAATTTGATGAATTTTTAACAAAGTTATGCTATTTTTAAACATTGATTTCTTAAAAAAAATTGTTTTTAAATATGAATTTAGATGATCGATTTCTATTTTTCCCCCCTGAACCCAAATGCAAACTGCAAGGGTAGGCTTTCTTTCCTGTTTTTTTATTTGATTTTCTGCAAGAGTATTCATTTCATTTTTCGGGGCACTCTGCTCAGATTCAGTTCAGGTTAAAGCTAAACTTGGTCTAGAGCTAAACTGAGCTGAGCCGGGTGCCCCTTTCCGCTTGTGTTCCTGTTCCTGTTTGTGTTCCTTCTGTTCCTGTTTTCCGTTTTCCTGTTCGTCTTGTTTTTTGCTTTTCCGAGAAAAAAAAAACGAAATATCTGAGTTGGTTCCGTGCCCACACACACAATGCCAAGCACACTCAGAGCGAAACGATTGAAGCCTTCTAATGTGCCTTAAACCACCTTCTCCACACCCACCATGTAAACCCATCCAACCAACGGACACAGGCGGAAACGGCTGCCAATCGCATCTGCAAGGTGCTGAAGGTCAATCAGGAGAATGAGCGCCTCATGGAGGAGTACGAGCGTCTGGCCAGTGATGTAAGTGTGGAGTAGATTCCTAGATTCCTGTCATAATCCTCCCCCTCCTCCTCCTCTTCTGATTAGCTGCTGGAATGGATACGCCGCACCATGCCCTGGCTGAACTCTCGCCAGGCGGACAACTCGCTGGCCGGTGTGCAGAAGAAGCTGGAGGAGTATCGCACTTATCGGCGCAAGCACAAGCCACCACGTGTCGAGCAGAAGGCCAAACTGGAGACGAACTTCAATACGCTGCAGACCAAGTTGCGGCTATCGAATCGTCCCGCTTATCTGCCCACCGAGGGTAAGACCGTCTCGGATATCTCCAATTCGTGGAAGGGCCTGGAGCTGGCCGAGAAGGCATTCGAGGAGTGGCTGCTGGCCGAGACCATGCGCCTGGAGCGACTCGAGCATCTGGCCCAGAAGTTTAAGCACAAGGTGGGGTAATCCTACTTTTTTGCTAGAACTTTATATATATATATTCTTGATTCCTTTAGGCCGATGCCCATGAGGATTGGACGCGTGGCAAGGAGGAGATGCTGCAGTCGCAGGACTTCCGCCAGTGCAAGCTCAATGAGCTGAAGGCCCTTAAGAAGAAGCACGAAGCCTTTGAGTCTGACCTGGCTGCTCACCAGGATCGCGTCGAGCAGATTGCCGCCATTGCCCAGGAACTGAAGTAAGTCCCCAAGCTGTTGGTGAGCTTTAAAAAGCTAATTTCTTGATTAATAATCCTTTTGCCTGCTGCCAAATGCCACTGGGTGATTTTTGAACTGCGTCCAGCGTGAGGTTAGGTAGAATTTCATCAGAATCATTCATTCCTGGTGGAGATTCTACCACCTCCATTCCATTTTGCCTAAGCAAAAGCCTTTTCTTCCTCTTCTAATGTTTCGTATGATCCTTCTTTAACCCCGAACAGCACCCTGGAGTACCATGACTGCGTGTCGGTGAATGCCCGTTGCCAGCGCATCTGCGATCAATGGGATCGCTTGGGCGCCCTCACTCAGCGCAGGCGTACCGCTTTGGATGAGGCCGAGCGCATTCTGGAGAAGATTGACATCTTGCATTTGGAGTTTGCTAAGCGGGCGGCACCGTTCAACAACTGGCTGGATGGCACACGCGAGGATCTGGTGGATATGTTCATTGTCCATACCATGGAGGAGATTCAGGGCCTAATCCAGGCGCACGATCAATTCAAGGCCACCCTGGGCGAGGCCGACAAGGAGTTCAATCTGATTGTGAATCTTGTACGCGAGGTGGAGTCGATTGTGAAGCAACACCAGATACCCGGCGGTCTGGAGAATCCCTATACCACCCTAACCGCCAACGATATGACGCGCAAGTGGAGCGATGTCCGTCAGTTGGTGCCGCAGCGTGATCAAACTTTGGCCAACGAGCTGCGCAAGCAGCAGAATAACGAAATGTTGCGACGTCAATTTGCCGAAAAGGCCAACATTGTTGGTCCCTGGATTGAGCGACAGATGGATGCTGTGACGGCCATTGGCATGGGACTCCAGGGATCGTTGGAGGATCAACTGCATCGGCTGAAGGAGTACGAGCAGGCGGTGTATGCATACAAGCCGAATATCGAGGAGCTGGAGAAGATCCATCAGGCGGTCCAGGAATCGATGATCTTTGAGAATCGTTACACCAACTATACGATGGAGACGCTGCGCGTCGGCTGGGAGCAGCTGCTCACCTCGATTAATCGCAACATCAACGAGGTGGAGAACCAGATCCTAACCCGCGACTCCAAGGGCATAAGCCAGGAGCAGCTGAATGAGTTCCGTAGCAGCTTCAATCATTTCGATAAGAATCGCACTGGCCGTCTGTCGCCCGAGGAGTTCAAGTCATGCCTCGTCTCGCTGGGCTATTCGATTGGCAAGGATCGACAGGGCGACATGGATTTCCAGCGTATTCTGGCCGTCGTGGATCCCAACAACACTGGCTATGTGCACTTTGATGCCTTCCTGGACTTTATGACCCGCGAGAGCACCGACACCGATACTGCCGAACAAGTCATTGACTCTTTCCGAATCCTGGCAGCCGACAAGGTATGTAAAAAACCCTAAAAAACTGACCTCAAACTAAACCCCAAACACCTTTACTTATTATAATTTTTCCTCGTTTTAGCCATACATTTTGCCCGACGAACTGCGCCGCGAATTGCCCCCAGATCAGGCTGAATACTGCATCCAGCGCATGCCCCCATACAAGGGACCCAACGGAGTGCCCGGCGCCCTGGACTACATGTCCTTTAGCACAGCCCTCTACGGCGAGACCGACTTGTAGGCGAATCCGTTTGAAAGTGGGAAGCAAGAGCAGGAGCAGGAGTAGAAGGAGCCGATCCGATTCGAGCTGAGCCCGATCATATAATAATGATAAACTTTAAATAATAATATTAATAAATATAGATTTATTATACCTACGCAGGAGAACTTCAGAGCATCATGTGTGAGGATGAATATATTTATTAATTTTCCGTCTCGAGCCGATTGTATGCGACACACACACACACATACAAACAACAACAAAAGAAAAACTAAAAGAAATTATGAAAATGAAATGAAACCACATACATACAACATACATTATATACAACCATATATATATATATATATACATATATATATATATTTAAATGCAGGAAAGATTGTCAACATCAAGTGCATATCGAATATTTAAATCTAAATCTAAAAAACAAAAGTCCAAAACAAAACAAAAAACAAACGCTAAAAACATTATTTTTTGAAATTTATGTTAATAAAAACAAAATCCATACATAAAAAATACCAAAAAACGATTAAAAAAAAACAACAACAACTGAATAGTCTCGGGCGGGGAAAGCGCATAGGGAAAGCCAAAATGGTGGCCATTTCCGCTTCCGTTTGAGAGGGCAGCCTTGAAGTTTCACCAGACAGACAGAGATGGCCATACAGCAAATTAGATAGAGAGGGAGATAGAGAGAGAGAGAGAAAACAACCTCCTTATATTTAGCACACTTTCAGCAACCGAAAAACCTCGCCACCCCCCAAAAAAAACACACACAACTCAGATCAAGTTGAGATAAATAAAGCAATTTCTCGGCGACCTTGTGTTTTCAATACCAACTACCAAAATAATGTCAAAGAAGGGAATTAAACCACTTGGGAGGTATGACTATATATTTATCAGGGAATAAATATATTTATATATTATTTTATTCAGTTTATTTTAATTAAAAAAAAACAACAGATTACAACAACATCGCCCGTTTCCTAAGCTCATTTCGCATTGAAGGAGTCATTTCCGACCCCATAAACCATATTCTTGATCAGCATTAACAGGCGCATCTTTCTGGCCAAGTCCGGAAGAAAAAAATTTTGGATCGATTTTTTCAAAATTTGATAAGGGGTTACATCATTAAAATTTGCAATTTTTGACCAAAAAAAATTTTAATAATGAAGTATGCAGATTTATAAACCTCATAAAAACTAGCACAGAACAGATTTCCGATTTAAAATTAATGCACTTTTGGCCGAGTTATGATATTTTTTAATATAAAAAATCAGATTTTATAATACAAAATAATATTTTTTTAAGTGAAGGAGTCATTTCCGACCCCATAAACCATATATATTCTTGATCAGCATCAACAGGCGAATCGTTTAAGCCAAGTCCGGAGGAAAACTAATTTTGAGCCATTTTTTGGATATTTGATAAGGGGTTACATCATTAAAATTTGCAATTTTTGACCTAAAATTTTTTTTTCAACTAAGTATGCAGATTTGTAAACCTCATAAAAACTAGCACAGAACAGTTTTCCGATTTAAAATTAATGCATTTTTGGCCGGGTTATGATATTTTTTAATATAAAAAATCAGATTTTATAATACAAAATAATATTTTTTTAAGTGAAGGAGTCATTTCCGACCCCATAAACCATATATATTCTTGATCAGCATCAACAGGCGAATCGTTTAAGCCAACTCCGGAGAAAAAAAAAATTTGTGTGATTTTTTCGAAATTCGATAAGGGGTTACATCATTAAAATTCTCAAAATTTGATAAAATTTTCAATTTCTAACTAAGTATGCAGATTTGTTAACCTTATAAAAACTAACATAACGCCGCTTTCCGAATGCAAATTAAGGCATTTTTGACAGAGTTATCCCTTTTTTAGTTTTTAATTTGCTAATTTTCTCTTTTCAATTACAGACTTTCCCCCGTCATTGCCATCGTCATCGCTCCTAGTCATCAGTATCAGTAGACCTGATACCCACCCCGGCCAAGAACCAAGAGAAAGGACCAACGACACACGCAAAAGGATTGTTGATAAGGGATGGGAATGGAGGAAGAGGGATCAGGAATCAGGGATATGGAGAGAGCACCGCCAGTCAGGTCTGCCGGCTACTTTTAAACCAACAGCAACGAATACAACAAGCAACATTTAAAATACTTTATTTTATACCATGTTAATGAACTTAAATAAAAACAATGAAATACATTATTTTATATTATTTTGTTTTATTTTATTTTTCCTATATAAGAACAATGAAATGAGTATCGCTTAGTCGCATTTATCGTTATCAATTGGCAGCGCCAGCTTTTCCTAATTGCCATCCAACAAATTTTGTTTTGTGTTGTCGCTCCCCAAAAAACACCACAGTCCCCCCCCCATTTCCATGTGCAAAACGGCAGCCACAAACTTAAGCTGCTTAAAATGTACAATTGCAACATGGGTCATAAATATGATGGCCGAAGGGACAAGCTGAAACCAGCAAAACTATGGTAAGTATGCCTTTTTCTCCCAATATTTTTAATATAGCTAGGTGAGCGTGGCTCAAGCTGCGCTCCCCTTTCCCCAGGATTTTCCCGCTTTTCCACACATGCACTCTGCCAGCGGCAATTGCTTGAGGAGGCGCTAACAATGGGTGCAGGTTGCCCTTGCGGAAACAGTGGGGCCAAATGGATATTTATAAAAATAAAATGAAAATAAATAAAAAATAAAATAAAACATATTTAGAGTGTTTTTTTATGGTCTAAAAAGTTGTTGTGGTAAGTATTTCAGTTGATGGTAAGTACCTAGATTTTTGTAGATATTTTCATATCTAGAATTAGATTTAGATTTTTTGTTCGATTTTTTAGATTTTTTTTAGATTTTTTAGATTTTTTTTGATTTTTTAAACATATTTTTGAAAATTAACGGCCAAACTCGAATTTAAATGTAACGTCCAGTTTCAGTGTGCCCAGGTGCATTTAGCAACATTTTAGACAGAAATTAACAATATGGTCACATCTGGTTTGAGTCTGTGCTTACTCCAAGATCAATGGTTCGAAACTTGGACTTTTTATAACAGTTTATACCAGTTTTCAGTTGCTTGCTGCTGGTTTCTGTTCGCCTGGTATCCCAGTTTGGGAAACGGCCAATTTGTATGGACAATTTCAGAAATTTGGATGGGCTGCTGTAGGGATGTTGTTGTAAAAAGGTTGTTGTTCCCATCAAGCAGTTGTTGTCGGCAACAAATAGGTATAAATGCATAAAATGAAATATAACAGTTTATACCAATTATTATTTTTGTCCAAAAGTTTTTATAACAGTTTATACCAGTTTTCAGTTGCTTGCTGCTGATTTCTGTTCGCCTGTTACCCCAGTTTGGAAAACGGCCAAATTGAATGAAAAATTTTGCTCACTTGCATCAGTGATGCTCATCTGGCTATATTTCAATATTGGGGGGTTTAATGGCAGTGATGCCCAAGTGCATCAGTGATGCTCATCTAGCTATTTTTTTGCATTATTGGTAGAAAATGGCATCTATCTCACTAGTTGCCAGTGATGCTCATCTAGCTAATTTGCATTATTGGGGCAAAATGGCATCGCACTAACTGTCAGTGATGCTCATCTAGCTATTTTGCATTATTGGGACAAAATGGCATCGCACTAACTGTCAGTGATGCTCATCTAGCTATTTTGCATTATTGGGACAAAATGGCATCTCACTAACTGCCAGTGATGCTCATCTAGCTATTTTGCATTATTGGGACAAAATGGCATCGCACTAACTGTCAGTGATGCTCATCTAGCTATTTTGCATTATTGGGACAAAATGGCATCGCACTAACTGTCAGTGATGCTCATCTAGCTAATTTGCATTATTGGGACAAAATGGCATCGCACTGTCAGTGATGCTCGTCTAGCTATTTTGCATTATTGGGACAAAATGGCATCGCACTAACTGTCAGTGATGCTCATCTAGCTATTTTGCATTATTGGGACAAAATGGCATCGCACTAACTGTCAGTGATGCTCATCTAGCTAATTTGCATTATTGGGACAAAATGGCATCGCACTAACTGTCAGTGATGCTCGTCTAGCTATTTTGCATTATTGGGACAAAATGGCATCGCACTAACTGTCAGTGATGCTCATCTAGCTATTTTGCATTATTGGGACAAAATGGCATCGCACTAACTGTCAGTGATGCTCATCTAGCTAATTTGCATTATTGGGACAAAATGGCATCGCACTAACTGTCAGTGATGCTCGTCTAGCTATTTTGCATTATTGGGACAAAATGGCATCGCACTAACTGTCAGTGATGCTCATCTAGCTATTTTGCATTATTGGGACAAAATGGCATCGCACTAACTGTCAGTGATGCTCATCTAGCTATTTTGCATTATTGGGACAAAATGGCATCTCACTAACTGCCAGTGATGCTCAACTAGCTATTTTGCTATATAGCTCATAACTCGGCCAAAAACGCATGAAATTGAATTCGGAAAGCTGTTCTGAGTTGCCCTTTCTAAGCTTAACAAAACTGCATAATCAGTTTTGCTAAAATACTTACCTATAATTTATAAAAAATATCAACAAAAAATGAGAAAAACCCTCATAACTCGGCCAAAAACGCATGAAATTCAATTTGGAAAGCTGTTTTGAGTTGCCTTTTCTATGCTTAACAAAACTGCATACTCAGTTTTGCTAAAATACTTACCTATAAAAATGTGAACTTCACAACTCGGCCAAAAATGCACGAAATTCAAAACCTAGTATGCAGTTTTGTTAAGCTTAGAAAGGGCAACTCAAAACAGTTTTCCGAATTGAATTCCATGCCTTTTTTGGCCGAGTTATGAGGGTTTTTTATAAATTATAGGCATCTCAACTGCCAGTGATGCTCATCTAGCTATTTTGCTATATTTGATTTTTGTTTAATTTTCCACCGCAAGAATGCCCTTCAATTGAGCTTATTTAAATTGTCCCACCCCAAAAAAAAAACAGCATCCTCCTCCTAACTCTAATATAACACATTTTTTTTATTTTATTTATTATTTATTTCAGCTTAAAAAAATAAAAGAAAAAAAGGTGAAGCAGGTGGGAATGTCGGAGGTCGTTCCCAGTGGTTTCGGCTCGGTCTTGGTGGCACCCTCGTCGTGCTGCCCCAGCATCTGGTCCGCTTCTGCTCCTCCTTGTCCAGATCCTCCTTGCCAACGCTCTCTGTCTCGCCATCGGCATCCGCTTTCAGTTCCAATATGCTGGCTACTTCCGTTTTACCAAATAGACAGAGATGGCAATACAGCATATAGTATTTCCAATAAGAATAAAACCATTTGGCTGCTTTAGCTGGACAATTTGGGGAGTTTATTTATCAATTTTTCGTTGATTTTCTTTTGCTTCTTGGAAAGGAAATTTGTTTGTTAAAAATAATTGCATAAATAAGTTGTAATCGTAAGATGTGTGTGTTTTCGGTTTTCAAATGATCTAACAGCTACAACATGCACACTCGCCATACACTCACTCACTCACACACACACACACATCAGCAGGCACACAAAATTTCAATTTCCAAGGGTAGAAGAGGTTTCGATCAAATCAAGGCATCCATCGTTCCAGTTTCATCACGGTAGCCAGCTCTCTTCCTGCTTCGTCTCTTGTGCTTCCGCTTCCGCTTTCTTTTCTTTACTTTACTTTTCTTTCCTCTTTTATAAATACATTTTCAATGTCCAACAACAACAATTGAATTCTCATATGTGTATAAATATATCTATGCTTAACGGTCTAATTTACACAATTGTATTCTCTGGCCAGACCTCTAAAATATCTTCTATCATATATATATAGTCTATATATCTGCTGGGGGTGTCTGAATTTTGTTTTTGTTTTGAGAAGAAAGCTTTTCAATTTGTGTCGATTAATAATGTTCTCTTAGGGAGCTACAATTTCGAATTCCTTTTTAGAAGGGAACACAGAGGCCACCGGGATGATGAGAGGCACCAAGAACACCGATCAATTTGATTGTTTTCTGTGATTAAAGGGTTCGCACATATTTGCATTTTATAATTTTTGTGTGTACTATGTGTGTTTTGTATTTTTTGTATATACTTTTTGTTTATATTTATCTTTTGTTTCTGTTTCTCCATGTAAAATATGTACAGTTTTGAGAGTTTTAAATGTTAGGTTCTAGGTTCTTATATGTTCTATATGTTCTTTATGTTTTAATTATAATAATCATCTGCTTGTCCTGTGACTGTGACGGTGACTGTGGTGTGTTTTTTAATGGGACAAAAAAAGATGCACATGCGGTAGATATAAATGTTTATAAATTAAAGAGTTTACATAAAATCGAATCGTAATCTAGGCGCTGGATTGGATTTCTAGCTGCTATGTGTAAGTGTGTGTGTGTGTGTGTGTGTGTAGGTTGTGGTCTTGGTATCCTGGTTATCTCAGGGGGGAACTCTTTTTTGGCCACAATTAATTTGTGCTGCATTCTTTTTCTTTTTTTAAATATATTTTGTTAAAATTAAAGTAAGTGTCAGTGTAAGTAAGTTGTGTGTGTGGGTGTGTGTGTTGTGTGTGTTGTGTGGGTGTGTGTTGTGTGTGTGTCTCTTACAAAACTATAAACCATTTTTAGCTCTAGCAATTTTGGTATCTATAATACACGAATCGCAAAGTGAATTATGCCCGTAAATCTAATAAAAAAATATATAGCCTTAAAATCTACAATAATAGGTTAGAGTATAGAGTGTGTAGCTCTAGCTATCCGTATCCGTATCCATTATCCATATCCTTAATCGTTTCCGCTTGCTCCCTCTTTCTCGCTTAAAGGATAATCGTATTCGCCCTCTCCCTCTCTTTTTTATACACAAACATCGTTATGTAATCTTAGAAATTATCTTGATTCTCCCTTCTGCCAGTCGTCCTGTTTGGTCATCGCCTCCTCTTTTCCTCCATCTCTATCACTTAGCCTACTTCAGCAGGTCCTGCTGTGGAGTTTTTGAGATATTATCCATGGGTCATCGCCGCTGCTGCTGGTTGATCCTGCTGCTACGCCGGGTGCCCACCACCAACGCCGGTGGCCATTGCTTTCGCCGTCATCAGTCCTTGCCACCGCCTCCCATATCGCTGCTGCTGCTGCCACCGCCTCCTCCTCCTTGAGGTATTACGGTGAGACTTTTGGGTATCTTGGACATGATGGCATTATCAATGAGCTTCTGCTGTTGCTGCTGTTGCAATTGATGCAGCTTGATGGCATACAGGCCGCCATTGCCTCCACCCTTGTTGTTGCCTCCACCAGCTGATGATGCTCCTCCTCCTCCTCCTCCGCCGCTACTTGTTGCCGTGGCCGGTTTGGCCGTGAGATGTGGCAATTTGCTGGCAGAATTTCCCACAGGTCCGCCATTTCCATTCAACAGATACTGGTTGGGATCCGGAAAGTTCTTCCACAGCCAGGAGTTGTTGCTGTTGTCCAGGGGATTGGGCAGCAGAGGCTGGAAATTGGGCGCCTGGCTGCCTATTTGCGGGTTGGTTAGCGGTGGCATTGGCTTGGGTGCCAGTCTGGCCAGTCGTACAGCCGCAGCGGCAGCTCCACCACCCGGCTGCAGGGTGGGCAAGTGCTGCTGCTGCTGTTGCTGCTGTTTCTGCTGCAACTGCTGTAGCTGTTGGCGCGCCGTCTGCTGCTGGGCCATTTTCACCATGTTGGAGAAGGCGGCCACCGAGGCGGCATGCCCCTGCTGATGCTGCTGCTGTTGCTGCTGCTGCTGCGACTGTCCCTGCTGCTGATTGTTCTGCTTCTGCTTGGCATTGGCCTTCAGCATCTGGTCTCGCAGCAGCTTTTCCCGTCGCAGAATGCACATGCGATTGTAATCGAAAATGGAGATGAGGTATGGCTTGCCGCCGGATTGCACCTGCACCAAAGCTGGCAATCGCCGGCCATCGGCGGTCTGGTAGAGGGCATGCGACTTGTTTGGCACCTGATCCTCCAGCGGTATCAGCGTGGGCTTCCAACTTTTGCTCTCGTGCCGCTCCTGCGGCGTTAGAGTGTCCGGCAGCTTGACCACATTGGGTGGTGGCGGTGCTGTTGCTCCTCCAGGTCCTCCAGGTCCAGCTCCTGCTCCTCCGCGACCTCCTCCTCCCGCAACAGGTCCTCCTCCACCTCCTGCTGCCGGCAACCGTGGCAATTGTAGCCTCTTGCCATGCAGATTCCCTAGCAGGCTGTTCGATGATGATGATGTTGATCCCGCTGGAGCATTCCCGCTTGTCCGACGACGCTGAAGGCTTATCAGCTCGGGCGGCGAGCTTAAAAGCTGCGCCACACTGGTTACCTTCTGTGAGCCACCAGCAGCTGCTCCCTGCTGCTGCTGCTGCTGCTGCAGCTGCTGCTCCTGCTCCTTCAGCTTGCTTTGCAGACACAGCAGCCCGGCTAGCTTGCCCTTCAACAACTTGTCTTCCTGAGTTATCTTAAACAATGATCTCTCCATCGAGGAGACTGTCGTGGCAGTGGATGAGGCGGATGAGGAGGCGGAGGCAGAGGCGGATGAAGAGGAGGAGGACAGCGGCACAATCTCCACGGCCGCCTTGTTAATGCCCAAAAGATTGGTCTTGAGTATGCTGCGACTGTTGCCACCACCAATGGTGGGCACCAGCGGCGGTGCATCCTTGGACTGGGCGGGTGTTCCTCCTGTCGCCGCTGCTGCTGCTGGTGCTGTGGTGGCGGTGGTCTTGGTTACCACTACCTCCTCGGCCGAGGAGGATGCAGCGGCTGCTGCTGCTGCTGATGAGGGGCTGGAGGTGGAACTTGTGGCATTGCTCGACTTGTCCTTGGGCCGAGCTATAATCGTGACCGCATTGGAGCTGAGCTGCTTGGTCAGCTTGTCCACGGAGACCGTGCTAAGGCGTTCCAGTGGCGTTACCTCCGACTCGCTATCGTCCAGGCTTGTGGTAGGTGCTGAGGCTCCATCCTCGCCGGTCATGCCTTCGTCATTATCATCCTCATCATCGTCATCGTTGAGCTCCACGAGTGGTATGATGGGATCCGTTGGCTCAACCGCTGGACTGGCTGCTGCCGCCGAGGAGGAGGAGGACGTTGAGTGGCCGGCGGCCGCCTGGGGAGTGGTGAGCGCAGTGGCCAAAACCGAACCGCTTGTAGGTTGTGGTATTCCGCTGCGTTTGCCGGAGCCCGAGGCTGCTCCCAATCCCCCGCAGTGACCATGATCAAAGGAATTTAAACGCTGACGCACTGTCTCCGTGTAAACGGTGGCATTGGATGAGGCATGGGCGGCCAGGACCAAATCCCCATTGCGATAGTACTTCTCCAGCAGTATCAGGTGACGGAGGAAGGAGCTCTGGTTGCCATACGGCTTCTGCAGCTCCTCCCACAGCCGTCGCGTTGGCTCATCGTACTGCAGGAAGGTCTGGACACGCGTCCAGCCCTCGGGTGTGCGTTGACTGCTGCTGCAGCCAAAGGGTACCTTGAACTGCACGCCCAGCTCCTCCTCGCCGTGGAAGAGTTCACGCATGGAGATGTTTGGATTGCCGCGCAAAACATTTGAAATGTCTGAACCGGAAGAGCCACTTTCTCCGCCTACGGCTGTGGTTGAGCCGGAGCCGGATGCCGCTGCATCCCCTCCTGCACTAAGATTCTGCTGGAGAATGGCCTGCAGCTTGGACATTTGCTTGCTGTTGTCCAGCGGCGTCAGAGAGGAGCTGCTCGAATTGGAATCGGTGTGTCCATCATCGTCCACCACCATGGGTAGCTCATGGGTATCCTCCTCCTCGTGACCACCGGCGGCCTCAGCAGCCTTGGAGGCGGCAACGGCCTCCTCTTCGTCCGCCTCGGACACCTCATGGCTGCCATCCTGCAGATTGTGCACCTTGAGGAGCCTGAAACACATATTTTCATTACCATTTCCACTCATATTTCCATCTTCACCACACTCACCGCTTCCTGTAGTTCTTGACAAACTCGGCCTTCTGGGACTTGGTGCTGTCTGGGGGCTTCATTAGGAGATTGGCAAAGTAGCGGCACAGCTTGCAGACGGCCGTGCCCATGCCCAGTTGCACCGGTATGCCCATCTCGGCCAGGGCCTTCTCCAGCCGATCCGTGTCCTGCTGAGAGGGAATACAGCATACACACAGCATTTAATATACGAAAAAGGAAGACAGGAAGATTCAAAGAAGATTCAACCTACCGTTGTTATGTTGTACATGTGATTCTTGCCCAGCCGCCGCTTGCAGAGAACACAACCAGAGAACTGGATGACCGTATTGTAGTGCGATTCGCATAGCCACACATTTGAGGTGCCAGCGGGTATCTCCAGGCTAAGCTGAAACTTTTTCATGCTCTTTCGTATGCATTTGCGTCGCAGCGAGTGTCCCGCCGTCTCAATGCAATCCTTGACGGCACAGTTACGATTCTGTCCACTCGTTCCTGCAGCTGTAGCACCTGATTCACCTGCTCCCTCTGGAATGATGCCATGTTCACCACCGGCAAAATGTTTATCCATTGCCCCAGAATTGCCAATGCCCGTTTCCAGGTGTCCCGGTGCCGAGAGACGCTTCTTGTAGGAGGGTGCATTGGCTCGACGATCCACATGACGGAAGCAGGCATCGCACAGGCAATTGTCCACCGTCAGCTTCTCCTCGTCTGCCACAAGGGGGGGAGGTGGAGTATATGATTTATAGTTCCACTTGAAATGAGGCAGGATACTTACTGGCTAGAATCTTTTGCTGACGCTCCACGGACTTTATTTGGCCCACATGACAGGGCGTGTCGTAGAGTCCAAACTTGCCGCTACAGTAATAGCACTGATCCTCGCACAGCCTGCCCGGATGGAACTTGAACGATGAGGCCTTCTCCGGTATGAGAATCTTCTCCTTCTCGTCCTTCTTCACCATCTGATAGAAGCCGTGCTCCGCTTGTCCCTGACCCTCGGAGTGGGAGGAATCTGTAGGGGATTGAGATTGCTATAGTCTCTGTCTGCTTGAGCAAGTCTTGCAGGCGTCCGTTAGTGTGTAATTTTGTCGATTGGAAAAGGATAAGGGGGATGAGGATGAGAGGGTGTGGGTGTGGCTGTGGGTTGACGATGACGCTGACCATGACAGTGCCTTATGTACAGTGCTTGAGAGAATGATGACATCCTGAATGTATGACATGAGGGGGAAGTCAAACCAAACCATTTGTTTCGTAAAGAAAATTAAAAAAAAAAAGCTTTTGTTGCTTTAAATCAAATTAAAAAAAATAATATAAATTAAAAAAAAATTATAATATAAAATAAAAAAAAAATTATAATATAAATTAAAAAAAAATTATAATATAAATTAAAAAAAAAATAATAATAATATAAATTTTAAAAAATAATAATAATACAAGAGGGAAATGCTTTTCCACAACTGCTTAAAAAAATAAAAAAAAACCGTACAAAAACCTAGGAAAACAATTATTTTTTTAATGTTTATTTTTTCCATATTTTTCTATGTAAAATTTTTGGAAAAATCAAATTTTAAAAATTTCATAACTAAGCCAAAAATTTATCAAATTCAAATCGGAAAGCTTTTCTATGCTAGGATTTTCAAGTTTAACAATTCTGCTTACTGAATTTTTAATTTTAAAAAATTAAAAAAAAAATTGAATTTTTAAAAATTTTAATGATGTAACCCCTTATAAAATTTTGAAAAAATTAAAAAAAAAATTTTTTTCTTCTGACATATCTAGAAAGATTTGCCTGTTAATGCTGATCAAGAATATATATGGTTAATGGGGTGGGAAGTGACTGCTACACTAAAAAAAATGCATAATACTACCCTGAAAGGTCATAAAATCTAAAGGCTTTAAGCTTGATTTTTCAAGAATTTTGTTCAACGGAAGGATACTTGTCAATAGTCCTACTTGTAATATTCTTAACGAGGCTATAATAATTAATAGCTAATAAAGTAATTAATTATTTAATAAAGAACTAAAAGGATTTAAGCCAAAAAAGGATTTAAAAAAAATATATTAAAAAAAAATAACAAATTGCTAGACAAGTTTAAGCTTTGTTCAGCTGCTTAAAAGGTTCTTAACGAGGCAATAATAATTAATAGTTATTAAAGTAATTAATTATTTAATTATTTAATAAGAAACTAAAAGGATTTAAGCCAAAATATGACTACTATTTTCGTAAAAAAAAATATAGTAAAACAATAACGCAATGCTAGACAAGACATAGCTTCTTTAAGCTGTTTCCCTTTCTTTGATTTGGCTTGAATTTGTTCCCCAGAAAGTGAAAAGGCTCTAGTCTTAGGCTAGGGATCACAGAAAATATTGATAAAATATTTTAAAAAATATTTAAAATGTGAAAAATTTAAAATCTAAGCAATATTTTGCCATAAAACTTCCTATATACTGCACATCCCTAGCCTAGAGCTAGACCCTAAGCTTCTGAGCAAGTTCTAATCTATACGCACTGTACTGGACCGCTGTGTGGCTGTGGTTACCGTGCGAGGAGGAGGCTATCGCCGAGTGGTGGTGGTTGTTAGTCGAGCTGAAACGGTTATTGGTCTTGCGGCCGGGATTACCGGTAGTTACACTGGACTTGGTCGCACCTTCGTTCTGAAAATGGATAAAAACAAAACAAACATATCGTTAGTTGAGCGAGAAATAAATTCTATTTTTGGGGTTTGCAAATAGGAGTTACTAACTCTTTTTTTTTATGATTTCTATTTTAAAAATTATAAACTTTTAAGTTTCCAGATTTTTTCCACAAAATTCTACAATTTCTTATTTCCAACTCTAGTGGAAATGTCAACTCTTGGGCAAAACTCACCTCATTCTGTATGGTGTAGTACGAGTCCTCGGCATGGGCGCCATGCTGGTCAGCGGATCGATCGGCGGCACCATGACCACGAGCCCGACCCTTTTGGAATGTCATCTTAAGCGATTGCCGACGTACGCCGGCCACTGCTCCTGCTCCAACTCCTGTTCCAGAGCCCAAAACACCGCTCGATTTGCGTGTGGCACTGCCCACCGAGGATGAGGTGGACGTTGAGGAGGCGGAGGAGGAACCACCACCACCACCGCCGCCGCCATGGATGACCGTACCAGTGGGCAAGCCACCGGTGCCGCCTGTTCCACCATTACTGCTTCTATTTAGCTTGATGACGGTTTTCAGGGTGCCGCTGGATTCCACATGGGCAGCGCTACTTGGACCGCCTCCACGCGCTCCCTGTCGCTTGTGCTGCTGCTGCTGGTGATGATGGTGGAGATGCTGCTGACCATGCTGGTGGTAATGCTGCTGCTGCTGCTTCTGGTGCAGCTGCGCTTGGCGCGTGTGCGCCTCCTGCAGATCCTGACGTCTCTGTTCGGCCGCCTGGTGCGTCAACAGACCCAGGTTATGCAGGTGGATCTCCTGTTCCCGGCGCTGCTGCTGCTGCAGCACGTCCTCCAATGACTCTTCCTCCTTTTTGCCATTCGCCGCCTTCTCCTCCTTTTCTATGTGCAGCGCCAGCTTTAGAGGTGGCAGCTCCGGCTTTTGTTCATCAACCAATGGCTTTTCGTCTTCAGTGACTTCATCCTTGAGTGTCAGGGGTATATCCACCACTACAAGACCCTCGGCACTGCCACCGCTGGCTGCATCTGCCGGCGTCGTGGAAAAATTCTCCTTGTTCTCCTCGGGACAACAGTCATCTGTGTCCGAGGCGAGATGCTCGGCCAATAGCTGCTCCGCCTGTTGCTTCATATCGATGTAGGATTCATCCACCTCCATGGCCACCATTTCGTCAACGACGGGCGAGGGATCACTGTCGCGGCTTTTGGTTTCGACCGCCGCCTGCTGGCTCAGAGCATTTCCACTGGCATCAAGGACACCCTCCTTCGCCAGTTCCTCCATGATCTCGTTTTCAAAGTCATCGTAATCCTCGGGCTTTTGTTGTGTCTCCACTTGTACCTGATCCTCTAGCTGAATTGGCTTTTCCTCCAACTCGGCAGGTGGTACTTCATCGCCGTTGACTAGGAGGCTACTACCTTCTTCTTCCTCTTCCAGCAGCACCTCAGCGGCACCACCTTCAGTGCTCTCATCCAGACGAAGTTGACCTGCCTTTAGCGAGTTATTTGAATATGAGGAGACCTCCAGATCACCTTCAATCTCGGCTTGGTGTGGTGTTATCTCAGCGGTAACATCATCCGTGGATGGTTCGGGCACAGCTTCCTCTTCAGTTTCGGCTTCCTCGGCTTTCTGCTCCATGGTTTTCTCATGGCTGGACTTTTCCACCTCCACCTTGGCCAGTTCCACTTCGGTTTTTGGCTGTGGCGATGGGATAGCTACGTCTTCGTCGCAAGCAGCCGTCTCAGCAGCCGTTTCAACATCCGTTTCCCCTTCCACAGCATTGGTACTGCCGCCGCCGCTCACCGTCTGCACAATCTCGCCCAGCTCCGGATCCTTTTCAATGCCCAGGTTATTCTCAAGGAACTCTGGCTTCTTGTAGAACTTTCGCACGCTGACAGCACTCACACCCTCGCTTATCATCTCCGGACTAAGCGATGCAGCCTTCCCCGCTGCTGCTGCTGCTGCCGGAGATCCCTCCTGCTGTGTGGCTGGCTTTGAGGGGGGTGAGGAGGAGTCAACGGATGATGTTGCTCCTGCTGCTGACGTTGGCGACGACTCCTTGACTTTTGTAGGATCTGCGGTCTTATTGGTGCTGCTGCTGCTGCTCTCTGTATCCACGGTGAGCGGTTCAATGCAGGAGGAGGAATGACCATTGGCCGAAGAAACCGAGGCAATCGAGGCAGCCGATGTGGAGGGCAGGCTCTCCGTTAGCAGGCTCTCATCAAAGTCCGGCGTCAGCTTCTCCTGCTTGATGTCAGCGGCAGCCAACAGCAGATCATCCATAGACGAGGCCATGCTATCCTTGGAGTCCTCGTCCCCGGCACCGCCCTGCGAGCTGGGTGCCAGCGAACTGGCCGAGGCAGTCTTCCGCGTGTTGGAGCCAACCCGCCGTCGCTTTGGTGGTGCCGCCGGTTCCTGGGCCACTATTCCCGGCGAACCGGCCTTGCTCAGACGCGTGGCTCGTGTGGTTGTGGTCGATGTCGACGTTGCCGGCGATGTGGAGTTTCTGTTCTGCGGGCGACCCCGTCCCCGTCGACCGGATGGGGCGGGTGTGGGTGTAACTGCAGGCGATGGTATGGAGACAACATCGCTGGCATCCATGGGCTCTTGCTTGATGGCTCCTGCCAGGTTAGCAGCGGCTGCATCCTCATCATTCGGTTCTCCCGTGTCCTCTGACTTGACCACCACCACCACCTTGCTATACTTGGCGGCACTGCTGGCCTCTGGATCAGCGATGCTATCATTATCCTCGGAACGTTTCCGTTTTGCTGCTGGCACCACAGCAGCAGCCACTGGCTTCTTACGTCGTCCGCGGGCAGGCGGCAACGGTGTTGGCTGCTCAGTCCCGGCGGCAGAGGATGTGGCAGCGGCGGCGGCAATGGCAGCGGACAAGGTGGCGGCTGAGGTAATGGGACCAACTGTAGATGATTGGCGACGATTGCGAGTGACTCGGGTGTTGTTTGCCTGCTCCTGGGCATGCGATTTTCGGGTGACACGATTGCAAGTGGTGGGCGTCACTGGCTCCTTTTCCTTTTCTTTATCCTTCTCCTTCTCCTTGTCTTTTATGTCTTTGTGGTCTTTTTCGTCCGTGGCTGGCTGGGTTGACGACTCCTGGTATTCGCTGCCCTCGGCCAGGGGCTCCTCCTTGGGTGGCAGCTCTGCTGTCGTCTCCTCGGACTTGACTTCTTTGGCTTCTTTCAGATCCTTGATGGACTTGCGCCCGCGTATGACGGGTGCCAGCGAACGCTCCACGGAGCTCTTCGGCTCCTCACCGTCCAATCCTGCTGCATCGCTGGCGCTGCTGACCTCACGTCGCGAGGTCGTGGGCGAGCTGAGGAGCAGTAGAGGCGATGAGTGCCGGGTGATGCGCACGCTCTTGATCGCCACACCATCGCTGTGGGTGGGCGTTAGAGTGGGCGTGGGCGTGCGTCTGGTAATTGTGGTGCTGCTGCTGATGTTGGCTGCAAGGGTCTTGGGTGCCGGGGAGGATTCCTTGGCCTCCTGTACGCTGTCCACATCAGCCTCAGCTGGTGCTGTCGCCTCCACATGCGTGGGAGTAGGCGATGATGATGATGATGGCTTGGCTAACTCTTCGCCGACACCCGTTGAGGACTCCTCCTCCCCGCTGCTGGCCGGATTATCCACGCTGGCATTGTCCTCCAGGGTGGCACCACCATTACCACCGCCTGGCTTCCGGCTGGACATCCTCGAGGGGCCCTGGGCAGCTACTGCTGACGTTGCTGCTCCTATGATGGCCGCCGCTGTTGCTCCGTTGCCGTTGCCTCCACGAACTGCGGTTGGTGGTGGTGATGCTGCTGCTGCTGCTGCTGTTCCTGCTGCTGCTGCTTCTCCTCCTCCTCCTCCTGCAGTTGCTTCTGCTCCGCCTCCTCCTCTGTGCGATCCGATGCTGATTGTTTCCAGTTCGTGTCGCAGTGATTTGGTCCCATTGGTTAACTGTGATGTCGAGGATTACCTGAAACGAGCAAAGCGGACTCATATTACTAATCCGCCGTGTGGTTCTTGAGGCCAAACTATGACCCACAGAGAGAGAGAGAGAGAGCGGAAGAGAGAGAGAAGTAAATGAGCGTAAGGGGAAAAATCACTCAATCTGGAAGTAGGTCGTCGTCGCAGTTCTAGAGAACTCGCCGTGTTTCACATTCTTGGCCTATTTTCATAGCTTAACCCAACTCTAAAACACCGAGTAAACATTTCAAGTGAATTCCAAGAAGCCTCACATTTCAAGAGCCTTAAATTCTAATAGCAAATATTTTAGGAGTGCAAGAAAATTGATTCAAATACATTTTAGATTACAGAAAAGTAATTCCAAATAAACTTGAATTGTTTTTGTTTTATTTAGTTAATTTTCTTTGATAAGAGAACTTTCAAAAAAAAAAAAAGCTTGAGACCTTGAATAATAACAAAAAATATTAATAATAAAGATTAGCATTCGTACAACAAACTAAATAATAAAGATTAATTTATTAGGAATTTTAGTACGTTAATTAAGGTAGTTACATGTTAATTATAATATTTTAGCAAATAAACTTGTATATTTTTTTATTTAGTCTATTTTCTATGATAAAGAAACTTTCTAAAATAAATATAATAATAATAAATATTAATTATTTAAAGGGAATTTTAGCATGTTAATTAAGAAAGTTTAAAATAAATAGATATTAAAATAAAATAATAATGTACTTCAGGATAACTTTAAAAATACAAACAAAAAAAATATAATAAATTCAGTACGTTAATTAAGACGGCTTTGAAAAATTATTTAATTAATTTTCAGCGAAAAAAATTCTAATCATAGTATAAATATTAAAATGTTTAATTTTTTAAGGATTCCAATTTGGGTATTTAAGAACACTAATTATTTCATTATTTAGAGATTAGAAAAATAAAAATAAACTCCAAATTTATATCCCTTATTCCACAAACACTCGCTCATTTTCCAGGACCTTAAGGGATTTCAAGGAAGACCGTAAATACTCCTAACATTTTCCCAACGCAAAAGCCGAACCAAACCCGATAACTAAACACCGATTACTTTTATGGCCCTGGCTTTTGGCTTTCACCTGGCTCAAAAGCAAATCCCCGCTCTCAGCCGCTCTAATCCCCGGCGATCAGGACTCTCAGCCAAACTGCGACTAGAACTTTAAACATTAAACATGCTTTTGCGGTTTGCCAGTCAGTCAGTCTCTGCTCCATTGCTCCTCCTCACTCCTCTCTCCGCCGCCGCCTGCTTCTACCAATTCTAAAAAACAAGTTTTGGCAGCAGCAGCTGGGAGCTGATGCGAGAATGCGAGGAAAGCAAAACGGAGCTAGCGGTGCGGTGCGGTGAGGAGTGGGGCAGGCGAAGAAGCAAAGAGAAACTGAAGAATTGATGGGGCACACGTTGAATAATCCTCAAATTGGTTAAGTATCCTGTTTCGGCTTTCGGCTGCTTCCACTTCCCTTGCTCCTTCTGCTTCTTCTTCTGCTTGCCTTGATGATCCCAGTGGATTCTGACAGGCGCCATTTTAGTGTGACCAGCCAGCAGGACGGAGGGGAGAGAGTGCAGTGGCAAGAGAGAGGAGGCGGCAACACGCACTTTGAGGGGAGAGAAAGAGAGCGACCTTCGCTGGGATTTGATTCCGCCTTTGGGAATTGCAGTTTGCACCGGCGGTTCGGTGGAAAGCGGAAAACCCAGGCATGCACACACTCACGCACAACAATCGCCGCCGCTGACACCGCCACCACCCTCCATGGAAAAAGCGAAACACCACTGACAGCAGGCGATGGCAACAAAACAAACGAATAAAGGAAGTAAAAGCGAATCGCAAATAACAAAATGAAGACCCGAGCAATATGAATGTGTGTATACGCTGTGAAGTAGAGAACCCACACAAACACAAAACACACGGCACAGTGTGCAAAAACGCTGCGATTGTAAACACTGAGCGAAGCGGCCGAGGAAGCGGCAACGGCGGTGACAGCGGGCCGCTGGCAAGAGGAAGTGAGGGGCCGCCGCAGCAGAAACGGAAACTGGCCGCACAATTTTCACAAAGCGGAAAAGTTGTCAAAGAATTGGCAGAGTTGCCAACATCGCTTCTCGGGCTCTCTTCCCTCTCTTGCACACGAACAAGCACACACGCACAAACACACCAATACACCGAGGTTCGGTTCGGCAAAAAAGAAAAACCGTGGAAACGGTTCCGTTCCGTCTTCGGGGCAGTTGCAATCAAACGGGGGTGTGGGGGAGCACAGGGCTGGTCGGAGCGATGGTCGAGGGATGGGTGGGGGAAAGCCAGAACAGTGGGGCACACTCAAACACAAAAAAAAATTGGGTGGCGATGAAGTTTTGGGTTTTTGAATTTTACGCTTTTCTTTCCGTTTTCTTTCGCATGACGCGCGAAGCGAACAGCACACAGCACTCACTTGTCTTTCGCTCTTTCGTGTTTTACTTTTGGGCTTCTTTTCGCATTTGAGAGGAACGAGCACGAAACGAGAGACACGAGAGGCACGAGAGAACACGAGCGAAGCGAACGGCGAACAGACGCAACACAACGAAAGCAACGCGAATACCTTACTTACTTAATTCTCTTTCGGCTCAGTTGTCCATTTGCGAATTTTCCGCATTCATTTTTATTTGCATTTTCGCTTTTGTTTGCTTTTGCATCCTGCGATCCAACTGACTTGGCTCGGCGGCTCAATTGCAGTGCCGCAGCTCCCCGCTCACACAACCGAACGAACGAATCAACGAACGAACCAACTGCGCCCAGTCAGGAGCAGGAGGACAAACAAAAAAAATAATAATAATAAAATAAAATGCAGAACCCGAACGCAGAGTTGTGAACGCGAACACGGTGCGAAGCGAAATAACGAGCTAAGATGGAGAGCAAGAGAGCGACGCTGCTCTGCCGCTGCTACTACTCGTCCCCGCGGCCCGACGGCGAAAACACGTATTCGCCGTATTCGCCCCGGCACGACGATACCCTTGCCGTCAAATGCACTGCACTATTGCAGGCAGTTGGCAGCAACCCGAATTTGTGGGGTGGCAGCTCTGTCACAAGGATTTCAATAATTTATAATAAAATAAAATAGTAATAAAAATAGTAATGATATTAACAATTATTTATGTAAAGGGAAAATAACACTGAGAGACCATGGTATATCCACGGTTAGGCAAAAGGCGAAATATAATTAATGTATGAATGTACGATTTTATATATGGAAGAAATTAAATTACTCATACGTAACTCGCCTAAAATGAGGAACGTTAACAGTTATGTTAATGCAGATATTAAAATTACTTAAACTGCATTTTATAATACATGTTTCTATTTTATTTAGTAATTTAATGTTAGTTTTATTTTGACGTCAGGCAGCCCTGCCAAAAAGTACCACTGCAAATTCCGAACATATGTTTATTTATTTAGGGCATTGCAGGGCCGGCTTCTTTTTTCCGCCCGGCCTACGTGTTGTTTTTGGCAAATGTTTGCTGCTCTGGCCTCTCTCTCGCTCTGGTTCTCGCCGTGTGCTCTCTCGCCGCGCTCTCCTGCTGTCGCGCTCTCTCTCCCTCTCTCTCTCTCTATGCTGCATGTGTGTGTTGTTGTTGATGCCTCTTTTGTTGCGTCGGCAAAAAAACACAAAAAAAAAGCGTAAAAGCAAAGCAAAAGGACTCGGCTCGGAAACACGAAGTACGGGGGTGGTGAATGGGAAAAATGGTAAATGGCAAGCGGCGAAAGCAGCTTCCCCCTCTGCCTTCCTTCGATAAAACGCTTGTTCGCTCTGTTTCTAGGCCAAGCACGTTTCTGTTGTCCTGCGAATTTTCCCCGAGTTTTTCCTCAACTTGCGATGCTGTGCCGTAGGTTGATGCTGCTGCTCCTGCTGTTGCTGCCATAATTGTTGTTTCCAAGGACGCAATAAAGGGATGCGGCATGGGAATCCTGCAAGTGTCAGGTGCCGACGCGTCCTTCGTCTCTCTCTCTCCGATTCCTCCGCTCTGTCCCTCTGCTCCCTCTATTGTCCTGCCACCCACATAACAATCATTTTCCCGCCTGCCGCCGAAGGACCATTGCGGGTAACTGGGTTAAAGGCAAGCCTTAATTGTCAGAGGGAAAATGTGGGGAAATTGTGTGAAACAGCGGCGGAAATGAGAAGAGCCCGTCGAGGAAAATCAATATCAATAGCTTTTTGCATTGCCTTCGCATTATTATGCAGCGCGCTCTTGACCAAATGGTCTTCGCCCCCTCTTCTTTAGATACTGTTTCTGGGGTGTTAAGCCAGGGAAAAGCCATTTTCCATATTGCCCCAACTGGTCAAGTGTTCTGGCAGGACATACACGCCATTTCCGCCGCAATGACATCATCAATTAGCCACGAAGGGCGCTTCGATCGATTATCCTAGTTATCGTTGGCTACCTATTCTATTCCGACCCATTTAAAATCCCCCCAAGCTCGGAAAATGCTCCCATTTTCATTGTTTTCCTTGCAATAACGCCCACTCGCTTAATTTTAAACAGAAATCGCTGTTTCTTTTCTCTGCGCTTTGATACAAAATTCACATTTAAATACACACGCACATACACCAGCGCACAGTTGCTTTGTGGCGCAGGCATATGTGTGCGTGTGTTTGCACTAAAGGCAATTGGAAAACGTAATGGCCGCCGACAAAATGCCACGCAGCAAGGCAAACGAAAGGCCAGGGTAAAGCAGAAGCACCGATAGGCGAATGGCGGCGCACAGCGCATTCGGCGATATGTGGATAAAAAGAAAACTTCCGGCAGAATGAAGCGGAACAGAGCCTAAAAGCTCATCGAAAAATCGACACTGCAACAACAACAAACATACAAAAGAAAGAAAAAACAAATATGGAGGCATATGAAAACCCACGTGAATCAGAGAGCGGCGGCGGCTGTGGCAGCAAACTAGCAATCGCCAAGAACGACCGAGGAAAAGAGAGAGAGAGAAAGAGACAGAGAAAGAGGGAGTGGAATGGAATGGAGAGAGAGCGAGGCAGAGAGCCTATGATCGCGGCGAATTCAGAGTTTCCAGAGAAGCCCAGCATTGCCGTCTTGGCACCATTTTCCCCATTTTCCCAGGTGCGCCGGTGTGTGCGTGTAGGTTGGTGTGGTTGTGTGTGTGCCCCCCAATTCGCAGACGGCGAGAAAACAGTTAAATTCCACACGCAAACAAGGCTTTTATGGCCACTCAACACAGACACACTCACACACTGGCACATCTGCGGCGCTCTCCGCCTTTCGCCTTTGCCTCGCTCTTTATCGGCCTGCTCTTTGTCATTGCAGCGTCATTCGCTTTGAATTTTCTTCATTTTCAGGTGCTTTTTTTGGTCATCTTTCATCGATTAGCTTTGAATTTTTCGCTTGCAATCGATCGTACTAGCCAAGTACTAACTGTTTTATGTTTAAAATTGTTAAATTTTGGCTTTTTAGGGGGAGAAAAAGGCCTTGGAAAATAGGGCCCATCAACATGGCGGCTCTGTCCGCCCCCCTCTCTTTCAAACCACCCTCTCAGTCATGGTCTGCACCGCCTAGCTCTTGTGGGCGGCGGTGTTGGTTGCTAACATGACATTTTTTGAATTTCTAGTATGGTTTTCCCAGGATTATTAATTTTCTGGGCCAGAAGGGGCTTAAATTTGGTTATTTAAAGGCCAAATAAATCATTTAATTAGGCATACAGCGTCCGTACAGCGTACTGTTAAGCGCACTGTTAGCCGACTGTTAGCGGCAAAAAGGCGTTAGTGCGTTTCAGTGTTTACATTTTTTTCCCCGAGATTTGAGTTTTTCAAGAAGACAATTTCCAGTTCCACGCAATATGATAACTAAATTACCAATTATCCTGGCTGCTATGTTCGGCTGCTGCTTGGCGGCGACACAGCCAGCGCAGGACACTCGTGTGCTGCCCGAGGGATTCGTGGACGCCGCCCAGCGCTCGACGCACACCAACAACTGGGCTGTGCTGGTGGATGCCTCCCGTTTCTGGTTCAATTACCGGCATGTGGCCAATGTCCTATCCATCTATCGATCGGTGAAACGCCTGGGCATTCCCGACTCCCAGATCATTCTGATGATTGCCGATGATATGGCCTGCAATGCCCGTAATCCGCGTCCCGGTCAGGTTTATAATAACGCCAATCAGCATATTAATGTCTATGGCGATGATGTGGAGGTGGATTATCGTGGCTATGAGGTTACCGTAGAGAACTTTGTGCGTTTGCTAACGGGACGCACACAAAATGGAACGGCACGCTCTAAGAAACTGCTCTCGGATGCCGGCAGCAATGTTTTGATCTATCTAACGGGTCATGGTGGTGATGGTTTCTTAAAGTTCCAGGACTCGGAGGAGATTACCAGCCAGGAGCTGGCCGATGGCATTCAGCAGATGTGGGAGAAGAAGCGGTAAGCTGGGGAACCTTGGTGATCCTTGAACTGAAATGGCTTACAAAAATCTTTCTTGTGGCAGTTACAACGAGCTGTTCTTTATGGTGGACACCTGCCAGGCGGCCTCCCTATACGAGAAGTTCACCTCGCCGAATGTCCTGGCGGTGGCCAGTAGCCTGGTGGGCGAGGATTCGCTGTCGGTAAGGCAGGAATTATGTTTTAATTCATGGTTTACATTTGTTATGACCTCTCTCCAGCACCATGTGGATCCCTCAATTGGCGTCTACATGATCGATCGCTATACTTACTATGCTCTGGAGTTCCTCGAGAAGGTTCAGCCCTTTAGCAAACGCACCATTGGCGAGTTCGTAAGTTTTTACATTTGAGTTTTTAGGGTTCTTCTAAGGTGGTTTTTTCCTTTTGCAGCTGCAAGTCTGCCCCAAGCGAGTGTGCATCTCCACAGTGGGCGTTCGCAAGGATCTGTATCGCCGCGATCCACACAAGGTGCCCATAACGGACTTCTTTGGGGCCATACGACCCACGCGCGTCTCCACCGATCGCATAAATGTGACCCTGGCCAATGAGGAGTGAGTTTTCCCAACGTAAAACTGGGAATAGAGCTGTTTTTAAGCTTGATTTTTGATATCTTTGCAGTGATTTTATTACCACGGACGAGTTGGTGGTGATGAAACCTTTTAAGATTGTCATTGAGCCGCAGTTTCCTACGGAATTTTTTAAATAAGAAAGAGAAACACTCGTATTCATGTGATAATATTAGATTTTATTCGTAAATACATCATTTCATTATATTAATACATTGTGTAATTTATTAAATTTATATGTGGTGTGATCTCGAATCGTGCTTTAAAAATTCTCAATTATGGGGGCTTAGTTCTCATTGTAGTTTATCCTTTTCTTTTATATATATATATATGTATATATATATTTGCTAACATTTCATTTTATCATTTTATCATCATTTTTATCTTTGAAATTAAAGACTACTTTCACTAATCAATCAATCAATCAATCAATCCATCGTCTAACATTCATATCAAATCAAAAACCAAAAATGTATATAAACAAATTACTTATAAAAGTTGCTACCGAAAAAAACGTCACAGTATTTCTAGAATTTTTGGTTTTAATGTTTCTTTTTTCTTCTTTTTTTTTATTATATTTCTTATTTATTTATTTATGTGTTTTTTGTTTTTTTTTTTTTTTTTTTTTTAATATTTTTGGTTTTGGGGCTTCACAATTTCCTAATTTGGGTTGTAAACAAATTCAAAGAGTAATAACAAATGGCCTCAGAACCGAGTTTTTTTGCTTATGTTTACTCTGGGTTTTCCATTTTCATATTCTTCTCTTTTATTTTTTTTAGCATATGGAAGGATCTACTTCGTTTGAATTATTGTTGAATTCATTGTTGAATCATTTCATACATATACACTTAGTATACATACATTTAATGGGTTTTTTTTTTAATAAACATTTTTTACTTCCATTTTCTTTCTTATTTGTTTACTTAATTTCTTTGCTTATTTTTTTTTTTATTATTTTTTATTTCTTATTTTTGTTTTTTCTTTTATTTTCTTTTGTTTTTTTTTGCATCAGTCCCATAATTTGAGTTGTAGGCTTGGGTTGTTGTCCTCAAGATCAAGATCCAGATTAAGCACCATAAGAAGTTTATATTGCATCCACGCTATACACTATGGGGGAGTGGTGTGTGGGGGGAGGGTTGGGTCTGTACGGATGCAAGTCGGTTTTAACCAAGAGCGGAGCTGGGTCTCATAAAGCGGGCATTCGAGTTGAGCATTCCAGTGAGTTTTTGGTACCTGGGCCTGGGTCTGGTAGAATGTTCATGTTCTGTCGTTAAAATTAGCTAACTAATGTCTATATCTTGCGATCTCCTCTCTCTTACTATCTCTCTTTGATGTATATATATTTACAAAGACAAAGATCCGCCGGCATCTGATCAAATCAGATGAATAATCAAGGGTACTGGGGATTTGGGGCTTGATTGATTTGAATCTCGGTTATAGTTTAAATCTAAAGTCTAACACTTATTCGATAACACGCTGTGCAAAAATATTTGTTTATTTTAATTACTTTCCTCTCCAGTTTTTCCTTTTTTCTTTTTTTTTTTTTTAATTTATCCTTTTTACTCTACAAAAAATGTTAATCCTTCTCTGCTAGCTTTCAATCTTAACCGATATTCGCTTGAATTTGCTTTTATTTCGTTATTGTTAATTGATTATTATGCCTTTTCGCTTATATAAACACACATATATATATAGCACTGTATGTTTTTTTATTATTTATGCTGTTTTATTTCTTTTTTTTTGTTAAAAAAACTACAGACAAAAAAAGAAAAGAACTCGAAAATAACATTTTTTTTTGAAGGCAATTTGATGTCAGACTCTTGCTTTTATTTTTCTCGTCTCGTCTCGTCTCGTTCGTCTTCGTTCTTCGTGTAAAAACGTGTTTGGTTTTTTAGCATACATACGTTTCGCTACTTCCGGTTCCGGTGGCGTTTACGGTTTCGGTTGCGGGAGAGGAAGTTTTTTATCAAAGGATCAAGGATCCTGTGGCTATTTAGTTTTTGCTGCTTACTCACAACAAAAATAAAGACTAAAAAAAAAAACATAAATAAAATGAATTTCCTGCCTGTGCGAGTGTGTGTTTGTGTGAGGACAATTTCCGGTGCCTACTTTACAGGGCAGCCGTTAGGTGGCGACACAGCCCAGAGCCATGTAAAGTGCATGTAAAATTCAAACTAGAAAGGATTTTTCTCAACCAAAAAATTAAGGAAATCAAAATAAATCAATAAAATGAAATATTTTATTATAATTTATATACAAACCAAAGGATTCTCTTGGGTTTCTGGGGAACAAATCAAAAACAAGAAAGAAAAGCAATATATTCAAGAATTACATTTATTCAAAAATGTTGTTAAAAAAAATGTATACAGACAGCAAAAAAATCAACAAAATTAATACATTTACAAAATAAAACGTAGTGTTTTTTACGACCATATAATATTATCGATAACAATCCGGGCATCGATACCGCCAATTTTTGGGGGGCGATGGGCGATTGGCGATTTTGTATTCTTGGGGGATGGGAGGATGGGGGGGTTGCGACGATTACACGATTACGATATACAATTGCGCAATCGGATTTTAGATTAAAAAAAAATAATATAATATTATATATATATATAGTTATATATATATATATTTAATCCTTTCTCTTGCGCTTCTTCTCTCATTTTTCTCTTAGCTTTGTTTTTTGTTTCCATTTTTGTTTTTCATTTCTTAAGAAAGTTTACTTGTTTTTTGTTTTTGTTGTATGTACTATGCGTAATTAATGTGTAGTATGTGATTATGCGTCCTTAAATTAGGTATATAGTGTGTAAACAGTATGTGTGAGCGTGCTGTGTGTGTGTGTGTGTGTGTGAACGCTACCCCGCCTCGTCCCTCCTCACAGATCCTTGAAGATCCTTGCAGATCCTTCCTCGCATTCTTATAATTGGTTGGGAAATGCGTGTGTTTCTAAGATGCAGTTGATGTTGTCGAGTTCTTCTCATGCTCCCCCATGTCTTATACATATATGTGTTGTATATATATATAGCTAGTGTGTATGTGTGTGAGTGTATTTATGTATTTAACATGTGTGAGGGGGATTTTTATTAACTAACAGTTTCTAAACAGTATAAATCTGCAAGAGTTGCGAGCGAAGTTCGAACCAATAAAGGCTTGATGATGATCTCTGGCAGTCCCAGCGCTACTTCCGTTTCCCGTTTTCCACAAATTGCTCTAAACACTCTCTTCCCTCACTCCCTCCCACTCTATCTCTTTCTCTCACTGCCTCTGTTTCCAGTTTCCAAATTCCAGAAAACGGTTACTAATTATACTTGGTGTGGTCGCATTTCCAGCTCCTTCTCTCTCCTTCGTTACACATAATATATATACTATATATATAGGCCTATAGTTTACATACATTTAAAGTTAATACCAAAAAAAAAAAAAAAAAAAAAAAAAGAATAGAATAGAATAGATAACTGACATATGCACGCATCCTAAATGCTTGCTATTAGCTGTGTGTGGCATTGTGGCTACATTACATATACTCGCTACTCGTTACTCGTTACTCGTTACTCCCTACTCATTACTCGCTACTCCATACTCATTTAATCGTACGCCTTACTCATGTTAACACTTCAACTGCTCAAAAAAAAAAAAACATATGACATGATTTTACATATATTTTGCATTTAAAAATTGTTTAACTTCGCTCTCTCATAGTTACCTAGCTTCCTAGTTATTGTGAGGGGTGTGAGTTGTGTGTGTGTGGCGTATGTATGTATGTGTTTATATGGGATATGGTACAGGGTGTTCCAACAATTAAGACAAAACTAAAATACACGATAGATCAATTAGGCTCTACATTATGCATGTAGTAATAGTAATAATAGTATAGTTAATAGTAATAATAGTAATAATCGATAAGACAATAAACTAATGAATAGTTAATAGATAATGATATCCATAATTATACAAAAATCGCATGTATATATATATGTATGTATCGCATGTATCGCAATTGTACATGATCTAGTTCTATATCGTTTATCGTAATCATATATATATCGTAAATTGTAAATCGTAATCCGTAAATCGTAAGTGGTAATTAATAATCATAAAACATGCTCTCTAGGTGTACGATTCTAAAATAATTCAGTCATCAGGTAACATTGTTTTGAACACAACTACAGTAACAGAAGCTGAGGTGGTGGCAGGAGGTGTGGGGGAAGGATTTTGATTTCGATTTGAATTGGGATTTGAATTGGGATTGAATGCGGTTGAGGAGTTTGAGGCGTTCGAGTTGGATCTGGCAGTGGCGGCATTAAGATTATTATAATTATTATTGTTGTTGCTGGTATGTTGTTGTTGTTGTAGTGTTGTTGTTGTTGTTGTAGTTCTCTTGATTCTCATATTGATATTGGTTGTTGCTTGTTGCATTGCTGGCTGTGGCAGTGACTGTGACTGTGGCAGTGGTTCTTGTTCTGGTTGTTGTTGTTGTTGAAGTTGTTGTTGTTGTTGTTGTTGTTGTTGTTGTGGTGCTAATGTTGCTTGTGTTTGTGTCGTTCCAGCTCCAGCTGGCTCCTTCGGCGACACGGCAGTCCATTGTTGTTGTTGTTGTTGTGTTGCTTGTGTTTCAAATGAAATGTTGCATGTGCTTAATGTTCTTAGCGATGTTATTGATGTTGATGCAGATGTTGTTGATGAAGATGTCGTTGAGAGTGTGGCAGTGTGTGAAGCTAAGGCCAGTGGCAACTCCAGCTCATCAGTTTGGGTCTGTATGTTGACCATGTTGCTCATGTTGCTCATGTTGCTGGCATTGTTGCTGATCTTGTTGGTTCTGCAACAGTTGCCATTAAGCAGGCGTTGCTTGCTGCTGCTACTGTTGCTGCTACTGTTGCCGGTTGTCCTTGCTGCTGGCATGGCAAAGGAACAGGAACTGTGGTTATCTCTAACAACAGGGCTCACAATTCTTTTTGCTTACCATTCGCCAACAGATTTTGGCCATGATTTTGACCCAAATTCATTTGGCGATTTTGCCGGCTCTGTGCTGGCATTGCCGCTGGCATTTGCTTGCTGGCTGCCATCAAGCTTAGTCCTGTTCCGAGTCCTGCTCCGGATCCAGCTCCTGCTCCTGCTGCTGTTGCTGCTCCCACTCCCATACCTTTTGTGGCCGAGCTGCTGCCAAAGTTGATTATCCTTCGGGGCATTTTCTGTTGCTGCTGCTGCTGCTGCTGTTGCATTGCCAGCAATTGCTGCTGCTGCTGCTGCTGTTGACGCGCCGTGGCTATCTCACTGAGACTGGCCAAAGTCACCGCCGTCTTGAGCACATGCGCCGGCGTGGGCGATGTGGTGGTGGCTGCCGTCGTCGTTGCTGTTGTTGTTGTTGCAGGTGCTGTGGCTCCTCCTGCGGACATGGAGCGCTGTGACATTAAGGCCGTGTGTAGAATTGATGTATATTGTTGCTGCTGCTGCTGCTGTTGTGGTTGCTGCTGTTGATGCTCAAGTCTTTTGCTCTCTTCTAAACTGTTGCTGCTGCCATGATGGTTTGATGCCTTGCCCGCCGCCGGAGTGTGGCTATTGCTGCTTCCACTGCTACTGGAATAATCCCTGGCAGTGTCCGCGGATGAGGAGGAGGAAGAGGAGGAGCGGGCTATCTGCTCGGCAGCCGCCGTCAAGGTGGCCAAGGTGGCTGCTGCTCCGCTTAGCAGTGAAGTCTTTAAAATGGACGTGGATGTGGATCGTGACTGCTGTTGCTCCTCCTCCTGCTGCTGCTCCTCCTCTTGGTCCTGCTCCTGGGCCCCAATCTCAATCTTGATTTTGGGCAAATCACGCAGCAGTTGATGCTGCTGTTGCCTGCTCCTGCGCCGCTCCAGCTGCCGCTCCTGCTGCTGCTGCTGCTGCTGCTGTCGCTCTGGTATGGTTTCGGGTCCTGGCGTTGTTGCTCCTCCTCCTCCTCCTCCTGGCTGGTGATGGTGGGCAGTGGGCAGCAGGCCGTGCTCAAGCATCTGCTACCTTATGCTCGCCGAGTTTAGCACGAAGGGCACATAGAACATCTTGCTCTCGAGCAGCAAACTGGCGGCGGCCTGGATCTGCAAGTTAGGTAAGCGAAAAGCCAAATGGAAGTATCGGAATACAAGGATTAGTTAGGGATCAAGGGATCTATATCTATTTCTATATATATAGAGAGAATGTAATTTATCATATTTATCAAGCCACTTATCGGATTTATCGCTTTAAATATCGATAAATCTTCCCTAAAGTATCATAAATCCTTAATACGCACCTCTGGTATGTGGGATAACAGCTCGCTGAGCCTCGCCTGCGGATTCTGCGGTGACGAGTTCTGCAAATAAGAGCGCAGCACCTGAACGTACCGCTCCTGGATGCTCTCCAGTTCCACTTCTGCTGGATTTACAAACGGAACAAAAACGGGTATAACATGAGCACTGAGTTACGGGGTGAAATCGGAGCACGTACCTTTGTTCAGCAATATGTAGACCTTGAGGCAAACATACTCCTCCATCTTGAGCTTGATGCGCCGAAACATGATGGTAATCTGGGTCATCTTGTCCACCATATGACCAACGTCCAGCTTCAGCTGCTCCATGGCAATGGGCTGACCCATCAGCGTGGTGAGGCAGGTCTGCAGCGTACTTAGATGCGAGTTCACCTCGCTGACAAACTCCGGATCATCCTTGTGCAGCGGCTGGGCGGGCGATGGCAGTGGCGTTGTGGTCGGTGTCGTGGCCAACGGCGTTGATGCCGGCGAACCGTGCCTACTGCTGCCAGTACCAGTTATCGCTGCTTGTCCCGCCACCGATCCACCATCACCGCGTCGCTTGCCATGCAACGCCTGATAGGCGGCCGTGGTCAGAATCAAAATCTCATGCCACTTGTCCGTCAGCAGTTTGGTGTGTATCTCCACGGGTATTTCCAGATAGAAGGGCAACTTCTTTGTCCACGAGACCAGCTTGTGCACAATGGAGTCACCGATGTTGCACAGCTTCTCGCTGATCTCCGACTTGTCCTCCAAGAACTCACTGAAGTGCGGCAGCGTGGCAATATCCTCCATGGCATCGCAATCGATCAGGGTCTGGATCATGGCAAGGGCGTGCTCATAGGAGATCTGGCGATCCTTCGATGAGCTAACCGCCGAGTCCAGGCGATGCCGCAGATGCACAATCTCGCTGGGATTGGTTAGTGCTGTTTTCAGTATGGTTCCATTCACCAGATGCGGCGGCAACTGGGCGGCAGCATTGCCTCCACCACCGGCCACGCCTCCTCCTCCTCCTCCAGAGCCAGCTCCACCGCCGCCACCTCCACTGGTTTGCTGGTGATGATTCGGATGATGTTGCTGCTGTTGCTGCTGCTGCTGGTGCGGGGAGCTCAGCTGGAGATGCGGCGACGTCTGCTGCTGCTGTTGCGCCGGACTATGTATCGGTGGCGCCTGCAACAGCTCTGGCTTGAGCACGGGACCCAGGAACATGGGTTTCATGTCCATCAGCTTGGCCTGCTGCTGCTGCTGCTGCTGCTGTTGTTGCTGCTGCTGCTGTTGTTGTTGGGCTGCTGCTGCAACGGCTGCTGCCAGTTGCTGTTGCTGTGGCGAGAGCAGGTGATGCGGCGATAGCTGCGGATGATGCTGCTGCTGCGGATGGTGACCCACTTGGTGACCCACCACCTGATGACCCTGATGATGCAGATGATGCAGTGGCGAATGCAGCTGCTGATGCTGCTGTTGCTGCTGCTGCTGGTGTTGCTGCTGCGCCTGCTGCTGTTGCTGGTGCTGCTGCTGCGCTTGCTGCTGCTGCTGCTTCTGGTTGGTCTTCTTGTGCTTCTTGTACTTTACCTTGTACAGATTGTAGACGGCGCCGCTGTTGCGACCGCCAGGCATGCGATCCTCGCGAACAGCTGGGGGGAAGAGAGAGAGAGAGAGTAGGAAGGGTTTAAGGATTATGGATCATGGATCATGGAAAAGGGATTATGGATTATCAAAGATTATTAAAAGAAACCAATATTATCAAGGTTTCCAATAGAAGTTTTGAGGGAGCAACCTTAACCACTCACCTTGCAGCACCATGCCCTGCTCGATGCACTTCTTAAATCGACAATACTGACAACGGTTGCGCTGTGCTTTGGTTATCTCGCAGGTTCCATCCGCCACGCAGGTGTAGACACGCCTGTTCTGCACCGTCCGCTTGAAGAAGCCCTTGCACCTGATCAGAAAAATATAGAAAATATATACATACTCCAGGGAATTGGGATTTTTGAATCCAAAATAACAACACTCACCCTTCGCACGTGATGATGCCATAGTGAAGGCCGGTGGCCTTATCCTCACAGATCATGCACACCAGCGGCTGCTCATCCTCGTCCGTGGGCTCATGCGGCGCCTCTAGGCCACCGCCTACACCGCCGCGTCCGCCCAGTGCACCGGCAAGGGTCCCACCACCACCCAAGCCCGTGGAGTTGGAGCTCCCCCACTGTTGCTGCTGGGCACTGAGATTCAGTGCCTGCAGCTGGCCAGGCGGCAGCTGGGAGTAGTCACCCGCCCACAGGCGCTCCATATTGAGGGCATGGGGCGTGCGAAAGGGATGCGGCCGGGCTCGCATATCCTGGATGCGGGTCTGGCCCAGGGAGAGCAACAGCTGGGCGGCCTCCTCATTGTTTTGCGGCGTCACGGATGAGGGCGTGCCCGCGCCGGATACCGAACCGCCACCGGAGGAGCTGGGCGTTAATGAACCCGCCGAGGGCGAGGATAGGCAGTGTTGTTGCTGTTGCTGCTGCTGTTGCTGTTGCTGCGATTGTTGCTGCTGCTGCGTATGCTGGTGATGCGGCGACTGCTGTTGCGGATGCTGTCCTGGATGCTGCTGCTGCTGCTGCTGTTGCGCCACCGATGGCGGTGGCGGCTCATAGCCCCAGACCATGGTGCGAACGCCACAACTTTCACCCATAATCACTGTGGGCGTGCCCCTTGGCGGCGTCTGTGAGGGCGTTTGCGGCGATAGTTGCGACGAGGATGAGCTGCTGGAGGGATGCGGCGATGGGCATTGGACGGATCCACCACCTGGTATACCGCCATTTCCACCGTTTCCACCATTTCCACCGCTGCCATTGCCACCGCCACCGGAAACGGAGACAGGCCTTAGGTTGCCCAGTGGTCCGCCAATAACCTCCGGCTTCACTCCATTGATCCGGGCATTGCTGAAGCATACCATCCGTTGGGCGGCCACAGCGGCAGCTGCTGCTGCTGCTGCTCCACCAGCGGATTGCATTAAATGCGGCAAACCGGCGGCCACCTGTTGGTGCACCTCGCTCTTCACCCGAAACAGAATGGCCGCATCCCGGTTGCTGTTTCTCAGCGCCAGCGAGGCGGGATGCATCAGGGCCAGGGCCTGGGGCTGCTGCTGCTGCTGTTGATGCTGCTGCTGCTGCTGTTGGTGGAGATTGTGTTGCTGCTGGTGAAGATTATGCTGCTGCTGGTGGAGATGTTGCTGCTGCTGTTGCTGATGCTGCTGGTGATGCGGCGACAGGTGACGCTGACCCACCTGATTGGGCTCCTTCTTCACGCGCACCAAGGAGTGCGGCGAGTGTTGCTGCTGCTGCTGCTGTTGCTGCTGCTGTTGCTGATGCTGCTGCTGTTGCTGTCCCAGCAGATGATGCAAATGTAGCTGCTGCTGTTGGGTAAGATGCTGCATGGACTGGCTAAGCAGATGCTCTGTGGGCGGGCTGCTCTTGCGCAGCGTCAGCGGCTGGGTGAGCTGCTGATGGAGATGGTGTGTCTGGACAATGGCCGACTGTCCCAGGCTACCATGCGATGGTGGGCTGGCGGAGACGCGACTCAAATGCTGCTGGGAAGAGCTAATGGATTGCTCTCGCTCCCGATCCCGATCCCGGTCACGGTCACGATCGCGATCACGATCTCGCTCCCTTTCCCTTTCTCGCTCTCGTTCTCGCTCCCTTTCCCTCAGCGTGCTGGAGGTGGAGGAGGGCGAGGCTATGGGCGGCGGTGGCTCTGACTTGATCCTTGAGGGCGTCACTAGCACTGTCACATGTCCCGCTGCTGCCGCCGCCGCCGCCGCTGCTGCTGCTGCTGCTGCCGCCGCCGCTGCTTTGGATTCCTGTTCCCTTTGGAAGGCCAACATCTTGGTGGACACACTGAGCAATCGCTCCTCCTTCACCGAACGTATCACACTCATGCCCGCCTCGCTCAGCTTGGCGCTGGTGCTACCACTGGACACGGAGGACACCACACCGTTGGTGGGCACCACCGTCGTTGAAGCCGCCGTTGTTGTCGTCGTCGTTGATGGCTTCTCCTCGAGGGAATCGGGCGAGGCTCGACTGCTGCCGCTGCCGCCATTGCTAGCGTTGCTGCCATTATTGTTTTGATGTTCCTGGCCTCCCATGCCAGGTGCAGATCCAGCTCCTGTTCTACCCTCAGAGGCCGTTGGCTCTGTCTGCTGTTGCTGCTGCTGCTGTTGCGCCGGTGGCGGTGACATCACCGTGGAGGCCGCTGCCGCTGAGATCGCACTGCTGGAGGAATGGATCTCCGCCTGATGTGGCTCCTGCTTGATGTGGTTCTTGCCACTGCTGTTGGTGCTACTGCTACTGCTGCTGCTGCTGGCGGGACATGTGGAGGAGGCTCCAATTCCACTTCCAGTACCAGCTGTTGCACTTCCCGCCCCCGCTCCAGCAGTGGGCGATGTGCTGGATGATGAGGATGATGATGATGAGGAGGCGGATGATGTGGATGATGAGGCGGAGGAGAGTGTTGTGGAGGATGTCGATGAGGTGGCCACCGCTGCTGTTGTCGATGATGTGGAAACCGCTGTACTTGCTCCTCCACCGGTTCCACCTCCACTTGCTCCACCTCCTCCTCCTGCTCCTCCTCCTCCACCCGTTTCCGCCACGGCTGCCACCACTGCCGCCAAGGAAACGGTAACCGCCGGCGAGGACGCATTTAGGGGCAGTGGCAAAGGCAGGGGCAAGGGCAGGGCCATGGGCAGGGGCATGGAACCTAGTCCGGATCCCACACCAGATCCAGATGTTGCCACCACACCACCACCACCTCCGGCACCACCTGGACCACCTACCACCGTGGAGCTGCCGCTGTCGCAAAGCTTGGGCGACATGGGCGCCAGCAGATCCGGCGACGAGGTGGACGTGTCCGCAATGGACTCGCCGTCACTGCTGCATCGCGAATCGATTTTCCGCCGTTTGAGTTTGAGGTCTTGAAAAAGGCTCATTTTATCGAGCTCGCTGTACGGGCCACGGCTCAGTGTCATAATTCCTAAACGGGGATAAATAATAATAAAAGCGAGAGAGAGAGAGAGAGATTGGATTTAGTTATCAAGGACATTAGAATGGGAGTACTCCCCCTATATAGTTGAGAGATCTCTAAAGAGATCTTGAAATTAAATAATTATTAATAATATTATTCTATAAAAGTCAGTGTCATAATTCCTAAACGGGGATACATAATAAAAGAAGCAAGAGATAGGATTTAGTTATCAAGGACATTAGGATGGGAATATTACCCCTATATAATTGAGAGATTATCCCAAATAGATCTCCAAAGAGATCTTGAAATTAAATAATTAATTAACTATTAATAATTTTATTCAATAAAAGTCAGTGTCATAAAATCAGTGTCATATCACTAAATAATTCCTTCAGGCTTAGTAGGAAAGTCTAGAGAAATCTGGCTAAGCCTAGGTACCTTTATATGTACATATATGTTTTGCAGTTCAAGTGGGTTTCCAAATTCCCCAAAGCTAACTTTTAATATATTAATAATATTAATATTAATATTAATATTAATCCATTAAGAAATATATATTAAACCATTGATATACAATTTCCAAGAAGTTTTTTATCTCTAAATTCCCTAGATGAATTCATGTCTGAATTTCAGAAAGAATTAATCTCTCATTTTTAAGATAATTATGAATAATATTATAAGAAAATATTCTTCATTATAAATATTATTAAAATTCTTTAATTATTCCAGCAAAAATAAAATATATATAGGCAGCTTCTAGATCTAAGGTCAGACTCTAGAGGCATTTTAGGAAATGAAAATAATGTAAAAGTATATTTTATATATTAATTAATTATATAAATTAATTAATACGACAAGAAATGTGATCCCTAAAGGACTTTCTCAATCACTATTGAAGACTATAAGCATTCTTTCACAATTTAATCATCCTTCAAACTTGCGAATGTTTTCTAACTAAAATAATAATCCAAATTAAATATAAAATATATATTATAAATAATATATATATAAATATATATGTATATATTCGAAATAAAATAAAAAATATACCCTTGCAGCTTAAAAAATTATTCATAACTCAGCCAAAACTCCATTAATTTATATATGGCAAGCTTTTTAATGTTCATTTTTAATAGATTAACAAATCTGCATAGTTTATTTAACATCTTAAAATATTTAAAAAGTTTTTACACCTTTATTATGTAATTATTTTATTATGTAATTATTTTATTATATGAAACATTTTTTTGGACAAATTAAAATTTAAAAATATCATAACTCAGTCAAAAAAGCATCAAATTCAATTCGGTAAACTTTGCTATGCTAGTTTTTCTTAGGTTAACAAATCTCTTAATTTTTGAAAAAATAAATTTTTTTAATAATTTTTCCAAATTTTAACGATGTAACCCCTTATCAAATTTTGAAAAAAATTAAAAAAATTTTTTTTTTGTCAGACATATCTAGAAAGATGCGCCTGTTAATGCTGATCAAGAATATATATGGTTTATAGGGTGGGAAATGATTCCTTCATTGGCTTTTAAGCTTTTGACTTAAATTAGAATACACTGCAAGGGTATAAAATTAGAATTAAATTACAATTAAAATATATTTTAAATGATGATTTTCAAAATTTATTATGCTTACTTTAGGGTCTAAACTTTGCTCAATGATTGCTCTATAAGATTTTTCAATTTAAACGATTTAAATACAATTAAACTGATTTATTTTCCAGTTTTTTTTTTCTTGTAATTAATTAACTTATTTTTTAAAAATTCATTTGATAATAAAATCTAATACCAAATGATTTTCCTTAGCCTGAGAAATTCTTAACCTATGAATCTTCGACATAAATTGTATAGTTTTTATAAATAAGTTTGCATAAATTTGTTGCGGAAGTTTCTGCTTTTGTCTTTTATTTTTATTTTTTATTTTTGTCGGAACTAGGCTTTGTTTTTGCATCGATTTGCGCTGATGGAATATAAACAAATAGCCAATGAATTTGCATTTACTTCCCCACGGAGCTAGAGCCAAGCTCAAAAAAAAGCAAATAAAACTGGTTAAAGCGCGGGCAAAAGAAGTCAAAGAATTGGCCAAAACGAATGGGCCAAGATACGGATCCACGAGATTCGAGAAATTTGGCTTAATTACACGACATCGATCGATCAGCGGCAGCACTAGGCCAAGATTAATGTGATAAATGCTGGCTCGAAGTCTTTCCCTTGGAAATAGGTCACTTTTCGATCCAAAAGTTGTGGTCTTTATTGGTTCTAGTTTTTGTTTACGATCAATAAATATCTGCCAAGTGTTTCTAGGGTTGTTTTTTTTGTGTAGAAACAAATTAATGCTTTCAATGAAGGGATTATAAAATTTAAATAAAAACTAAAAAAAGAACATTTAGCTTAAAAAGAAATATTGAGAAAACAATTTAAAGAGTTAAAGAACAAAGTAAAATATTAATAAAATAATTTACAAAATTGAAGATCAAAGTTTTGTAGAATTTTCTTTTTAAAAACGATTTTAAAATAATTAAAGTGGTTTATTTTCCAGTTCTATATTTTATTTTTTAGCATTATTTACTAAAAATTACTTAGAAACCAAAGAGAAAAATTTTAATTACAATTTAAAGAGTTAAAAACCATAGTTTTTTTTTATTTTTTCTATAGGAAAAGATTAAAAAAAATTAAATTGATTTATTTTTTAGTTTTAGGATTTTTGTTTTTAATATTTTTTAGTAAAAAGAACATATAGACCCATGAAAAATATTGTGAATATAATTTAAAAAGTTAAAAAAACATAGTTTTTAATATTTTTCTACACAAAAATGAATATGATTTATTTTCCAGTTTATTATTTAATTTTTAAGCATTATTTCCTTTCTTTTGAGAAAATTTAAAAATGAAATTAAAGTCTTATAAAATATATCTTAAAGATAGAGGAAATATATATCTGAATAATCATGTAAAAGTTCTCTAAATGATCTTCTATATAATACTTCATTTTTCCTTACTTTAAGAAATGAAATTTCTTGTAAACTATTTTATATATTTCATATCAATATAGTTATAGACTTTCATTTCTGTGTAGGCTACAAACAACAGCTGAACTTTCGTTCATTTCTAAAGTTCTATATCTCTCCCTTTCTCCGGACCAATTCGGTCACTTGGTGCGTTGGCCCAGCAACGAGTTCTCTATCTCCATTTGGATTCCCATTTCCAATGCCCCAATGGCCATATATATATATTCCCTTTCCGAACCGATCTCCCTCCCCCCGTTTCTATCTATATCTATCTAATACCGATCTCTCTCTCTCCACTCGGCTCGGATTCGGATCGTCATCGGGCCGAACCGAACGAAGTTCTCTGGGAGATCTCGTACTCGTGCTCGGGTGCTCGTACGCATTCGACGACGACAATGTCGTTTGTGTGTGTATTTTTAAAATTTGACCTATTTTCATTATCAAGCGCAAGATTATTCTAAACAATAAAAACCATGCGTATGCGTCTATATCTTTCCTCTTTTTTTTTGTTGTTGTTAGAGTCTGTGTGTAGGCGCGTGCACACGCAACTGTATACATAGACTAGAGAGTTCAGATAGAGAGACATATGTAGGTATATATGTAGAAGTCACCTGTGCCTAATGTGTATCTATGTATCTGTATCTGTATCTGTCACCTGGTGGCTAGAGATCAACAGAGAACTGCATTCGAGAGGCAAACAAAAACAAGCCACAATTTACGATTACGATAGCATCTAATCTTAACTGAATAATCAGCATTTTAAGGTAGATTTAATAAAGATCGAAGAAGGAATCAATATCAAAAAAGTTGACTATAATTTATGGATGTATATCGTAGCTACACTGACTTCTAGAGTTCATAATAATAGTATACCCAAAAATATAAGTTTTAAATATACTAATTCATGTTTTTATATTAATTTCAAGTAATTTTAAATAATTTTTATATATTTTTTTAAGGGTTAGTTTAGTACTTGGTACTTGGGTGAGTTAAATTGTAGAGCTTTTGGGGGTATGTGGGTGCGTGTGTGCATTGGGTATCTCTAATTATCTAGGGTTAGTGGGTTTTTTCAAATATTTTATTTTTTAAATATTATTTGTCACAAAAATTTACCTATTGATGTCATAATTTTAGTTTTTTCTTGTCTTTGCCGATTTCTCAAAAATTTTTTTTAGATAAAAACAAAAAGTTGTCTTTGCCGATTGTTGTTGATTTGCATTTGCTTTTGCTTTTGTGTGTGTTTTCTGTGGTGTGTTTCTGGTTTGTTTTTGGCTTTTTGTTTTTATTTTGTTGTTGTTGTTCTTGCTTTGAATTTAGATTTGTTGTTGGTATTGTCATTTGTACTGTGACTCTCGTTCAGGAAGCATCTAGACTTGGCCGGTCTCTGCCCCGCTGCCGCAGAGTCAGAGTCTGAGTCCAAGTTGCATGCATTCCAAAAGTTGTTGGTGTTTTTTTTTTGTTGTTGTAAGTTTTCTTTGGTGTTGTTGTTGTTGGAATTTTGTTGTTGATTGTTGTTAGGGGGAAGGTTGTGATATATATATATATAGTTTTTCTTTCAATTTTCTTTGCCAATTTTGTTGTTGGGTGATGCTGAAATTTGGAATTGGAATTGGGTTTTTCGTTTTTTTTTGGGGTTTGTTTTTTCTTTGCGAAAATGAGTGGTAGTGCTTGGGGAAGAGGGGGGCGTTGCGTTTATCTTATTGAGGGGGGTGGGGGGTTCTAGGTTATTATAATGGTTATATATTATATAATATATATATAGTATGTATAATATTTAAATGGGATAATGCAATACTAACGGCAAATGGGCGGCATACGAGACTTTTTCTTATAATAGTTATTGTAATTGTTGTAATGGATATTGTTGTTGTTGTTCGTATTGTTGTTGTTGTTGTTGTTATTATTGCTACTATTATTATTGTTGTTGTTGTTGTTGTTACTAATTGTATTATTATTATTGTTGCAATTGCTATTGTTATTATGGGAATTGCACTTGTTGCACTTGTTGCCTCCGGAATTGTTGCACAACGAAGTGGTAGCTACTCCTGCTCCTGCTGATGATGATGATGATGATGATCCTGCTCCTACTGTTTTCAGTCGAATATTGTCATTATCCTGTGACTCCCCTTTGATGTGGCTTAAATCCGTGCAGCCGGAGCTAGATGATGTGCCTGTCGGCGGCTGTTGGCCATCTTCAGGGACGACGACATCATCATCATCATCATCATCAACAACATCATCGGCATCTTCATCGGCCTCAGCATCAGCATCAGCCTTACTAGAAGCTGTCTTTGCCTTTGAAGCATTTGATGGTGGATTATCCGCAGCATCTGCTGCTGCTGCTGCAGCTGCATCCTCCTCGGCCGTGGTGTTGGCTTCACCATGATGGTGATGGTAGTGATGATGGTGATGATGGTAGATATGATGGTGGCGATCATTCGGAAATGGTTCTTGCTGCTCATTATTATTGCTATTGCTATTTCCGCCTGCCGCTGCTGCTGCTGCTGCTGCTGCCAAACCGGAATCAACATCGTGGCTGCTGGCGCTTGAGTTTAGCTTAATATTATTATTATTATTGTTATTGTTATTCAAACTGTTGATGTGACTGCTGCTGCCATTGGTGTTGTTGGTGTTGTTATTGCTGCTGCTGCTGTTGTTGTTGTTGCACTTCTTAAGCAGCGTCTTGTTTAACGGCGTCTTGATAATGGTCAGCTGATCTTCGCGAGGATCACTGCCACTGTCATGATGGCCATGGCCATTCAACAGCAACCGCTGCTCCTCGTGGCCATTCAGCGAGGTGGCTTCGCTGGGTCCACCACACAGGCAGGAATCCTCGCCAGCTGCTGCTGCTGCCACCGCTTCCTTCGGCTCAAGGATCAGCGGCTGGTTGGCATTCATTTGGGCTCGATCCTAGGTGGGCAGGTACACAAACGAATCCAGGGCCATCATTGGTAGCTTTTTGCCCCTACAAGTCCACATTTTCTAGCATTTTTTTAAACACTGTTTTTTAGTTTTCTACTTTGTTGTTTTTTTTTTTTTTTTTTTTTGAAAATTTCACACAATAATTATTTAGTTTTTGTTTAATAGAAGAAGAAGTCTGCGTCCATTGCCAAATTATTATTGAACTTAAAAAGAAGCACTTGAAAAAAATGCAGAAGATGAACGATTTTGAGTTTATTTTGAGATTTCTTTTTTGAGATTTTGATTTTGAGTTTTGAGATGAGCGAGTGTGGGAGGATGTTGTGTGTTTCTGGCTGGCTTTCTTTATTATTTATTTAAAATTTTATTTCATATTTAAGATTTAATAATCTTGTTTGTATTTTTTATTTTATTTTTTGTGTGTGTTTTTTTTTATGGTTTTGGGGACTGGGTCAAAACTAGGGGGCACATACCACTCTTTAGGCTTTCTTTCTTTCTTTTCGATTCTTGGCTAAATCTAATATTTATTTGTTGTTGTTTTTTTCTTTTTATTTTTGTTTTTTGTAACTATAACACAAACATTAAAAAAATTCGTTTCGATTTTTTGTTTCAAACCGCACCGAAGAAGCTTCTCTTCCGCGTCCAAAAAAAAAACACAACTTTTGAAAAACAACAAAAAAGCGAGGCGGCCGCGAAGCAACAACAACAAGCCGCAAAACAAACAGTTGTTGCTGCTACTGTTGCTGCCGGCTTTATATGTGTATAAATTATATAGTTAATGCTTTTTGTTGTTGTTGTTGTTGCTCGTTTTATTTGGTTCTTTGATTTGTCGATGGTACACGTTTGTTGCTCCGCGGTGAACGTGCGTGCATGCGAACGAAATAAAGTGAAATGAAAGGAGTAAGCGAGCGAAAGAAAGCAGCAGCCACCGACACGCTGCCGCTGCTGGCGTCGACGTAGGCATCGGCAGCGGCGTCGGCGTTGTCGTCGCCGCCGTTAGCTTTGGCTTCGTCTGGCAGCGCAGGCGTGGACTCCCTCTCTCTGTCTCTGCCACCGCCGCAGCCGCCACCCTCTCTGTCCCTCTCGCGCTAGCCTGCTCGCTCTCTCTAGCGCGATCGGGCTGCTTAGAAGCAGCAGCAGCGACGTCGGCAGCGAACGAAAATGAAAACCAATAGACAAAACGTAACAATAAAAAAAAGAAAAAAATAACAACAACTAGAAAAGCGCACTCACGCAACGTCATAGTTATGCTCTCTCTCTCTCTCTCCATCTGTCTCGCCGCACTCCCTCTGGCAGCCGACAAGTTAAATTCTAATGCTAGCTGCCTCTCGTTTACTCCATTTTCCTTTTCTCCCACACAAATACACACACATGCAATCAAATGCAGTTAGAAGTTGCATGTTGCCACATTGAAGGGCCTAGTACGAGGGGGTGAAAAGCTTTCTTTGACAAGGAAAACAACAAATAATAAAGGCAACTCCCATCTGGCCACCCCCTTCCGGTTTTCCTTTTCTTTTTTTGCAGCAGCAAAACTGTGCCACATTGCCATTGCACTTTTAACAAATGGTTGGAAGGGGGGGTTGTCAAAAATAGCGGGGAGGGTCTGGCTAAATAAGGGGAAACTGGGTGAAAAATGGCTGAAAAATGGGGAGTAATGGAAGGGGGTAGTTATGAGCGAAAGCTCTATGCCGGAGAGAGCGGCAGAGTGGGAGAGAGAAAGAGAGAGAGCTGCAGCACTTGCAGCATAGATTGTTGCTTCCTGCTGCTTGCAGTACCATCTTGCTCCCTCTCTCGCTATCTCTTTCTGCCCCTGGAGTTCAGATCGAAAGTTCTACGATCAATGTGAGAGTGTACGTGTGTGTGTGGTAAAAGTTAGCTCGAATTAGAGCAACTCACAACAATGGACAATGACAAGCGATTGCGCAACGTCGAGCGAAGGAAAAGCAAAAGCAAAGCAAAGGCAACAACAGTAAAGCTAAGGAAAACCACAGGCAAAAGCAAAGCAACAGCGGTGGAAGCAAAAACAGTAGTTATGGAGAAATGGACAAAATGGCAAGTGAAGTGGACCAAGTTGACAAAGGAATAAAAAACTAAAGAATAGGTATTTAACGGAAGTCCTGCTTAACATGTAATTTTTTTTTGAATAAAGAATACATATTCAAGTATTACAATTTGTTTTAGTTTTAGACCTTTGTTTTACCCATTAAACATTAGCTTATAAAAATTAATAATCAAAAAAACAAAATTAATAATAATAGCAGGATTATTCCCTATTTTTCTTAATACAAGTAAGAAAGAAACAGCATTTGACGGACAACGGACAACATATAACGGACAACGGACAGCTTTAAAACGGACACCAACTGGACAACCGGAGAAGCGTTTCACTCCAGATGCAGTGCCACGGAATTGCGAAATCACGTTTTGTGTCGCTCACTTATTGTACATATTTATTTATCTATTTCATTATTTTTACTTATTTATTTACTTATTTACCGCGTAGCATACGAATTTTGCATTGCACCCACACACCAGCAACCAACCTACAACGCGCACAACAACGCTGACAAATCTTTCTCTAATGCCTAATGCCCTTTCCGTACGTTCGTTGACCATTGTCTGAAAGCACTTTCGATTTCAACTCGCATTGCTTGCAAATGCTGCCAGCAAAAGCAACAGCAGCAAGAGCAGCAACAACAACAACAGCAGCGACAAAAGCAATAGCAACAACAATAATTGTTTGGCGCACATTTCATTTCCTTATTGCTCACTGACATTTTGCCTCGCACTCGCACACACATCAAACGTAAGCAGTACGTAATGCATATAACGTAAATGGCTTACGACTTTATAATGAGCAGCAACAACAATTGCAATCAGGTCTTAACACATTTGTTGTTGCTGTTGCTATTGCTGCAAGTTGCAATGCCAGGAAGCCTTTGGTCAGCTCTCCCTTACCCTCTCTCCCTCTCCCTCTCCCACACACACACACACTCTTCGCTCTCTTTCTCTTCTTATTGCACTGCTAAAGTGAAAGTTATTTGTTGTTGCTGCTGCCGGGGTTCTTGATTCATGGATCTCGCTGGCGCTAAAGGGAGATAGCATGCGGAAATGTGCAACTTGCAATTGCAAGAGAGCCAAAGAGGCAGAGAGGGAGACCGATCTCAAGAGAGAGAGAGAGAGCTAGCTGCTCTCAATAAGATCTCTTTTTTGGTTTTTTACGTTTTTTTTTTGTTTTTTGTTTTTTTGCACACTCACCGGACCACAAAGCCGGGCCAGGCATTGCTGGTTGTTGTTTTTGGCGTGACGTCTTTGGGGCTCTCTTTTAGTTGTTGTAGTTGTTGGTTTCTTTGGGGTTTTCGGTTTTGTTGTTTTTTTTTTAGGGTTTGAGTGTGCTTGCCGGGGATCTGCCACCCTCCACCCCGATTTAATGACACAATTCTAGCCACATCTCTCCACTCACTTCAAAAAAATTTAGTTTTTCATTGTAAATACAGAATATTTTGACCCTTATCTTTATAGTATTTTATATTTAATTTTATGTTATTATCGTTTTAATTGTTTTAATTAATCTTAGGTTTTTCTTGTATTTTCTTGAATTTTCTTTAGGTTTTGCGCGTTTTTTGGGGCTGCAGACCACGGGGAATCACGAATCGAACTGAAGTCAAAGCTGCTGGGCCAAAACTGAAGCCAAAACAAAGCCACCGTTACCGTCGTCGCTGTTCAAGTCGACGTCGCAGTTGCCGTTGGCAGAGAGCTCTGGGCAGCACTGCACTTGCTTTATTTATTTATTTATTATCTTATTTTTAATTTTTTGAGATTTTATTTATTAATAATTTTGTTTATTTCAAGTTTAGTTTTAGTTATGATTTTTTTTTTGGGAATTTTTGTAAATTTCAATTTCGATTTCTGGGCGTTCTTGTGGCAAATATTACACATACGCCCTGTGTGCGCCGTGGCTGCTGCTACTGCTGCCTGGCGGATATAACGGAAATGTGCAACTGGCAGCCACCAAAACAGCCGCGTAGCGAAATTGTCAAGCAGAAAAGCCGAGAGAACCCAACGAGAATCGAGCACCGAGCACCGAGTGCATCGAGTGCAGCAAGTTGTGAGTGTGAGTGTGTGTGTGTGTGTGTGTTGTGAGCACTGAGAACTGTCGCCGAGAGCTTGAGCAGCAAAGAGAAGAGAAGCGACGAGGCAAGAGAGAGAGGAGGCCAAAGCCAAAGCCAAAGCCAAATCCAGAGCCGGAGCCAAAGACCGAAGAAGAAAAAAAAAACCCAACTAACACACAAATCGAAGCACATATCGAAAATGAAACCGAAGCGAGCGGCGTGCTGCAACATTGGCAGCAGCAGCAGCAACAACAACATAACATAGTTTGTTATTATGTGGGTTTTCCTGGCTGAACTCTCAAAAAGCTTACTCTTATTATTCATCACCTTATTTTTGCAGTGTTCTGTCAAGTGTTTATTTCATAAATGTTTTCATTGACAGATTTCTTGATGTTTTTCTTTTTTTGATGCTAACTATTTGTGTGTTGGCCAGGTTATGTGGACAAGTGCATCATTTAGTGGCTAATGTTTTTAATTTATTTATATTTATAATTCGTTTAGTTTTGTTTTTTTTTAAATTTTTAATTTTTACTATATAAAATTAAGGGTAATAAATAAATTCTATTGTTATTTTTGGCTTATGTTATTAATTTATGTCTTTTTTGTTTATTTTTAATGTCTTTTTTGGTCTAAATTTATTTATATAAATATTTTTTAAATATTTTTGGTTAACAGTAGCTTCAACTGTTTAAATATTTTCGTAATTTTTTTATATATTTAATTTTTTTTACTATTTAAAATTAAAACTAAAGCCTGCTCTTGATCTATTTTACTAATGTAACCATTAGTTATTGTTTTTAATTCCTTTTTTTTACCTCAAAAGTGACCGTTAGGTGGCTGTTATATTCTAATGTTAAGTTATGCTTCAAAGTTGCTGTTATGTTTGCCAATTTGTAGCTTTTTATAGTTTCTGTTATGTTGCCTCTAATGTTGCAAATGATGTTGCTGCAGTTTTGGCTGTTGCTCTTGGCTTTTGGCCACTGCCAACATCAAGTGCACATGGCTTTTCTCACCTGCTCTCTGGCAAGCTTTAATGCCACTCTTTCTCTGTGTGTTTTTCTCTCTCTCTCTCTTTCTCTCTCTCTGTTTCTCACACTCTCTGTGTCCCAGTGTCTCACTTGTCTTGCATCATAGGCACTTTTTTAGCACTCCCCAAAAAAAACTAGAAACTGCACACAAATTATTAAAAAAAAAAAAATTAAATAAATATATATGCCGCCGCCCTAGCACCTATTAAACCCCCCTAAACCCTTTGATAGTACCCTAGAGAAACCCCTAGAGAACCCCTCTCGAAGCTCTCCTGCAAATTTTCGGTTGCGCTTTGCAGACGCAGGCATCGGCCGAGTCAACCAACTTTAGAAGGTCATGTGGACTTAGCGCTGGCGAATATCCTTGGCTGATATTGGAAATGCATATAGCATACATATAGCGTGTGGCGTGTATAGCATATATACCTGATATATGTATATATATGGTGTATGTACTTTGTTTATTTGTTTGGCATTCGCGCTATTGCGTGCACTTTCTATGCAATATTATTTACAGGAATCGACTTTGGGCCAGGCCAATTGCAAGTTGAAAGGGGAGGGAGGGAGGAGTGGCCACCATAATGCCACCTTGTTAGCCAAGTTGTCATAGAGATATAAAGCCCGGCAAATATGCTTTGGCAGGGCAAAAAGAGAGACAGTAGAAAATCATCATGGACTCCTTTTCTCTATTATTTCTTTCATTATATTGCATCTCGCCCCAAATGACGCACTTTGTTTCATTTATTTCAGCTTCTGCTTTTGCCA